TACATCAGTATACATTGCAGAGCTGTCCCGTCTGTGTTTCTCTCGAGCCTTCTTGCCCACGTGCCACCTCTTCTTTCTCCTTTGCACCCAGTTGGCTTGTCCGCTACGGGGTCATTAGTACCACTGCCACCATGAAATCACTGGCTTTGTGACATGGCGTTTGGATTGCAGCTTGGAAGTCTTAGTGACAGCGATTATACTGAGATTACTTGATTGCTTTGATTCTGGACGAATATGCACAGTATGAATGTGGAAATTCATAATGGTGCAACAGTTAGTATTCGTTCAAAACAGGTAGAGTAGGTATGATTGAGGCATAATTCAGAGAAATTAGACATATATTCTAAGAATCTTCAATGGTTCAAATTTTAGAGCTGATCAGGTTTGAAAGTCCGGAAATTGTTAAAGTTCGAAAAGTATAGAATTTCTCAACATAAGAAGTTCAAAATGTTCGGAAAATTCCCAAATGTTTTGAAACCTGGGTTTAATCTTTCAACTTCCGGTTCAAAAAAAAATTTCAGCATATACTTCTATATGCAACTGAACAATCGGTTCAGCATAACTAAATACAGAAATGTAAAGTGGGGCAGCACGTTAGGGTGTTGGGGCAGGAGAGAGCGTTGTGTTTTTAGTACGAACGCCTATGTCAGACAGTACGGAAAAACCAGCTGCTCCATCTCGTGCTCCATTCGTATCCCCCTTCCTCTTCGTCCTCGTCTACCAGCAGCCAGGATCAGCTTGTACACACAACACAATCCCCTTTTGAAGCAGAGTTCAACAGGGCAAGAACCTGTCTGGAGGTTTCTTATTCCTTGAGTACTTTCATGGAGCTGGAAGCGGCGGCTGTGCATCTGCTCCAGCTTCTGGATTTGTGTACTCCACCTGTGCTTTGTGTCTTGCTGGAAGGCGTGCTCGAGAGAACCTCAATGAATTCCAGCATCCTCCTCCTGACGTGACGAAGGTGCTTGGCCCCACCGCTTTATGAATTCTTTCAGAGGGGTCAAATGATGGTGTTCCCTTCGGTCATAATCTCAGACATAATCTCCTACACCCGCTGTAAATGGTTTGGCTCTTCGCCTATCATCTGTGTATTGCTTGCTGTGTTTCTGGTAATCAGCAATGCGTTGGGGGAGTTGCTGCATCTCGATGTGAACGGGCTTGTCAAAACTTGGGAAGCCCACGATGTCCATACGGGTACGCATTTTACGTCCGTGGATGGAGCTCAGCGGGGGAGAGCTTCGTCGCTGCATGTGGTGCGCTTCGGTAGACACTCAGAAACTCCTCAAGGCCCGTACGAACGTTGGTTTGTTCCTGCAGGACAGTTTGGACGTACTGCTTAAGCACTCGGTTGAAGCGCTCAACCTGACCATTGGCTTGTGGATGGTATGTCGCAGACCGATGGTGGTAAATCCCTATGGACTTCAGGAACCCCTGGAATATGCGGGATTCAAACTATGGGCCATGATCAGAAACACTCACCTTCGGAAACCACTCCCGGCTGAAGATTCTAATGAGGAATTCACATACACCTTCAGCCGTAACTTGGTTACAAAGAGCTACCTCTGGCCACTTACTGAAGTAGTCGACTAGGGCGACTGCAAATCTGAATTGCGATAGAAGTTTGTAAAAAGGTCCGACAATGTCTATTCCTAGTTGTTTTCATGCGCCCGATGGGAATGGAACTGGTTGTAGGGGTGCCGATGCCGTCACAGCTGTCTTGTCGTTCGTCCGAACGCTTGGTAGCCTCGCGTCGTCTCTACCTCGCCGCCTTGAGGGGGCGAAACGAAGAGGGGAGGAAACGAGATATCTTGACGTCACGCGCCTTGTCTGCCTCGTTCAATCTCGATCTCTTTTTCCAAAAATATGGCCGTCCATTCGAGATATCGCCTTACGAGTAGTGTTGTAGGGATTGTAGCGTCCCGCCTACAGCTCCTGAATTGTTTTCTTTTTCTTGTTTTTATTTAAATTTTGGTTTATCGGATGGCTCCTATGGTAACCGCAGTGTATCCTATGGAATGCACATGTTTTGATACACAGCTTCTGGATGGCGTTTCACCGTGTTGCATGGAATGCACGGTTTTGCAACGACAATCTTGATGGCGCTTCAGACGACGGGAGGCGGACTCAAAAGAGCGTAGTTTTCACGTGACGTCACTTCCCCTGTTGCCGCCCGCCGGCAGCCATTGTATGCGGAGATTAAGTCGTCTGCTTCTTGCACAGGGGTTGCGACGATGTCAGAACGCCGAGCTCTTATTGGCTGATTGAAAATAAATAGTGGGTGGACCTTACGGCATGTAGCATTGAGGTCTCCCCACTATCCTTTGAATCAAAGCCAATCAGCGCTCAGCGTTGTTCTGACGTCACCACAATTCCTTCGCAAGAAGCAGACGACTTGTTCTCCACGTACCAGGTACTCAGAAACAGACGCGGACGCAGGCCCCGCTCGTGTGCTGCTTGACTACCACATCGCTACGCAGTGTTATCATACGTGTGTTACAGCCTCCAGATGCATGACTACAACACGAAGTTTCCTTACGAAACGCAGGATCACTGAACTGAACATTTTAGTTGACTGAAAAGGTTCATAAAATGCATTATGCAAACCGGCGAGGCTCATAGAGGTCGGAGGTTGTTCACCACGTTAGTAGCCCAGACGCTGGGTGGGCACCCGTCGGGGTTCGTATCGTCCATGAGAGGCGATGGTTTGCCTGTACAATAAAAGACGTGCGTGCACTCGGAAAACAACGGCACACACTTGGCAGCTTGAAGCTGCAAGTGTGTGCCGTTGTTTTCCGAGTGCAAGATTCTGGCGAGGCACAAGGAAAAAACTGTGACGGTGATAGTCGAGCTGCAAGTGTGTGCCGTTGTTTTCCGAGTGCAAGATTCTGGCGAGGCACAAGGAAAAAACTGTGAGAGAGATAGTCGAGGCAGATGTGATTAAGAAGGGTAGGGCAGCCTATATGTAAGCGAAGCCTCAATTGATCTACTTGACAAGGAACGTGCGTTCCTCAATGACGCGGCCTGGCATCGGGTTGGCTAGTGATGGGTCGATATCAGAAACTCGGATGGTATGCAAGTGTCGTTTCATGTAATAAAATCAGTTGTTAGTAACGCACTGCGGTGCCTGATTCTCGTGTTTTTGTCCTTGTTTTTGAGCGCTAAATTTTATTCTAAGTTCCAGAACCAACTAGCCCAACAATCTACTCTACTAATAGCGAGTTCGTTTCACGGCACTCGTGCCCACGCGTGCCCACTCGCAGCGTGGAACGGGTTCGTTTCGGCCGGCGCTCCACGAGTGGTTGCACTCTCCGAGTTCGTTTCAGCGCTGACACCCCACGCGTGCATGCACTCGCTGCACCGAGAAAATCGGGAGTGCGCCAAAATGCAATCCCGTCATGCCTCGCTCCGGCGGGGCCGGCGAGGAGCGGGAGCAGACGACGAGGGTTCGTTTGCTACGATGTGTCGCGGAACCGAACGGAAAAAAAAAAGTAGATTTTCTGATAGAAATCGCGTCCCGCGGGCAACGAAATCAAACGCGAGCTTGAATTGTGAGCGTCTGCTATTTCACGAAGAAAGCAATTGACAACCCGTGATTTATTTGCAGGTTTTAAATCGCTCTGTTGCCGTACAAACGCTGAAATATACCAGTGTGTAAAGAAATGCTCAGAACAAACGCAACAGCGGCCCCCGAGATGTCTATCACCATCCGTGTGCGGGTGAAAAATTTAACATTTTTCGATAAAACTCCCCCAGCAGAAACCTCTGACTGCCCAATAAGCAGCAGAGAAAGCTACAAAACTTGAAAGTATAAAACAGAGAGGACGAGGACGGGAACAGGACATCTTTCATTTAGCAACAACATAAAATGGCACAACGATAAAACCGCCCCCCAAGGGTCTTGAGACCCTTGGGGGGCGGTTTTATCGTTGTGTTGTTCAATGTTGTTGCTAAATGAAAGATATGTCCTGTTCCCGTCCTCGTCCTCTCTGTTTTATACTTTCAAGTTTTGTATCTATTAACCAACACGCTCGTTTTCAACTGTAAGAGAAAGCTAAAGATGGTGACTTTACCCGAGGATTGGGCAACATCATCATGTTTAACATTTACCTACGCAGCTAACTTGCCCGGTCGTATTTTGTTCGAGAGAGCTCTCGTTCTGGACGCCTTCACCAAAGCTAATATCTAATCCACAATGACGATCCAAATCGAAAGTCCCAGTTTTGCTGGATATTCCAACAGGCTAGCTTTAAGCCGTACCCTTTCAGTGGTTCACGCATAATACCATGCTCAAACGGATCAAGCTTCTGCTCGGACAGCATCATCAGTTTTCTTCAGTGTAAACGGTTATAAGGATTGAAAGGTCGCAACCAGCTGCTTTGTGGACAGCTGGTTGCGGAAATTTACGCCGTCTGTAACTATCTCTACGGAAGTCGAGCTGCTTGAAGACATCGCAACTATAAACTACAGGTTGCAGTTGCCAACGTTTGTAGATAAACGTTGGTAGCGACTGCATTCTCGCATTCCCACGCATCGCTCGGAACAGAAAGGCGCTAGTTTCGGTTTGAAGTCGGTACCTTTTCTTCCACATAGATGGCGGCAGCATCAGCCTTCTGCACTCGGTGCATTTGGCGAGTTCGTTTGAGTCCAGTTTTCCGTGCAACACTCTGTGAGTGCGATGCATTCTGGGAGAGAACTCGAACGGTGCCAGTGCGTGTGAAACGAACTCGCTATAAGATACTGTTCATTCCATGTACCAATATGGCGACCATACGGAGAGCTTGTACTTCTTGGCGCTACTCTCCCAGGATCACCTGAGCCGCGCGGACGCGGTAGGCAGCAGCAAATGTGAACAGCACGGTCTTCTTCCTTCAAGCGAATTCGATCGGCAGCCCGAGAGGGCACCCTGCTGAAGTGGAACTCCGACTTCGTGCGCGCTTCTCGGAAAACCGAAACTGAAACCGGAGAGACCGTGATAACCTGAACTTCCGTTACTAACTCTTCTTTCCTTCACGTAGGGGGCGCCACGTGATTTCCGGTGGCGGTAGCGCCGAGCGAGTGCCTCGCTTCGTCGCGAAGTTTCTAGAGATTCATTCAGCAGCTGAGGAACAACCCGCGTGAGCGGATTTTTTCCGACTCGCTGGTGAGTGCCTGGAGACCTATAAAGTCACCAATACAGCGAGAACAACCTCGAGTATCTTGGAGCTCAGCATCCCTGCCGAACAGCGATGGCGAAATGGGGCGAAGGTGACCCACGCTGGATCGTAGAAGAGCGGCCCGACGCGACCAACGTTAACAACTGGCACTGGTGAGCGCTGGATCACTAGTGAGCACGCGGTTTTAGCACTTGGATCAACTCAGTCCCTCATGTCCGTGTCTCTCACGAAGCATTTCATTGGTTAATACGCGTGTGGCAAGTTCTGTTGGCGTGAGACCGGCATGTGTTGCAGGACGGAAAAAAATGCGTCGCAGTGGTCCAAAGACAAGCTGACGGAACTGCTGACCAACTTGGAGGTCAAGGATGGGCGAGGTGAGCTGAGGTGGAACCAAAAAGCTTCGAAATCTGGGAATAGCTCAGTGAAATAATTGATGGTGATAATGAATGAACATGAACACATATTATATATATATATGTGCATGTTGTGCCAAGCTGGCTTCTCTGCAGTTCTCCATCAACGCTGTCATCTAACATTATCGAGTGCAATGAGCAAGTGAGAGCGCCTTCCAGCAGATCGGTACTCATTTAGTATTGCCCTCCGAAATTGGCTTCTCTTTCATTCTTGGCATCCCCCCCCCCCCCTCCCCCCCCCCCATAATATGGCTTCTCTGCAGAACATCTAATAGCCCGAGTTTTGCTTATTTTTTGCTACTTGCACATTCCTGCTAGTAGATTTGACTATCGTGTTTAATTGGAAAAGGTCCTCCACTTCCAGCAGGGCTGAGACGTCTGCACGACTTTCATTACCTTGTTTCATTTGCAGGGTCGTGCAAGGTGGTTGAAATGTCCAAATGCGACGGAGAAGCAGTGGCCAACAACCGAAAGGCGAAGCTCATCTTTTTCTACGAATGGGCCATCGAGCTCAAGTGGGAAGGTACGCCGCTTTTCCATGCGTCCTGCGAGTCTTTTAATCCTCTGCAAAACAGCCTACGCAATGGAAAATGGAAACTACCGGGCGATTCAAGGAGATGGCAGGCTCTTTAAATCGACCAGAAAATTTGGTTTCTTAACCTATCGCGCTACGACTTCATGCAGCGTAGCCCACAGATGGTGCATTTTTTCGTAAAACTTGGAAAGGGCGAACTTACCTGAGGAAAAAGTAAAGTTTCCACAGGAGCTAAGCCTTTTTCTTTCTTTACTTTTTCCTCAGGTAAATTCGCTCTTTGCAAATTTTACAAAAAAAAAAAAAAAAAGCACCATCTGTGGGCAACGCTGCACAAAGTCCTAGCGCGATAGGTTAGGAAACCAAATTTTCCGGTCAATTTAAAGAGCCTGCCGTCTCCTTGAATCACCCGGTACTATTAGGAACCCACTCAGGAAACTTGTAAGCTCAAACAAAGACAGGCCCGAAGAAGGGGACAGCGCTTGTCAGTGTACATCACCGTTTGTGCTTACAAGTTTCCAGAGTCTCATACAAGTAGAAACACACTTTTTTTTCCTTAAACTTCCACTACCTCGCTTGCACTCATATTTCTATTTTCTTTCACTTTTTTTAACATGGCACAAAGGGACACAGTCAGTGTGTTTGGTCTCAGTTCTTTCTGTTTTTTTCCCCACAAACACTCCCACTTGTTGGCGCGCGTTTCAGCTTTTTAAAGGGAACCTCACTTCGAATATCTATTTTCCTGACTTTGGTATCATACAAAAGTTTGACGCCACGATTCGGCACGCGAGACACATGAAACTAAAACCCAACGTATTCTATGGCAGGGCAACTGGTATTGGTGGTTATATCTTTGTAGACGTTCAAAAAATGGTGCTATCCAGTGCCGAATTTGAAAAACCATGTTTATCCGTCCAGTCGCCCATCTGTTCCTGGCTACCGTATAAACTCTATTGTTGTTAGACGCATTCCTGCGCTCAAGTTCTTTCAAATTTACTAGGAAACCACTACTGGGCCTATTAAGTAAGTGGGGTGGACCAAAACCCTTTTAGAACAGAGCGGGTGCTCTTGTAAGTGCCTCTGGTACCATAGTAAAACAAGATAAAGTCACTTCTGCTGCGCACTGCTCAGGTCATAACACACTGCACGATCCCCCGCATTTCAGTTTCTTTTTGGTGGTGCGGCAAAGTCTTTTCCATGCTAGCTATGTCCTAGGCTAGGTGGCGCAAGCCACCACCCGGTTTAAAGGGTCGCTACTATCCATTCATAACTCTTTGCCGCAGGGGAGACGGACGACAGCGACGAGACAGTCGAAGGCAAGGTGGAGATACCCAACCTCAGCGAAGAACACGACCCCACTGACGTCGACGTGAGTGCACCCTGCTTCTCCTTCCTCGAACATCTCTATGTGCCTAAGATAAATGTGGCCTTTTATCTTCGAAGACCCGCGATAATGCTTTATTTTCGGAACGAACATCCAAGTTTTTTTTTTTAAAAACATTTTAAAAGTTGTTTTGGGAAGTGAAGAAGAACCTGTTGTTTATGGACTGGTTCCTCCTTCCTCCAGAAGATCACCTCGCACTATTGAGAGTATTGGTGTGGCGCCTGCAACAGGTTTCCGACTGGTGCTCTTACCGCGTCCTGAAAAGTCGTTCCTCAATTTCCGTCCGACGATATCATAAAAGTGTCACGCCGTCGCCGGCCGCAATCCTGCAATCCTGGCTGTGTCGCAGTGGCGGTGGTGCACATGTCAGACGCCCGTTGCACTGCATGTCGCTCTCCGGCTCGGCAGTTGACGGAAGCTTTGTCAGCTAAACTTGGGATGTCGCGACAACGGTGACGCTCGCTTTATCTCGTGCTTTTTTTTAAAGCTTCTACGCTCGACCGCCAGGGTCGCGACTTCCGATGGCGCGACACTCTGGTCTTTGTGACGCCATATGTTGCCACTTCAGGATTACTTCGGACACACGTACGGGTAGAATGGGACGCCGAACGCGTAGGTGGGAGACTCATTTCTTAGTCGCCGTAGCATCGGCGTGTAGTAACCATAGTGGGAGTGGTGGGGCGTATGCCTTGGCCGGTACGTGCAGAAAGTCGTTAAGCCAACGTAGACGTGGAGCATCGGAGCTGCGGGCCGGGAAATTCTGGGTTCGATTCCTCTTGGGTACGCCGTTACACTTAATGTTGCCGCAATGACCAAACTGGTTACACCAACGTGCCCTCTCAAAAAAGCGGATATAGTGAAGTAATTTTCGATTCCCGTTAACTTCGATTCCTGTAACTTCGATTCCCGTTAACTTCATTATAACTGGTCTCGACGGTACATTTTTACTACTTTTCACGCATTATTCTTTCACCGTACACTCAAAATAACGCCGACGACGTTATAATTACTGTGAAATCTTTAGTTTAGCTATAGACGCTTTGCACGTGCGCCAGATTACATCTGCCATAGCTGACCTTCTCTTGTCTTATTGAGATACCGGGCCACTGAAACAGGTGTTAAAAAGCCTCCCCAAAGACTAATGCTGGGGAGAAGGACACGGTAGGATCTAAAATTGCAGTAACCTGGCCTGCTTTGGTAATAATGGAAGTAAACGGAATAAGAGGGAAAAACTGAAGGTTGGTTATGGCGATGCCCACACAGAGCTGCTGCGAAACGTCTGTATGCAGGTTGGAAGAATTTCAGGGCTCTACTCGTAGGTGCTGCCAGTATGCAAGTGTGTTAAGTTATTGCGAGATATCCAACGCGCTCAGTCACAGTCCATCGCAAATGCGTGAACCGACCTCAGAGAGAAAGGGCCAACGAACGCGTTGCCGGGTCCTTTCAGATCACCGTGACAGTGACTACCAAGGGTGATGCTGCTGAGCGGCTGAAGGAGCTGATGAGGACAAAAGGCGAAAAGCTTATCAGGGACCAGTTGGAGACCTACATCTCCAGCCTCAAGAAAGGTGGGTGCACACGTCAACCGAGGCACCTCGCCTTGCCCACCGCGACCGACAATGTGGTAAAGCCCGTCTGCAACGGGCTTCAAAGTTTTCAAGATGTGTCTGTTGTAGGGATGGCAGTGCATTGTAAGGGGTTTCTAACAATTTTTTGGAAATTTCGGCAGCTCTCGCCAATACACATTTCGAGTACCACATTTTCCGGACTGTTGTCTGCGCCCGGTGTATTGACTGCGGGGGCGAAATTCAAGATTATTAAAACTGGATTGGGCCAGTTGGTTCATTGTGATCTAGAGCAGTGGTTCTCAAATGGGGGTCCGCGGACCCTTTGGGGTCCGCGAAGGCAGTTTAGGGGTCCGCAAAGCCCTGCCTCATCAGTCAAGCCCGACAATAAAAGTTATACTTTTTCCGGTCGAGAAGAAATGGTTCAGTTTTCGAGCAAGTTTTCTCGTGTGAATGTCATTAAGAGAGGTCTACTTCACACTAGCCCTTAGTTATATCCATTTATTCAATAATTATTACATTTAACATATACATTTCCTTTCCCCTCACCATGAACGGGGTCCTCCATCATCTTCGCCGATCCACAAGGAGTCTACGAAGCACCGAGGGTTGAGAACCACTGATCTAGAGGACTAAAAAGCGCAAAAAAACATGGACGAAGAAGAGACATATATCTGTGTTGTATGTGTCTCTTCTTTGTCCGTGTTTTTTTTGCACTTTTTAGTTCTCTAGATCAAGATGATTACTTCTGGAATATGAACGAGCAGGATATCTGCTCTACAAGTAGGCTCACGGTGACCGTGGTGCGTCTTCTGCTTGTCCCGCAGAGTTCTCACAGGGCATGATCCTGCCGACCAAGACGGACTCCATCAACCAGACCAAGTCCACGGGAAAATCCACCCTCAACTACAAGCAGCAGGTGGGTTGGAATTCAACCTCTTCGCAGCTGTGCCGTGGTCACGGGGGAAATTTACACCTAAATAATGCGTCCAGACGGTAAAAGCAAGATCGACTTCTTTTATGAATTGCAAACCCCACGGGATCTTTGAGTAGGTTCCTAGGAACCCAGGGGTTACCTCAAAAACCATTAGCAGATTCTTGCCAAAACCCTGGGCCAGTTCCCGCGAAAACCCTGGGGCAATTCCCGCCAAACTCAGAAGAACCCTCAAGGGTTTGGGTGTTCCTCGAGCTCCTAAGTCTCTCGGACTGTTCTTTCCCCTAAGCAGAGTATTTTTTTTTTTCCATTTAAGCACTGTTCCAGAAGATTTCAGCCATCCAGTGGTGCATTTCAATGTTTCAGACATCCCCTAGTGTGTGCATTATTGTCTGCAAAGTTTGTAGGCTTCTGCGCTGCTTTATTCTATCAATGCTGAGACTGAAAAGGGTTCCCTCTCAGTCTTAGGCATTTGTTATATATCAGCGAGGTATCAGATAAGGGAGAGGTGTTTTCCGAGGTGAAAACATTGAGAACCTTTAGCAGACCCTATTGCTCACCTGAAAAACATTCTTGAAATGCCAGGGTTGTTTAGTTTGCAGTACCTCTGAAATGACTTTTAATTGATGTGCGCTCTACCGTCTTAATTAGGTCCTTGTGATATGTACTTTTGTGTTTAAAAACTGCTTCTTTTTTTTTTCTTTTGTTTTTCTTTTTAGATTTTTGAGCTGAAAGTTTAATTTTGAGCCTAGTGCTTTCCACTGATTGTGACCATTGTATGCGTTCTATCCGTGCGCATCCGTTGCAGCACCTTCGCAGGGGTGAACATTTGTTACGGTACTCTTTCCGTACTGCAGAAAGAGTGGCAATTTTCGAGGGAGAGACAGTTTTAAGAACTCACCATATGGTTATCTACGATACATCAAAATGTAGCCAATAAACTGCTCTTTTATAAAAAAAATAAAAATAAAGTTTACTCTAATGTTTGAAAAAAGTTTGTCGAGCTTAAATGCTCAACTTATAATTTGTGCAAAAATGAGAACAAAAAAGTCGACATTTGTGGCTAAATTAAGTCACACTTTTGATTTTTAAAAATCCTAGATAAACTGTGCACCCTTACACACCTCTATCACTTCTGTACGTTAGAAAGCTCTAGCTGACACTGTGTTTTTTTGGTTTGTCGGCCAGCATGCTTTTATGGCATCTTGCCATTTGGAGATGCTGTTCAATGTGTAGGTGCGTGTCCTTTAGAAAAATTGTTGTTTTGGCACAAAACCTTGGTTTGTCATGACACGCGCCTAAAAGCTCCCCTGCTGGTGTTTTTACGACTTGCTGGACACATAATATGTCTGCCCAGCTCAGGACCGCCTAGGGGGCTAGTATGACTCTCTCCAAGGAGCACCTGTCGATATTCTACGCCTCGGAGATGAAATGTTGCTGTAGAAGCTCAAACGAAAATGATCCAACATCGTCCACAGTCCTCACTGCTGCTGTCATCCAAAAAAACAAGCAGGAAAAGCAGTTAAATCGTGCGATTGAGGCTATCTTTATGGCGGTCCCCAATGTCAGAAGGACGCCATGTTTGGCAAGTGCCACCATCGTGCGCAGATTTATTTGCTCGCCAGCTTGGGAGAAAGCGCAGTGAAATGCAGAATCGAAGCTGTAGCTCTTCGGCCATCAGCAAGATGGAGCGACGTTTTCCTGCCGCTAAATTTGAATTTTGTTGGCGCGTGGAAACCATCAGTCATGGGGATCGACGGCCAATGGGCACAGTGCGGAAAGGCATCTGTCCTTCAGTGGTGACATCCAGTCAATCTGCGTCACAATACTTTTTGTTGTTCGTTCTGGAGTATGCGAAAGAGCGTCTCCCAGATCCAGCCGACACCTCTGATCACTATCGAGGTCTCCTTGGTTTCTGCTGTTTCTGTGATCCTGCACACTTTTTGTCGGTTACTTCATTGATTCGCATCACCGTGAGAAGAAAAACAGTTTGGCACACTCTTTTCGCTGCCAGGGTAATAACGGCACGGCGTCTCTTGCGAAAGCTTCCATCGCACACTTCTTGTGGTAAAAAATTAAACCCCCCCCCCCCCCCGGTGCCGTTTTCATCCTGCCAGTGACCGTAGTGCTATTAGATAGGACGGTAGGTAAACCCGGGCCGCATGTGGTCAAAACTGGTCAATCGGTGCGCGTCTCTGCCTGCAGCCGTCCAATGGCATGCCCGCGGTCAACAAGACGGAGTGCGGCGACGCCCTGGACACCACCACCCTGACCCACGAGGAGACGTTCAAGTGCACCGCTCAGGAGCTGTACAGGGCCCTGACTGTGAAGGAGGTACGCTCATCACATAGCCCGTTTCTCTCGAAAAGAGTGTAGTTTGGTTATAGGAAGGCAAAGCCGCGGTAAGCCTCTAATGCATTCCACAAAAGGCGACGTGCGGGCAATGTGCAAGGCATGTTTTGTCCTTGCATGGCAGTCCTGTCACGCTGGTCGTACAAAAACCGTCAGCAGACTTGTTCGAAAAAGATGAACGTACGAAGCAAATGTGCTTCGAACGTGCCCGCAGGTAATCTTGTCGTCACGTTTGCAGCGAACACCGTTTGTTTCGTACGATGCGTGAGCGCCGTGGCTGTGGCCTAAGGACGGCGCTAAAATGGACGAAGGGCACGAGGTGCCGATCGGCTGTTAACTGAATACAGTCTAAGCTTGTTACAACAGACATTTGGATACAACATACCAATTTGTGAAGTTTGTTTGGTTTTCCTCTACACACCATTGACTCAACTTCATATCTGCATACAACATACTCCTCTTACAACAGACCGAAATCTTGGTCAAAATCAAGGTCTGTTATAACGAGCTTAGACTGTACTATTCCCTAAAGGGATGTGGAAATTAAAGAAGAGAACCAAAGAGATCAAAACACGCAGGAACCACACCGCCCACTCTGAGCATCAGAAACAATCGTTTTACGCACGGACCACACTTCCTCGTGAAATCCACCTCGTCAACTAAGACTGTCAAAAGTGCGGCCCCGACGCGGGTCTTGAGCTCGTCACTTCGCGTGTCAGCCGATCCGATGGTAGCAGAAATCGGAGCGCCGGCTCTTCCAGTTCAGCCTCTTAACATTTCTCGGAATTGGATTCCGAGGACGAGAGCTTACCATTCGACAGAAAAACTCTAAAGTACTTCCAGTTTAGAATCTGAGATCGCCTAAAATGTTGCGGCAACGGACGTGCCAAGATGAAGCCAACAGTAGGAGAAAGGCGAAAACTTTTCCCCTTCAGTTTCAATTTTATGCATCTAACCCTAAAAACTTGCAAGCACTGTACAAGCTTCCGCTTGATCATTAATAAAAAACCTATGCATCGATCCTTCCTTTATACCATTACTTCAGCCACGAAACCCAGCCACTGACACGCACCTTTGGGGAAAAAAGCATGACCGTCAAAGGGTCAACCTGTCACCAACTATAGGGCAGGAGATCGAACTATAGGGGGCGCTTTATCGAGGTTGTTGTCCCCACAGCCCGGTGTTTACTAACACAGCATAACAAAGAAATTGAACCTTGTCATGCACGGCCTGGACATGAGCGCTTCGCTCTGACCAATGCTGGCCTTCGAATCGTCATCTTCGATATCGCTGATCAAAAACAAACAAGAAAATTCGGTTTGTTGCCCCCACAGCTGAAGCGTGCCGCTAGCGGCGTGACTGTTCGATCTCCTCCCCAATAGGTGACACCGTTCGTAGTGGTGTGTGCAAACCAAGACTGCCTCTTCTCTTTGTAGATGGTGCAAGCGTTCAGCCAAGGCCCCTGCGTCCTAGAGCCGACCAAGGGCGGTCGGTTCGAGCTGTACGGCGGCAACGTCACCGGCACCTTCACAGACCTGGTGAGACACGGGACAGCATACCCGACATGCACTCGGCAGTTTAAAGCGCCTACCCAGATTCACTGGATACCATATTTACTCTAGTAATTAACACACCATTTACAAACAAATCCTGCGAGTCCGCTTTCCTGCGGAGCGTTCGGACTCTCAGGATTTCCTGGCAGGATCACCGCATATATTGCTGTCAGGATCACCACCAACAACATACAAGACAAAGATGGCGTTTTCACATAAAAATGCCGTTTCCGCAGATAGCCTTTTTACGGAGAATCGTGTTCTCAACCTCGTCTGCCGCCACGTTTCTTACGCAGAATGCCACAGTTGGTTGTATATGTGTACTGCAGGATAGTAGACACGGGGGTCTCGTTCACGAGTAGCGCGTCCGTTACTCAAGTAAGTATGGTAACCGCAAAGAAGTTTGTTTCTGTGCCGGAAGGAGCTGAATATCGTCCGACCTTGGAATGCAGGTGCAGGCAGTGTGAGCAGAAATGACGGCGCATGTCTTGAAAAGCTATAGAGTTGAACTATATGGCGATTGCCGGGACAATCGCAAGCTTCTACAAGTCGGCGGCCGATTAAAAATGCAGTCGGAGTTTTGCCCCTTGCTCGACGCCCCCGCACCCTTTGGGTATCAAGTCATTGTGTAACGAGGTGTCGCCGTGTTGCGTGGCATTGCGCCGCGGGACGCGGCATTACTTCACACAGTGAGAGCACTCGATTGCATCGCGCGACGTAGCACGATTAACCGAAGTGTGCCGATAAAATTGTGTCGTGGAAGCACACCACTTCTCACACGTTGCAATTCTGCACACGAATGTTTGATCTATTTATTAGAATGCAGCCGCCACGTCTTTCTCACTTGGGCTGTCTGTTGCGAAATGAGGACTGGAAGAGTCTTTGTTTTTTTGTTTTTTCGTCATACGCTCGAATAGCAGGCAGTGTATGCTCATTAGAAGATGCCTGTGTTTGCTCTCAAATGTGGCCGAGGTGCGCCGCCGAGCGACACCACTGAGCAGAGACGTTCGTTGCAGGTTCCGGATGAGCTGATCAGCATGCGCTGGCGCTTCAGCAGCTGGCCCCAAGGCCACTTTTCGGCGGTGAGGCTGGTGCTGGTACAAAAGGAAGACTGCACGCAGCTCTCGCTTGTCCAGGAGCACGTACCCAAGGCAGAGGCCGACCGCACGCGCGACGGCTGGCAACGGCACTACTGGGACAGCCTCAAGCGCACCTTCGGCTTCGGCGCCATCCTCTTCTGAGCAGACGGCCCAGGGGCACGGCCGTGCGGCAAGTCTGTCGCATGGTCTCATGCGCCGGCACTAAGCATTGCTCCTGTCTCAACGGCGCGAGAGGACGGAAAAGGACGAGCCAGCGTCCCACGGCGATCGCCAGTCGGGGCACCCACCATACTCCCGCGTCGCACACTCAAACGCCCTCCGTTCTCCGTTTCACTTCACGACGACCCGCGGCAGAAACTACGGGCCGTTCCAGCCAGCCCATTGTCGTTAACGTATTGCGTCGCGCGACTTCACATCCCGTGAGATTGAATTGGCTTCAGTGCGGGGCGCAAGTCCGTCCGCTTCTTTTGCAGTGTGTGTCGACGTCAGAACGCCGAGCTCCATTTGGCTTTGATTGAAGGATAGTGAATACACCTCGAGGCAGCATGCTTCAAGGTCTACCCACTATCCTTCCAGACACAGCCGATCGGAGCTCTGCTTTCCGACGTCTCCGCAAACCCCGCGCAAGAAGCAGACAAACTTGCGCTCCGCATTGCTAGTCCGCCGCGGCGTGGTGTAAGGTGAAACGAAGTGTGGCGAAACGCCGCCAGAGCAGCTGCTTCGCACAAGCATTTGGAACGCACACTACGGGTTTGAAAAGCCCGAGACGCTCGTACCATCGGCTCGGCAGACGTTTGACGGATCGGCGTTCGAGTTGTGCACGCAATCGGGGCTACGTCATCGTACGGAGGCTGTGCTTGGGTACGGATTATTTTCCCACGGTTTCCATCTTGGAAAGAGGCAGGTTGGCGGGGTCGGGAAGTGTCGAGTCACGAGCTTTTATATCGACGCTGGTTTTCACGCGTGGGAGCACAAAGGCCTATTCGAAGCTTGTCAAACTTTTTTTCTTCTCAAATCAATACACGAGAGCCAGTTATCTTTCTCTTTTTTTTTTTATTTATTGCATCGGCGATTGACAAATCAATGTTACATACAAACTTTTAAACTTAAGCATTGGAAAAAGTGGCAAAAAGACGCCCCTGCCGTGCGGTGTAAACAAGAGATTTGCACCATGTCCTTTGCTTCCTTTGTTTTTTTTTTTCTACTGTACATGCTTCAGAAGTGTAATTAAATGTTACGAATATGGATACAACCTGTCTACATTTTTTTCTCTTGTTTCCTTGACAAAGATTTCCGGTGGTTCTATAGCAGTTTATTGGAGAAAACTGAGTCCAGCATCTGCTCTCTCCCCCCATGCTTTACCTGAAAACTTTTCTGTCAAACTGTGGCCATACGTTGGTTTGATTAAAATTCAACAGAAGCACGCCAATAAAAGACTGCCACTAAATAGTGAAAGTGTGTACAGTCACATCTCTTCAATATGGACCCCATTAATATATGGGCATTCCACTTGTAGACGGTAGTTTTGGGGACCGATCCATCTTCACAGTTCTGCCTTGTTAATACAGAAACCTGCAGTACAGAGTGGAGACGGCTAGTTTTGGAACGAACTGGGTGAATACACACACTTTTGTCTCGTTTTTATGTACAGAAGCTTTCTGGACACTGTCCACAAACACAAGGAAAAAATTTATAGCAAACTGCTAGGCAATTACGTTGCATACGTGAAATGTTCTAGCATCGCAAACGTTTGGCGATAGTCAGAGTTTCCATACGCTAGTTGCCTAAGTTCATGGCACTCTTCATCGGGTAGTTTTAACGCGTACCGTGTGTACATTTAGTGATTGTTCCTAGAATGAAGCGATACTACTGCTAATCGAGCCGATAAACCTGGCAATCTTCCAGAGCCTTCCATACTCTCAAACTCCTCTCCCTTGGTGTGCAAAGGTTGCCTTTGCACCTACTCCTCTAGTCACTCGACCTCCCTGTTAACCAATCAGCACCAAGCTTGGAGTTCCTCCTCTCCCACTCTTCAACCAACCAGTGTCGAGCCTCGCAGCCACACTTTTATCTGGGCTTCATGAAATGACGAACACTTAGCCAAAGAATGTTTCAGATTAAAAAAGGTTAGTGAAGACCTTGGGTAACAAAGTGTACACGGAGCTTCACTTTTGCTTTGCCCTACAAAGAGATAAGACCTGAGCACCAAACAGTGGTTAAATTTTTGGGGGGCGCTTTCCAGCCAAATAGGTTACTTGTCGTTCTCTCCTTACATGTGCCATGGCTGGAGGTGAGGAACCTGGATATTATTAAAGTTCATTACACTCAGACATTTGTTCAAACACATTACATGAGAAAAGGGGAGGGGGAGAAAAAAAATCAAAAGCACTGAATACATTGGCAACAAAACAAGTTTAAACAGCAAACTTAAAACACTATACAGGATTACAACACTCATTATTTGTTAGTTTCAGTGGCTATATCGTTATGGAGGCAGTTCCAGTTTTTAGTATAGATAATGCAAAAGAAGTGTATTTGAATCTATTGGTGCAACCAAACAGAAGTGCAATTTTTAAGGAGTGATCATGGCGCAAAGAAATGTATGCAGCAGGCTTGCAGTGGGTGAGCATGAACGATGGCATGTTTTAATAAAACTTGTGAAAAAGAGTGAGATGAGACTGTGGCGTGAATCAAGGGGATTTAGGTTAGAAATAGCCTTAAGGGTACATGCTATGTGGAGAGACAGATTTTTTCATTTTTACCCAAGGACGATGAAACTTTAGATATTTATGGTTTTGCCTGTTCTTTTCAAAACAGTCGTCAGTTTTAAAGTTCTAATATGCTGGTTTTTGTGGAATAAATAATGATGAATGAAGCAGGCAGCTTTGTTTGGAATAGACTCTAATCTGTTCACGAGGTATGGCTGATGAGGGGACCATAGTGAGCTGGCATATTCTAATTTTGGCCGAAAGAGGGTTTTGTATGCACCAAGTTTTACCGTCCTGTTGTGCTAAATATAAATGCTTTCTAAGAAATCCAAATGTTCTTGAGGCTTTGTTAACTATGTTGTCGATTAAGCATTCCAAGTCAGATCTTCGATGAAAGTAATACTTAGGTTACTTGTATGAGGGCACAGATGTTATAGAAGTGGAGAGAATAGAGTAGAAAGGAATGTGGTAGAACAATTTAAAGAAATCAGCTTGGTTTTCGCAACATCGATATTCATTTCCCATATTTAAGCACCATTCAGCCAAGATGCTGAGGTCACGTTGAAGAATCTCCGAGTCGTTAGGATGGGCTAAGGAGGTCATGTAGACCCTCTCTGCATGAAAGTAAAGGCAGGATGCTTCCTTCAACACTTAGAAAGTAAAACTAGAGTTGGTCTAGTCAAGACCAAATATTTTACTAGACGAATTGCATCTCGTTCCAGAAAAATCCAGTGACCTTTGCGTCGACGGGCTGCGTAAATGCGCTATGATGCGATGCGCATGCATTCTCGCCGATGGGGGGTCGGTGAAGTGCTTACGTGTCTAGGGGGGGATTTGGTGCTGTGGGCACACTGTCTAATGCAATCGAGCGGAGAAAAATGCAATTCTCCTAGTGAAGTATTTGGTAAGACTGTGTCGGGTGTGGATCATGACTCGTCTTACGTGGTTTGAGCTCTCACTCTGGATGGTTTGCAACATCCCCAACTCCATTGCTCATCTGTATTTCTTCCTAACCATCATTGTGTCATCCATCAGCCCTTACAAATGATGCAGTTGAGTCCTTCTACCTCACCGCTTCAAACACCTTATCCTTACCATTCCCCAATTTCTGCTTTTCTATGCCATCGAATGGACCGGCCAACCATAAGCTTCGTTAGTCGATTAATTTGCTGGTTTGCCGCTGGTTGCGTACTAGCGAAGCCAAAATGCAGGCGATTCAAGAGATCGGAATCATGGAATATTGTAAACAATGATTTGGTACCTAATTTTTATGACTTCGAAAATAGATTGCACGAATATTGTTCCCTATACTGTGGAATCTAGTTATTTCAAACTCTTTTCATTAATAAAACTTGCGGATAATTCAAACTGACATGCAGGTCCCGTCTTATGTGTTTCTAGGGAGGAAACTCTCGGTAATTCAAACAAAGTTTTGGTGCCCTTTGGGTTTAAACTAACGAGATTCCACTGTAGTAGCGAATACTGCATACTGCTTGCAACTGCGAAATTTCGGGCCAGCAAAACAGTTTTGAAACTCACAAGTTGGAAGATATCGCACTCGCGAAACTAGTCATTTACAGTATTCCGTACAACGGCACAGATGTCAAAGATTCGAAAAAGCGCTGCAAAAAACTGCGAGGCCAAGTGACTAAATAAGCTATGCTTTAGGGCAACCATACTTCAGCCGTCTTGTTTGCTCAAAATCATGGTTGCCCGTTACCCGAAACCTTGTCAGCAATGTGGAGGGCAAGTCGTCTGCTTCTTGCGCAAGGGTTGCGGTGACGTCAGAAAGACGCCGGGCTCCGATTGACTCTGATTAAAGGGTAATGGGTAGACATCAAAGCAAGCTGCCTAGAGGTCTACCCACTATCTTTCAGTCAGAACCAATCAGAGGTCGGCGTTCCAGCGTCGCCACAACCCCTACAAAATAAGCAGACAAACTTACGGTCCGCATAGACCCTTTTCAAAAGTTTACTCTGAGCACGCATTGGGCATGAGTGCCGCGTTGGCATTCGGCGAAAGCTCAGGTCCGATTGCACGCTTCATGCCCAAGAAATGGCGACCACCAATGTTGCTCGGTGGAGTTTTTGAAAAGGGTCTGTCGCAGCAAGCAAATGCTTTCCCACCTTCCAAAAATCTTAGGTGCGCGGCGAAGCAGAACATCATCACCCAAGCTATGAAACGCCGTGTCAAAAGTTTGGGAAGTGGCATTTTCTGATAACAACTATCGCCACCTCTGTCCGTCATGCACTAGGCAACCAGATGGCGGCACCCACCAGAAAGTTCCATCTCGAGGAACCCCCATCTGTGTCGACCGAAAGCCGAGGAACCCTTCCCGCTCCCGACGCATTAAAGCGGCGTAGAAGCCTTCAGCATCTGTCAACGACAGCATCTGTCAACATGCTAAGCAGTGTTTGGCTCAAAGTTGTACATCAACAGGTGGCTCAGATCTGCTAAGATTGTGCTTTAACTATTAAAAAATCACTTCACCTAGGGGCAGGGACAGTTGAGGAAATTTGGAGAACCCGAGGGTGCACTCGGAGTTCCTATCATACCAATTTGAGAGCCCATGACTCAAGCATATAGTTTACTTAACGAGGCATAATCACTGAAGATGATAACTACTCTACAATTCTTTCCTTGACAGAAGAATATAGCGTGGAATGGCAAGCGTGCACCCGTGTCACACTAAGGACCCATTTGCTAGTTATGAAATGTAAGAAAAAGCAAAGGACATAGAGTTGCCAGACTTCCAAGCCCTCCCAGCTAACCGAGATGCTCCTCGGTGTCGGCCACTTCTTTTAGGATGCTGGTGGAAAGCGGTGAAGCCCGGCATAATGAGTGCCCCTTCTGCATTTTTTTTTTTTTTCAGACCTAACAAGTGCCTAAACCCCAGTTTTAGCAGAGAATACATTGTATGGCTTTGGTTTCATGAGAAAACCAACATGTTGTGCCCCTACAACCGGCGGAAAATTCATGACACCAAGACAGTGTGCCACGAGGTCGTGCAACCGACGTCGCAGAATCGCGTGCAACACCGCAACGTCGCACAACACTGGCGCTTGACGTCAAGTCACAGGGCATCATGTTAGTCTAAAGAAGATTATAGTGAATAATAACTTGCACAGCCAGACACAGCATGTGCCCAGCTCCTCCGTAGCACGTTTGTGCATCTTCGAACCAATGTCGCAGAATTGTGTGGCACTGGGACAACACACAACACCCAAACACGCCGAGTCGCACAACTCAACGTCGGAGAATCCTAGCAAATAATGGCTCACACAACCAGACGCGACACGTGCCCAATTCATTCACAATGCATTCTGCGAGTGTCAAGTTTATCATAAACTCAATTTAGGCAAGACGCGCATAAATTTTTCAATATTATCTTTAGATACCGAGTCGGTGCTTGCACAATTTGCGATACAAAGAATAGCCTTGAACCGCAAAAACTATAAATGACGCAGAGTCATTCGTTTCTAACCACTATCCGCGTGCCTCTACGAGCAGCTTGCCCTTAAACTGGTAACATGCACATGTATCCAAATGCTGACGTGGCGTTTGGCCGTGTTGGCGTTTGGCTGACATGGCTGAACACTGGTTCAGAGACGTGCCCAAATAATTCTCAACTTCGCCGCTAGGGGCACGACAATTGAATCAAAGCCCAAAAGGGGTCTTCATGTTTTAACTTTTAAGCATTGATCAAAAAGGCGAGAACAGCTGAGAGGAGCTTCAGTTGTCCCGCCCTCACCACGAGCTCCTTATCTTCGAAGATGTTTCGGCATCTGGAGCACGTGCACGCAGGCAAAGTGCGGCGAAAGACACGGAGCACGTGCTGGAGGCATTCAAAAGGTACGCCCTGCTATTCTCACATTTCGAGTGACCATAGCAATGGTAGTACTGCACTGGCAAACTTTCTCGCCTATGACAGAAACACCGGACCCCCAAAGGGGCCGGCTAACTTCCTGCCACCCGAAAAGATGTGGCACAATCGTCGATTACCGGGAGGTGCGGGGGTCGAAAAGAAAAACGCTTTTATTAACTCGGCGGCACGCGGGGCGTCGTGCCGTACGCCCGAGACTCGGCTAGGGCGATCTTCTGCAGGAGCTCCTCCTTTTCCAGGCGCAGCCGCTCGATGCGGTCTTGGTTCTGGCGCAGCCGGTTCTCGAAGCTCTGCAGTAGGGGCCCGCTGACGGACTCCGCTATGTTGCACAGGGCCTTGACGAACACTGCGCACGAGACGAGGACATTCTACTGAGGTGGTTCTCGACCGCCGACGTTTCGGGGATCCCGTCCGGATTGGCGGAAGTGATCGGGGGTATCACACAATTACAATGACGAAAGAGTAAATGAAGAACAGTAACTCCATGCAAATCAAATTTGAAGCTTTGAAACAGAGAACAATCGACCCTTTTCTTTTGGTGCACATGGTTTGGTCTATTTAGCTTCGTGGGACAGCGAGAACCAATAAATAAAAAAAGTTATTGCTCGGCTTGGCCGACAGTTGAGGGTTTTGGGAACCCTAAGAAAGCCTGCGGGGACCCCAAAGGATCTGTGGACCCTCAATTGATAACCTCACTTTTACTGCAACGACAGACAGACTTGCGTCCTGCATTTGTTGCTTCGGCCTTGCCCTTTGACAGCTTTTGAATGGTGCCGTAGAGGCTGGTTCACGCATTTGTGTTTGACTGTGCTCGAGTGTGTTGCAGTCCCTCGTAACAGCTTTACATAATGGCACACCGGCACCACATATCGGGTAGGCCTGAAACACTTCCGACCTTCCCATAATTGCACTGAAACTTTTTGAGGTATTTGCAAGATCAAATCAACGCACTATCTTCAAGAAATAGTCGCTTATAACATTGCTGGAAATACTTAGAGCCCACAGTAAGTGAATGATGTGGGAAAGATTACAAAAATATGCTCGGAGAGCAAGTCGTCTGCTCCTTGCGTAGGAGTTGCGGTGACGTCAGGACGACGCCGAGGTCTAATTGGCTTCGATTGAAAGGGTAGCGGGTAGACCTCAATGCTAGATGCCCCAAGGTCTACCCACTATTTTTTTCAATCGGCCAATAAGAGCTCAGCATCCTGACATCATCGCAACCCCCGTGCAAGAAGCAGACGAACTTGCGCTCTGCATAAGCCGGTCAGAACTGTTCTAGTGCAATGCAATAGACGGCATCAGTGTGTTAAGTGGTAACTCAGGAATGAAACGCTTTCACACTCAAACCACTTTTTGCTGCGGTCTATTTATGGTCATAACTCTATGTATGGGCTCTAAGCATCCTAAGCAACCAAACATTACGTTCATGCACGGCCAATTTCTTTATTAAAATCGGCATCAAAGCTTGATTACCTCGGAATCACCAGTGACACCAGAGAGCTTCATCGGACGAGGAGAAGAGCTTCATAGAGAGCCTGTAGTACAGTGTTCAACCGCTCGATTGAGGTCCCGTGGCTTATGGGCCGCGTTTGCAATACGGGCCGCGAGGAGGAGACAAACAAGTTGATGGTCTGCGAGCGTTTCTGCCTTTCTGCCTGCTTTTCTCTCGCCATATGACAATGCAGCGCATGCACAATTGCAACCAATCAGCACGAGAGGTGTCCTTCATTAAATCGCAAACGCCCCCCTTCGTTCCAGATCGACCCCCTCTGCAATCTAGGCTCTCTAGGGCTTCTCCTTGTCCCATGGCGTCCTCTGGTGTCTGCGATAGCTCCGAGGTAATCATCTTTAACGCCAATTTTAATAGAAAAATTAACCATGCATGAATGTAATTAAAGTGACCATATTCCCCGGGCCCCAAAGTGGGACGCTTCTTGGGAGGGAGGGGGGGGTATTGTGTTGCGAGACTTGAAAAATTTCGGTGACAAATCATACCTTTCCTTTATTTCGTATACACCGTGTGCATTTCTTTTTCTTGCAATTTGCGTACTGTGTGACTTGCTACTACATTTGGTTGGAATATTCCTTTCGTATTAATGTATTTATTTTTGTGTACTATGGTCCATAGTACTGTTCACATGTCATACGCCAGTTGACCTTCAGCATATACTCTCTATCGAGCATATCTTGTTCCTTGATGAGAGGAAGCACCCTCTCGCCGGTGCGATCCTTTCGTTTAACCGAATCTGTAATCTATCCGCGGTTCGAGGAGCACAAGCGGGACAAAACGGCGTCCCACAAGCACGCTGGCGGGACAGCGGGACCACGGCCGGAAAAGCGGGACCTGTCCCGCCTAAATCGGGACGTCTGGTCACTTTAATGTAATGTTTTCTTTTTAGGATGCTTAGAACCCATAAACTGAGTTACGACCATATGTAGACTGTCGCAGAAAGTAGTTCAGTGCCCCTTTGAGAATAGACCTCTAGCAAACTACCCAAGTACCAAGGAGCATGTTGGGAACGTAGGTTCAGGGTGCGGAAATATGAGCTGATCCAACGGCGTTCTAGCCGGGGTGACAGATTTGAAACTTCAAAGGATCTTTGTGCATTTTATCATTGTTTTCCACAAGACCTCGTGGATGCTAGTCGCTTCACACGTGCAGTACGGCGCCGAGATAACGCCACGTCGGCGCTGAGCTGGCAGTGCCTCAAGTCTGTTAACCAGAAATGGCTGGGTCTTGTGCAGCAGTCCCAATACAGCACTGATGTGATGCAAACTCGGCACCGTGTCTACGATAGAGGTTGAATGCATATTACATTTGTCTATTCGCAACTTTCATGCCCTAAAGGGGGCGCGTTAATTTCTATCAAAACGGCCATCATCTGGATGGTTCACGGACGATCGTCGAAAAGCAGCTGTAGGAGGTTGGGTCTGCGACGTTCAAGTAATTCTAATTTTGTGAAATACGAGCGATATAAGAGCCGTACCCAATACTTCCACATTGGGAAGGGGTAAGCAAGCACGTCCGCTCGGCAGATGGTCGTCTAGGAGCTAGGGAGCGAGATTCTCGGAAAGAAGCGCGCTGAATAAGGCAACTTGCCACGATCAACACTTCGAAAAATATGAATAGTGCAAATTTTCTCGAAGGAAATATAGAAGAGTGTATCATTCGAAACTACTATTCGAAATTTTGAATATTAACTCAACCCTAGTATATACTAGCTGGACTGAAGGGGGATCGGTGGCCGAGTGGGCTAGCGCACACCCAGCTCGACGTGCGTGGAGCGAAAGCTCGCGCTGCAGAACCCAGGGATCCTGGGTTTGAGCCCCACCCCTGCCCGTTTCGATCTGGATGAGCATCGTACCGGCGTGCGGTCGTGTATCACTGCTGCGTGGTGCATGTTAAAGACCCTAGGCTAGCGGTTGTACCGCACTGGCTAAATTGCTCATCTACAGCTGGGAGACTCGTCGCCTGTCGAGGCAGACCAAGTTCTAGGCTGTATAAACATAAAACACAACCCAATTTCTTTTTAGCTGGACCGAAGGTTTTGCAGTACTTGCGAGATCATATTTATGCGCTATCTCTGGAGGTGGTCGCTTATAACATTGACCAAATTATTTAGAGCCCATAGGGTAAGAATTATGCTCAAAATATTACAAAAAATATATACACGGGTAGAAAGTGTTTCTAGTGCTACCTGACAGATGGCGCAAGTGTTGTGAGCAGTCACATATCAATCGCAGTCAAAGGCAAATCTGCAAGCTAGCATCAATTAGAGGTGCCACAAGCTTTTGTTGAACCCAAGCTTCGACCGGTTCGGCACACCTTCCAACTTTTAGCAAAATTCAACAAGGACTTATGGACAGCATTGCCAAATTTCTACACAAAAGGTTTGAGTTTTGGGAAACAAATAGCTTATAAAGGAGTGAATGCTATGCTGTAAATGGCTTCGTTTTCGGGGGCTCAATATTTTTGGGATTTCACAAAAGTTTTGGTAGATCGTTCAAGCGACTCCGACAACAATACCAGTTACTTCGCTATCACCTTTGCACATGCGTCGTACCATTTTCGGGGGTGTCGAAGGTATCAAAAATGATCTACTAAAACTCTCTAAATTTTATATTTTGAGGGTACGAAATTTCATGATTTAGAGTGATATTCGTTCGTGGATTTGATATATTAGTGGGATCAACTTTTTCATAGTATTTTCAAATTGCGACTATTAGGTCATCTCAAAAATAATTACTTAAAGTATCCTATAAAATAATCACCAGTGTTTCAGCGATATAAAAGCAAACATATGTACTATTTTTAGGGCTTCAGTTAGTGTATTAATGTGAAGCAGTGAAACAGACCCAATATTGCGTTTTTCCTCCGCCAGGTGGCATCAGCTCGTTTTAAATTTCTGCGCATCTGCGCACGTTCGAAGATGCCAAACCTCGTCGAACCCAGATGTTGGCAGGTTCGCGGTAAAGAGCCTAGGTTTAAGAGCGGAAGTAGGTGAAACCATGGGGGGGGAGTTCGCAATTTAATGGCGGATTGGTCGGTAGCGCACGCAAGTTGGGTTGTTTTGTGGCGAGGGGGAAAGCGGGCAGAGAGGTGGAGACGCTTGCAGATGACCGGCGCTCTCGTCACCTCCTCGCAGCTCGTACTGTGAATGCAGCCCACAAACCACGTGACCCCGATCAAACAGTCGCAAACACTTTAAACTAAACACACTACGTAGTTTGTGACGTCCCTGGCCACGACACCGTGGCGACAATGCGCTGGACAGAGCGTGGCAAAGGAGGGCAACCCGTCCTTACCCGAGCCATTGTGCATCTTGGTGAGCAGGTCCAGCCGAGGGACCTGCTTCGTGAAGCCAAACATGTCCTCTTCCTCCTGGCACAGGATCTGGGGGAGCTGCACCAAGGCCTCCAGGCAGGCGTTGCTGATGTGCGTGCTCGGCACAATGTACAGCGGGATCTCGGCACGCACATACCTGGCAACGGAGAATGCCCTGCGGATGACTCGGCTTGGCACGGAATGCTCGGCTCGCGTGCGGCCGAGCCAAGCCGCACGAAAAATCCTAAGTGCTGACATCTGCGGATCCAAAAGAATGAAGTACACCGGGAAAGACAGAAGGCCAGAAAAAAAAAGCAGGCAAAAGGCTAGACGTGTTCACTTTGCCGCAACCCCTTCAAGTCAATCAGTTGCTTGTCAGTCAACTTTAGCTTTTCTTGATGTTTTGCAGGATGTGGGTGCACTCTCGCAAAATGAAGCTAAAGCTAGATATTGACCTTGCAAGTTATATTTTGCTGCTGCTTTGCGTTTATTAGAGGCTTTCCAGCTACCTTGGCTCACTGGCACGACCACAGCCTGCTTCCATGCCCCGCCATTCTGAGAGGGCCAAAATGCGTGGGAAAATAGCAAACATTCTCTAAATTTATATTACAAACTATGATAGGTGGTGATGGGTAAAACATGAAGTTTGAGCTTTACCTTCCGCATGCTCATTTGTGCTCAGGGGGGTAAAGGTGGGTGAGGAGGAGTGGCAAATCCCGCGCGCCGACATCCTGGGTCCCGAGTGAAAGATCGCGAAAAAGAGCGACAGAACACGAGAGAAAGAAACCAATGTTGCCAGCTGAAGGACAACAGTCGCAATGGTAATCGCGAAGACTGAAAACTCTCAGCAATATAAACAGTGATAATTTAACGTTGCAAACTAAATTCTGAGCTATTCTAAGGTTTATAAAAAGCAGCATACTCATTACGCTGCATTAACTTCCCTTCTGTCGAAATCTCGAAAATCTGGTAGTTGCGCAATTTCGTATTTTCAGGCGCGGCCACCCGCGCCCGGAAATACGAAACTAAACCAGATAACCGAAGCCAGTTATCTGGTTTAGTTTTGTGTTGACGGGAGGCCATACATCTGCGTGCTATGCAAAAAGAAAGCTTCGAAAGGAGCGCGAATATCTTTCCACCGGCAAGTTCGTGGATTGTTGAAGTTCATGGCACTGCTCTGATGATATATTTATGAAATCGAAGGCAGTTGGTAACCATGTGGGACCCCGAGGGTCTGCCTACATGCTCCGCCGCTTGCGGCAGCCAGAATGCATGGAAAAATGGCGGACCTTTTCCTCTGGAGTTAGTACGTATGATCTCTATGTTTGTGCTCACGAAATGTGGAAATAGAGTAGAATCTCATTAATTCAAACTCTCTTAACTTAAACTTGCGGATAATTCAAACTAACATGCAGGTCCCATCCTATGTGTCTCTATGGGAGAGAACTCCTGGTAATTCAAACTTTGCTTTTTTCAAACAAATTTTCGGTTCCCCTCGAGTATGAATTAACGAGATTCGACCGTAATATCGAAAGCTCACACTGGAGGCCGAGCTTCCACTGCATTCTTAACCTGTCACCGTCTACATGTAAAGGCTCTGGGACCGCACCTTGGTTCCAAAAAGCAATGTGAGACACTTACCTTTCACCATCGCTACCCTGGTTCACGGATTGAAAGCATGTCACCTGAACCTGGTTCAGCTGGAAAAAGAAGTAATATACATGCATTTAGAGCATATACTCTATTACCAGTCCTTGTAAGCATTACATAAGAGGAGTGAACCTATAAAGAAAATGTGAAACAAAAGCACAAATCAGGCGCAATGTCGAAACACTAAAATCGCAACTGCTCGTCGCTTACGACAAGATTATCAGGTAGCCCGGGAAGACTTTGAATCTGTATAGTTTGCACTAGGGATGTCGCAGCGAAGTTTGACCTACGAACGTGTTGCCTGGCTTCTACACAAAAAAATTCAGAATTTTAGGAAACAAAAAATTTAAAAGTAGTTCATTTTATATTTAAAAAACGATTACCAACATTTTTGCGATATAAAAGCAAAAAAAGGCAATTTTAATGCCTTCATTAGTTGGCAATGCAAACCAGCGAAGCAATATGGCCAGCAAAGAGGCACGTAGCCAGGGGGGGCCCATGAGGCCCAGGCCCCCCCCCCCAAAAATCTTCCATTCTGCTGGGGCCTTTTCTCCCCCCTCCCCCTCATACAGCATTTTGTCATGGGCGGGCCCCCTCCTGCCAGCAAATATTGGTCTTTTCCTCTGCTAGGTGGTGTCGGCCCCTTCTCAAAGTAAAACGAAGGAGAAAGACACTTCACCGTGTTTACGGATTTCCTCCCCGATTTCTATGACCCCAAAGTCGTAGTACACGCATGCGAAAGAAGAACGATAGAGATAACAGAATGAAACTGTTTTGCCTACAAAAAAATTTGTTCAGACAAAAAAAGAAAAAAAAAAATGAAGTCTGAAAGATAACACAAGCAATGCACCTTTGCATTTAATTGCATTATAATAATAACCTTAAAATGCAAGCCTGTCACCCTTGTTGGTGTTAGACTGGTGGCAGCTGATAAAACCCGTTTGCTCTACAGATGCCTAACTCCTGGTTAGCTCAGTTGGAAGAGCGCTCCACTGCAAGTGGAGAGGTCCCGGGTTCGATACCTGGAGCATGCGGATTTTTTCGGTCGCGCACCAGTCACCTAGCTGCGTTTGGAGATTTGTGTTTGTCCTTTGTCCCTCTTGTTCCCCTTCTCCAGGGATTATTTTCAACAAGCAGCAGCCCATTCAGGGACCGCAAAGTCAGCGAACACCCCAAAATCTGGAACGTAACTGCAGAGTGCAAGGTCAAAGTCCGTCTCCATTGAAGTAAGGTCACCACGAACACACTCCTTCTCCCGGAATGTAGCAACCGCAGTTGCCAAGGTTGGACAATGTTTAAGACAAAGTAAAAGCGTAAATAAAGATTTGCTGGAATGCGGCACACAGATGTTTGTAGAGCGTCCCATTTTAAGCTCCGTGTTTGTGGTGCCATTCAGGCCATGCAGCAATGCCGCCTCAGCCTGCGTTGATAGTATGTTGTGCACGGACGCATGTATTCACCAAACAAGAGAGTTGTGCAAGAGCCTGCTCCTTGTAATTGACAAGGCGCCCGACTTGGCCGCCTTGTCAATTACAGCGATCGCACTGGCAAATACATTGACAAGGCGGCCGACTTGGCCACCTTGTCAATGTATTTGCCAGTGCGATCGCTCTTCGTCGCTTCTTTCGTTTGCTCGCTCGCTCGCTTGTTGCACCTGGTTCGTTTTTCTATTTTCTTGGCGACTTCCTTTTTTTTTATTAACAAAGAAAACAGAACGATGTCAGAAATGTAGAACAATGTTCGCGCTGTATGCTGATCGGCGGTGTTCATCGCACATATGCAAGCAACAGACTATGCGATAGTGTAACATCTTTCCATAAGCCTTTTTTGTGCATAAAACAATGAAACTAATTCGGGTTTTGAGTTTAATGTACCTCTTTTGCAGCCACGCTAAATGATAAGTACAAAAAAATAGGCATTTTTTTAGCCTTTCCAAACCTTTTGTGCTTGCTCACTGAGATATGGCCCACCCCACTTTTTTCTTATTTTTATGACTCGAAATATTACGGTATAGTTTTTCTGGCAAAATGCTGGCCCCACGACACAGAGACAGTCCAACAGACTTTCGTGATGGACAGACGGGCGCGCGGGAGTCCCGCAACAACTGACCTTGGTCGTAGAGTCCTCGCTGAACACGGAAAAGATGAGGCCCACAAACCCCTCATCCATCATCTGGTAGATGGCTTGCGTCTGCACATCTGAAAGAAGAATGCGTCATGACAAAGTTCAAACGGGGTAATTCCCAATAAAGAAAAAGATTGTTTTCCTTTTTTTTTATCAAAGAGATGGTGTCTTGCACGAGACGCCCACCACGGCGCCGCTAGCCCACTTACCAACGTGCGAGGGCCAGACGGTGATGTGCGGGTGCGAGTGGTACCAGCCCAGGACCCGCATCGGTTTGCACTGCAGAGCTGCCAGCGCTTGAGTACAGAGTCAAGGTGGTGTGGCGGAATCTGGGCTCAGCTGAAATTCGCGTGACTGTGTCACGCAGCGAGTCCTTCGCTCACACCAACCGCAACACCATAGACCCTTTCCGGAAAAGTGCTTCAAGGAGGCGCCGCCGCAGCTTACGTACCCAAAAGCTTCCGGTCAAAAGCGAGGGCAAACAATCCCTCACCACGACACCACTCTTTGCAATATCCATAGAATATTTTGCCACCAATTCTACCAGTGCTTAGCTAAAGGATAGAACAACGAGACTTGTTAGAGAGTTTTGGATACTTCAACAAGACAGCGATGACCTCGAATATGTTTACTAAAAGAGCAGACGGACTTTGTTAAAGACCCAACTCTGCAGTATGTAAACGTCCTAGAAATTGTGGCATAAACAAGCTTGGAAAACTTAGAACGGTACTCCGGCATTTTCTTCGTCGTCCCCGATTTGCCCGAAAATTTGATAAAAACACACCTATAAGCATCGCTGAAATGGTATTCCAAGTTTTAGATCAAGATTAATTTTGTTTTGCGAAGTTATAGAATTTACAATATTGATCTTCACCGTGTATTTCAAACTAAAAGTCTCTACTCGAAACAACGAAAAAGTGATGCCAGTGGAAGGCAGGAAGTCACTCTTTAGAGCGTACCATTTCTTCCCAACCAATTACGAGCTGTTTCACGGCGTGAAAGAAACACTTCGGAAGCTCGCTCTAGTACCCGCGCAGCAGCACAAAACAAACGCTCGGCACGGTCTATTTCTTAAACTGCCAGCTCGATTGGCAAGCCTTCCGGCCACCGACGTCACGGCGCCAAAAAGCAGGGGTACATTTGAATGTTGGTGTTTGCGTTGTTTTCCAATTTCCTAATGACCATTTAAAATCTCACTGTGCTAAGAAGCATACAGGAAAGGGTAAAGGCCGGGAGATTAAAACAAATATAGTTAGTAGGAGTAGCTAAAAAAATTGACGGAGTACCCCTTTAACGAGCGGAGAGACCATAAGTCGCCCGGGACGAGAACAGCATCTCTTCCGGATGCCTGGCTTCCAAAGTGCGCGCACTGTCTTGGCAACAAAATAGGCGACAAAATGGCGGCGCATACAAAGCAATCAAAAACTCGGGTGTTGATACTCTAAGCAGAGTTGCTCTAGGGATCCTGGTGTAAACAATAACTACTGAAACTGAACTGGGGAAACAGGAGACGAGAAAGGATATCTCAGCCTGAGTAGAGGCGTCGGACAGCTGTTCGGGGGAGATCTCGACGCGATCCTTCCGCTTGTCCGACCTCCGCAACACGATCACGGCAGAGATATGGGCCACCCTGGTCTCGTCGATCTGCAAGGGGAAGCCAAAAGAATACAATCCAATCTAACCGAGCGAAAGGGTTCTTATTTTCGGGAGGAACGTCAGCACTCGTGGGAAAGACACTGTCCTAACAGCGTGGCTGAGAACCCCCCAGAGATTGGGGAGAAAATTGGACGGTACAACGCTCACTGTACCAGAGGCACGGGCTCTCTGTATATCTTGCATAGAATCACATCTTTGTTGCCAACTTCAGTTGTTGATGTGTGCAACCACCCTCAACTTTGACGGCGTTTGTTTAAAGGCCGACGTACAACCTCCGTTTTTAGCAGAGAACATAATCCTCTTAGTGCTCCCCTCTCTTAAGCTGTGAGTTGAGCCAATTTAAGGCTTATTCACATGACGCATCTTTTCAACGAGCCACAGTTTAGCGAAACCAAGATTTCGCGAAATCTGCCTGTTCACACGTGGAGTTTGACGCGCGAAACCTGTGACGTATTGACTCACAAGAATTTCGCCAAGCCTTGTCATCTGCCTCAAGAATATCAAGCATTTCGCATGAAATTGATGTGAAGTACGCACAGTGTGAAGAGACCGTCTGTTTAATTAATACCACTCAATGAACTTCGTCAGATTCGGCTCACTGGGTTTGCCAGTCCTGCCAAACCCGGGAAAGACCGCGAATGTCAAAGAACAGGTGGATGATCTCAAAGCATCTCGGACATTTTTGCACCGCTAATAAAGAAAGTTATCCCCAGCCATCGTGTTTATATGCGGTGCTTGCAGTTGTCGCGACTGTTGATGAATCCGCACCGCGCCACCAACCCGTACTGCACGCCGCTCACACACCTGCAACCGAGTAAGACCAAGACTCATCGCCCGTACACACCGCTTCTCCGCTTGTCGCTCGCCATGTTTGTTTTTTTTTTTTTTGGGCTGTGGCTCGGATACAGGATCGGCGAAAAATCAGGTCCCTCCAAAAGCTCGTTCCTCCTCGAAGGTCAGACATCATAGCGAAGTTGAGCGGCCATTGGCAGCGTCCGCGTTTCTTCTTCGGGTGATTGACAGGCCTCGGTAAGCTTTCAGCGAAAAATTGCTCCAAAAGCGAGGAACACGCGCCACTTTTTCGGTTGCTATCAGATGGGAAATCTGTTTCACGAAACCTAGTTTCGCGACACAAGATTCGCCAACAAGATGCATCGTGTGAATAGACCATTAGGGGCAAGGTAAAAAGTGGAGAGGATATAAGGGGGAAGGAGGCAAAAGTGGTAAGTCGGCCTCTAAGAACACAGCGACTCGTAGCCTCCACCGCGTGTTTTTACACATATTATCGAAATTGTTGTTCGCATCCGATATAATACTGGTCCTGACGTCACGGCTAAAGTCCATAAAAGGGCAGCACCTAAGCATCCGACGTCTATGCAACTCAAAACGACAACTGAAGCCTCTGAACGGCACCCAAGTAAAACGTTGACTGTCGTTCAAAGGCAGGTTTCCTTTTCAAGCTCTTGCTACCGTATACTGCATGCTGTCTACGTACATTGTATGAATATTCATTGGAGGCACACATGCAATAAAAGGCTCGTCTCTATTTAGGATTTGTGTACGTGGGTCCAGTGATGTTGACATCAGTGCAACCGTCATACCCATTTCCCCTTCACCTTTGCGCGGTCGCAAAACGCTTAGGTGGGCCTGCTTTTTCGTCACCATGTTAGCAAAAGGCTGACATACCGCACAAGAAGAGCGGAATCCAGAGAAGTGATTGCCAAAACAACCGGGGGTCACCCGCGCTGCCTACCTCTCCGATCAGCAAGCCCATGACTTCCTCCTTTTCCGTGGACAGTGCGTGGCTCAGGCAGACCATGTACACGTCCGCGGACAGGTTCACTCGGATGGTGCCCATGATGACTCCAGAACCTCAGGATACACTGTACTCCACGGCTTCAGAGTAGCGGCTGGCTGCGGTAGCTCGGCGGGACACCTCCCCAAAAAGCAATCACTCTCCCAGCGACAGTTTTCGTTGGAAGCGTCGGCTGAGTGTCCAGGCTAAAAGGTCCGCGCTAGCGCAGCAGTACGGGTCGGCGTCTAGCAGTTGTATTCAATATGGGACCGTGCTTACTGTGATGTTGACTGTGGCGCAGGCGAAACTCTACAAGAATCTTTCGGCTCCGTTTTTCGGCTGCCGCCATTAGCCATTAGTTTACGAAATGTCAAGTAGAACACTTCCTTAGCTCCAGAGCTGCTTAGCTCCCGTCGTTGGCTCCCGTAGAAGCAAATTGAAGCTGGTGTATAACTTGCGCCATCTTTAGATTACTGTAGAAACCAAATTATGCTCATTTAGGTGCAAATGTGTGACAATTTGTTGGTTATCATTCATCCTACAGTTTATTTTTATTATTATTGTACGTTTTAATGCACTGCATACTTAGAAATGCATGAATGAACGGGGAAAAAGCAGTGGGAAAAAGCGTGGCTATGGAGTGTAGGGACAGTATGGATGTGGGAGGAACCGAAACCGACAGAGCTCTGGAACCGACTCCGGAAACGACCAGAGCCGCAACCGACGAACCGACGAACGACGAATCAACCAAATCAACCTCCAAGGACATTGAATGTGGAATCAAAGGAGTGCTCATTAGATTGTCCGGGTGATTGCCACCACGCAGAGCTCTGCCACCACGCATGCACACTTTATAAAGTTTATAAAGAACTTGAGTTTTTTTCTGCTCGCCGTTAACCGAGGTAAGCACGTGTGATTTTGACGCGCCGACATCCCCGCCGGCAGGCCCCCGTTTGTTTACTGTCTTGCTTTCTGATTTCATTTATGGGGAGCTAAAGTTCTTGTGCCACGAGTAGGAAGTAGCGTACAGTAGTACCGGTCATGTGATGCAGTGAATGTTATACGTTTATTGCTTGTTTTGAAGCAACAGACACAAAGAAGCGACGCCCTTGTGATTAACCCGGATCGTGTTTCAGCTGTTCAAATGGATGTCTAGAAATACTGAAGCACCAAAAAAAACTACATATTCCGTAATGCGCTAAAGGAGTCGAGGGCACCGGTGTGGCAGGCTTACGTGAGGTACGGGAGACGTGTGGCGTAGAGCTTTAAGAGCCAACTCGTCGAACGAGAGTTCGTTGAAGACCAGTTCGTCGGAGACCAATTCGTTGCAGGTCAACGTTTTTGATAGGCCAGCTCGTCACAGGCCAATTTGTAAAAAAGGTAACTCGTCGAGGGGGCAACCTGTCGACGAGCAGTTTGTCAAATTAGGTATTATTATTATTGTTCCTCACTTTACATCTTTTGACCTCAAACTTCTTTTGCTTCCTGTTCACAAAGTGTCTGTCCACACAGGACACAGCTCGCTTTGACTTGTGTAGCGCACAAATTTTTGCTGGGCGGAAGTGTAAGATCCCCTCTACTTCCAGTCCGCTTTGCAAGAGCTTTTTTCTGAGGGGATGCGTCCGCTTGTGTCCTTGGAAGCTCATGATGTAGGCTTTAAGGCGCTGGCCATCACCACCTCTTGTGGGTATCAAGGCCTCTGTGGCTATTGTCCTCTTCGACAACTTCCCGGAAACATGAAAGGAGAAGACCATGGGGATGACACGCCTTCCCTGACAGTGAGCTGACGGCAAGCTGAAGTTCCTAGGAAATTGCGGTGTTCCGCACGTGGAAGCATGTTTGATGTTCTCACTGAAATCATAAGCGCCCCAAAGCAGATACTGTTTTTGAAAATTGGTCACCATCTTTTTGCCATGCATAACTCAAATCATGTTTAGTGAGGACTACCCAGTCTAGTACACAAAAATCAATGCAAAGAGCTTTGACCTGACATTGTCAGAGTCCAACAGGTTGCTTCTCCACAAGTCAAATAATCTAAGGTCGATCTGGTTCTTGTTCAGTCGCCCTGCTATGGAGTCTCTAAAGATGAAGGGTGAAGCGAATATGTTGCTCCACCCTTCGTCACGAAATTACGAAATTGCAGAGGGTAAGCAAATTGGCGAAGGAAAGAAGTCTTACGATGGTTCTTAATTGCTAGGCTAGGTGGCACAAGCTACCGCCCGATTTATAGGGTACAGGCGTAAGCGGCCATCCATCCGGCTCGAAGAGTTCCAAAGCTACACCTGAAGTTAGAAGATAGGATCCTGTGTCTGCAGGGTTTGCAAAAGGTCTGAGGTATGTAAAGCCACTAAGCCAGGCATTGAGATGGGAGGAACTTGGAATAACCTTGAGATAAGAGAAACACTGCTTGGACCAGGAGAGCACACCAATTCTGGAGACCCCGTAGAACAGCAAGCCTAAGGGTGACCACCCGTCCCGCGACTGGCAGGACTGTCCCGTATTTAATGCTCGTGTCTCGCTTCCCGCAAGAAATTCCCGAATCTTCAAAATGTCCCGCATTTCACACTGTAGTAAAATTCACTCTGCAACTCGTGGTGCTGCCGAACAGCGGGGCACGGGGAAGCGCGGAGGTCGCTGGCAATTGTGTGAATTGCAATGGTACGGCATTTTTTATACAAGAATTGCGGCAAGCGACCGTCGTTTTTGCAGGAGAACCGACGCACATGCGCCTTTGTGCCTCTTCCCTTGGTGGCAAAGTATTGTAAGAGAAAATTGTTGGCCAAAAGTTTAAATATAAATTATTGTAATTATTTTCAAATCGCTGTGTCAATGCGAAAGGGTTGCTGTGGCAATTTTTTTAGTGAAGAGAGCCACACAAAGTAACAAGCCTGCAACTTACAAAGGTCGAAAAGAACATAAGAACACAATTTGTATAGGATCAAATTGATAAAAGTAAGCGTTGACAGGAGACAATAACCTGAAAAAGATTTAATGTTTCTTATTTCCACTTTATGCATTGAGTTCTGCTGCTGTTGATTTTTATGTTTTCAATTTTGACACATTTGATAACATATTTAGCATTAAAAATACATCAGTGGGAGTGAGAATTAGAACTTAATTGCTGCGATACAATTTGCAGGTGTATAAACAGTACAGGAAAATAAATGTGTTAACAGAGCCTTGGTGCGTGGTGTGCGTGTTAATAAATCCCCCTTCGCTCTGCTCTGCGTGTCCCGCATTTCGCTAGCAGGAAGGTGGTCACCCTAGCAAGCATGCAGTAAGGAACAGCAAAAAAAACTGTTTTAACTCGGTGGTGGAAGTTCTGCGCCATTTGTGCCAAGTTGCACCATAAATGGAGATTTCCTACCTCTTGCCCCGGAATGCCATTTTCGCTAAGAATTGCGCCACACCTGTGCTGAGATGGGCTTAAAGCAAAAATATTTAAAAAAAAAACTGAAAAGGAAAAAAACAAATTTTAAACAGTCTGATTGGGACATTCGTGTCAAAAAATAAATATTATGCAGAAAAAAAAAAATTCTTTAGAGCAATATTGACAGCGAGAGATTTATTTTAAATTCTGCGCGCAAAGTCCATGACGTCACGGAATGGTCATTCGCTCCTTTGACCTCAATGAGATGGTCTCTCGCTCTCTCCACCTCAACGTGATGGCCAAGCCAGTCCACCTCTTTTCCACGTGCCCGAAATGCCAAGAGGGAAAACAAGTGGAAAGGATGTGACTACCAACTAAATCGCGTCTCGCGCCGTAAATATTCTTCTAAAGAAATTTTTTTTTTTTTTTCGCGTAAAATTAATTTTTTGACACGCACCTCCCAAAAACTCTTCAAAAAAAAGCTTTGTTTGTTTGTTTTCTTTTAAGGGGCCTTTTATTATTTCATTATTGGTCGACCCTAAAGCGCCATTCACACTCTTGCGACCGAGTAAGACTGAGAGAGACCAGACCGGTTTTTAAGCCTTTTGTGACTTCTTGGGACCGGATGCGCTGCAGCGGAGGAGGTCCTAAGAAATCGCAAGAGGCTTAAAAACCGGTCTGGTCTCTCTCGGTCTTACTTGGTCACAAGAGTGTGAATGGGCCTTAATATTCAAAGAAGTAGAAAAAAAGAAAAATTGTACAAATATAATTTTGTAGCATCTCTACTCAACATATTGTTTGTTTTGTTTTAAAGCACAGCCAAAGGCTCGAACACATACAATCAAACATGCATACTAAAAGCGCAAGTCATGGGACATTTGCTGCATTCTATTGGTGAAATTAATCCCCGGAGAAGGGGAGCAAAGGACAACACAAATCTCCAAACACAGCTAGGTGTTTATTTGTGTGTGTTTGGAGATTTGTGTTTGTCCTTTGTCCCTCTTGTTACCCCTCTCCAGGGATTATTTTCATCATTGTTGTCCAGCTCGCTTGCACCTTGGCATCTAATTGCATTACTCTATTGGTTCAGCCAATTGGTTGATTGGTTTAGAATACATACAAGGAGATTACGGATGTCGTGCTTTGATGCTGCAAGTCGACCGGCCAGAGCCATTGATGTTGGGCATCAGCCGCCCTGGCCGGCAGATGCACTGGTCGAGTGCTGTCATCGTCTAAATTTCCAGACGATGTCGTCGATGTCAGGAACTGCGGGTCCCGAGAAAACTTCACAAAATAGTAGGGTTGCCAATATAACCGTGATAAGACGGAACCAGAGTCTTGTACTCCTGATAAGATCACTCTATTATTATGTGTCACATGCCTTCATTGCTTGACTGCAGAGTACCGTGGCACTTGCGCCGCTCGCGTCAGACTTTACCGCCTTTCACCAGCGTGCACACGTCGAGCTTCGCCGCTTTGCATTGGAGTGCTAGGAGCAGTGGCTGACATGGGGGGAGTGCCTGGCTTGGCGTGATAGACATGCAAATTATGCTCAGGATTATTACGGGTCGACCTTCTTTTTCGTTACACTAAAATAATATCTACCTCTAAGAAAAAAATTCTGGGCAGACAAAAAGAGAGAAAACACGGGTTTTTATATATTTGAATAAATACAGCAGTCACAGTAGTTCCCGTGCAGCTGTCGATCGAAAGAGCGGCAAACTTTGACGTGACTTTGGTTCCTATACCGCTAAGAAGTATCACCTTTAAAGCACGAGTGTATAGCTTTTATAATATTTGTGGGGGGTTGTTTTTGCAGTTTATGATATTTGAGTCTCGAGTTTGGTAGGTTCCCTGAACTTGTGGGACACATTTTTATTGGTAGATGTGTTAGTGGATATGCTGGTTCTTGCTAGCGTTTTACAGAAATTATATTTACGGGCTAAACAAACTACCAAGTGTAAAATGGGGAGGGGAGAGAGGATTTGTCCCGATGAAGTGTTGTTGCGCTACGATTCACTTTTCAACCATTTTTAATACCCATTGTAAATGAAAGCTACGGTACTCTGACAAGAGCCTTATTTAGGACTGTTCCTTTTATGTCTTATCTATTCTTATCACAAACGGAAATAAGTGATATGCTCGGGTATCAAAGAGGGACCCTTGATCACTACCACAAATGAACTCATTTAGAGATGCGATTCCTTCTTCATTCTCGTGGTGTGCTAACGTATGTTGGCATCTGTTGCAAGAGAGTCAGTGGCTGCTCAGAACCAATATTTTACCTGCTACAGAACCTGTTACAAGAGGTCAAATTCCACTTCCATCACTGTTAACAGCAGGGAACCAGAAACTCTAATCTTTTTCCCCTGCATCTTGAAAACTAGTAGTCATTAATAATGCTTTCAAGTTTCATATTCTCTATAACCTGATTTATTTGGGGTCTTTTAGAAAAAAATAATACTGTATCAAAGAATAATGTTACATGTAGATGATATAAAGATTTAGCTTTGTGTTACTGTCACCGTTATGTTGCCAGCGGGTGCTGGCAGGAGCTCGTACCATCACTTTGAAGCACGAATTCAGCTGAGAGTGCACTCTCAGCATGATGGAGCATCCACAACATGCTACCTTTTGGGTGACTGCAGAAAAGTTGGGTAGATACTGAAGTAGAGCACTGCCAATTGCGAGCACTGACGTCAGTGGTTCCCGCAGAAAGAAGGCAGACGCAGGGGCGGACTTACCAATAGGCAGAGTAGGCAGCTGCCTAGGGCAAGAATATTTTGGGGGCACCCCAAAATTAATTGGATCTTTTATTTTTTTAATCTAGCTTCAAATTTAGTTATTCGTGAAAATTCCAGCTCCAAATCTTGCTGCTTTTGAAAATCGTAACTCCAAACATAGCTACTTCTCCCCTCCCCCCAAATTTGGGTTGCAAAATGCTAAGTCTGCCTCTGGGCAGACGTGCACAGTTTGTTGGAACATTACACAAAAGTGTAACATTATAAATTCAGTGGACTTACGTCCCCACGTTAAATTGAGCAGGGCGCCCGAGTTGTCCTGCTAAACTTTGTAGGATTAAGCAAAGTCAGTGTGGCTCCCAAGCTCAAAAAAGCCATAACACCCAGTGCAGCTTAAAATGCACTGCACATTCTGCGCAGTGTGCATCTTCTTGCACATAAGGGGAGTCGCTTAAGTGGAGGTGTGGTGAGAGTGTGGGATCACATGTGCAACAGAGCTTCAAACTTGCACCTATTTGTCCTTGATGGTGGGGTTGCAGACGACATCTCGGCTGTGCGTTCCTCATTCTTTGCAGTGCGTCTGGTCATTGCTTCCTCTGCACAAAAAGCAGACGACGATGTAGCTCGCTTCGATTGGTGGGGTAAAGCTAGCCTTTGTGTCTACCTACTATTCTTTCAGTTGGAGCTCAGTACTGTGACGTCATTGTACCCGCTGCGCAAAAAGCGGACGAACCTGCTCGCCGTACTCCATGCCTGCCATCAATGCCTTCTTGCATAAGAGGTCAATGACCCTGCAAGTAGTTTGTTTTGCTCGTATAAATCTTCTAGACCCACCAAGACTACCGGTGGCACACTCTGTGGCCCGTCGTTCTGAGGCGGTCAAAATGCACGGGAAGACGGCGGATGGTCTTTTTCTCCAGATTTATTATGTGCACTCTGTTCGCAGGACAGCCGGGATGGTGCTACCGGCATTGCTGGCGGCCCTGCGGGTATATGCCCCTTACGTCACGTTCCCGGTGGCCCTTGTGGTGGGCATCATCGGCTACAACCTGGAGAGCATCGTCTCCGACCGGCACACACCCCACAAGAAGCAGAGCGTCGGCGAGGAGCGCAGCGAGAGGCTACTCCGGGAGCTGGACGGACGGGACGACGTGACACGGGTGGAGAGGCTTGGCGACAAGAAATGGGTGCCCAACACCGTGCTCGAACGCAACGTGTCGCCTTCGCTCAAGACGCTCGACACTCGCTGAACCTTAGGGTGGTTAAGCGACGTGGCACGGTCGGTCCACTGTTGAAACGTGACGGGAAGATGGTAGTGCTACGGTCGTCCCGGGCTTAAAAGTCCAAAGTGAATAGCGTTATCGAGGGTTCCTTCTTTGATTGATGTGCGGGGTGTGGCGCTATGAGCCAACCCTCAGGTGGTTGGAGGCGATGCGGAGTGATGCGACACTTTTGGTCCAATCCTGAAATGCGACGGGAAGAAAGTAGTACTACCGTCGTAGTGTCAATATTGTTATTGCTGGTCCATTTTTTTTTTATTGATGTGCAGGGTGCGGCACTGTAAGCTAGCTCAATGAAATGCCAGAAAGAGTTAAAAATCCGCCAGGCAGGATAAGTTGCTGGGAGCGAGGTTAGCCCTGACCACCAGCATTCTGTAGAGCTAGTTCGTAGCGCCGCACCTTATATGCTGTGCGACATTATTGGCATGAACACAACATGCACATTATTTTGAGCTTTACTGTCGTGGGGTATTGCCGAGCATTAAATTTTACTGCCTGGCTTGGTGCCCCAAATGGCCACTTTCTATCTCAGAAGTAGCTTTGATGACAGCATTTCAAGACTAATTTCTATTCTTAGAGAAAAACTGGAAAAAAAAAAAACTGATTCCCTGTGTCCGCAAACTGTCGCGCGCTTTGTGCATTCGCCATCCTGTGCTAGTGTAGAACAGATGGGAACTGTAGCGTTTGCTTGTTGGAGGCGCAGGCACATTGTACTTATACACCAGTCCCACATTTCCTGCATTGGTGTGGGCTGGTGTAGCTAAGTCAAACAGGCTGCTTGGCACCTAAGTGTGGTTGAAGATAGATTGAGTAGGCAGGCAAGCTGGTTGATGCAATAGTTTGGAAAAACCGGAGACGACAGACGAAAAAGGGTGTTGTCCCCCTTTTCGTCCGTCATCTTCGATTTTTCGAAAATAAGTGTGGCTATTTGTTGTCACAACTAACACATTCGAGCACATAGATAAGATTGAGTCGTGCACTTTATCAGTGCGGCTTGAAGTCATTCCCTTACTTGTGTTCGTAAAAGCTACCTGGCAGAAGTTTACCTTAGCTCACATGCAGGTTGACACGGCCAGGCAATAAGAGTGTGTTCTGGACTAATGGTTGTGCCAGGGTTCTCCCTACAATAGGCAGCAATTGTTTTGCCACCCACCAGTGTGGCTTATCGCCCATCTCTAATGCATCCAGCCCGGCTCTATATTTTGCCTCCTCTGGACAAGAGGATGCTAATTTTGAAAATGCACGATACCCTGGGTTGTTGTGTTTGGTAAACTTGTGTGTCAATATGCAATGCGACCAATTCTTTTGAACAGAAGCACTGCTGTGCGGTAGAAGGCGGCAGAAAAAGTGCCAAGAACACCAAAAGTTGCAGCAATGGCCCCCTCCTCCTCCCTCCCAAAACACCCTGGAAATTGTCAGATATCCACATCCCAAAAATTTCTGGGCAGAAACCTGTTATGTTGTGTGCCCCGCAAGAAATGAATAGTCTTGCGGAACAAGCATTTCTGTAGAGCGTGCTGTCGGGTCAACTGGTTTGTCTCGAATTACAGTTGAATCTCATTCATTCGAACTCGAAGGAGACCGAACATTTGTTTGAATAAAGCAGAGTTTGAATTACCGGGAGTTTCCTCCCATAGAGACGCATAGGAGGGGACCTGCATATTAGTTTGAATTATCTCCGCAAGTTTGAATTAAGAGAGCTTGAATTAAGGGGGGACATGGGCCTGAGCCTCAAAATTTTTTGAAAAAATTCATTTTTCAATTTTGAGGTTTTCAGTTTTAGAAGCTAATTATACACCCTTACACTAAATTTCATAACCATGCGCCAAATAGTTCCGTTGATATAAAGTATTTTCAGCATATTGTGAGGCAGTAACAAAGTAAAGGAGTTCACTGTTTGAATGCATTTTTCTCAGTTCCACTTTTTGCTGCAAATTTCATACGAAGGAATCTTTTGTTTGAAGGTAAAATTATTCTGATACCACAATCAAGATGTTTCTGAACTGAAATTTACTGGGGAATTGGGCTATCTACTTTATTTTGTTTTACATTAAAGTCCTCATTGAGAAAAAACTATGTTTTCAAAAATTGACAAAGGACAGATATGCATCTTATATTTTGAGGTAATCACTCTTCCTGAAATATTTACATTTAAGTTATAAAAAACAGATAGCCCGAAGTCCCATATCCCCCACTTTATACTCAAGCACTTAAAATGGTGCATAATAGCTTCCTTTGCATATCATAGATTTCTTAACGAAGAGTGACACATCATCTTATGCAGGTATGTAAAGTTGCCCTAGAGAGCTGAAAGTTTGCACAGCACACCTACATCTGAAGTTAAATCTCCCCTGCTAGTTTCATTCCGATCACTTGAATAGTTCAAAAGTTCAACCTCTAGCCAGTGTCCCCCCTTAACGAGATTCAACTGGAGTATGCTGGAAAAGTTTAGGAAAAATGGGCAGTTTAGAAAAGCGAGGCAAATGTAAAGAAAGAAAGGAACTGACGTCCGGATGGCTGAGCGGGATCTTGCCATTGACGCCTTTTTTCTGTCTTGTAGCTTAGTAAAGGACTATACTCCGTCTCACCTTATGGCAGACCGACGCGGACCTTGCATGCCGTACCTGCCAAGCCAGCTCTGCGACCATATCCCATGACTGTGCGTCCTGCGCATCGCCGCTGTCCTCCCAAAGGTCGCACGAAATTGGCTTCAACGGCTCGAGACGTTCCCCGTGGTCTATCGCGAAGTGAACTGGACTATAGGTTACAGCCGAGGCTGCACCTCTCGTCCTAGTTGTGTTTCACCACAACCAGTGTGCACCAGCTCGCATGTGTAGTCAATGTTACATCCATTTGCTTCTTTATTATTGGTCCGTGCCGCAGCACAGTCCATCCTTCTGGTCTCGAGACGCGAGCAGGTATTCTGGGAATAAAGTGGGAGCGAGCTCAGTGGTCTTCGCTCTCCGACTCGTTGCCCTTGTTGATTTCGGCGGCGACCTCCGTGAACAGGACGTCCCAGGTCCAAGCCACGTCCGGCTGCAGAACAAAACGCCCAAAGTTGCACGGCCAAATGAGGACCGTTTGATCGCACGGTTTCCACTCCATACCTCTCGGAGGTCTTCTTCGGGAGACAAATGCTTGGCGAGGAGCCGCAGATCGCAGCCGTCCTGCATGGAGACGGACGGTTAAAATCGCTCGCGCGGCTCTCGCAATGTCCACTTCAGACGTCCTTTTAAGGCGGGTTCATGCACTTGCGTCCGAGTGCGTGGCAACCGCTTGGGAACGCCGAACCCACTAGCGCGGTCTATCGGGTAACCCTGGAACACTTATGATTTGCATACATATTTTATGCATCATTCTTTCATTGTAGGCTCGATTCCGACAATGTTAAGAAGCAAGCATTTGTTGCGGATAGTGCTTGGATTTGATTTCGTAAATACTGAAAAACTTTCCATCTAATTATATGCAGATCCTTTTAGGGCTATTGGACACTAGACGGCATTGGCGTGTTCTCTCGTTGGAAGCAGTTACAACCGTTGCAATACAGTCGGTCACACTGAAACGCAAGTGTGGGAACCAGCCTTTACAATTTTTACAGCGGAGCTGTTAAGAGCTAGTTTCCCCAGGATCGTGTCCATTAGCAAACAAATGATGACACAGAACTCTGGACAGCTACCGCCATCTATAAGCGACGGCGGCAACCATACAATCGGCTTGCCGGTTGTCTGGTTGCCTGTAGATGGCGGCAACCTTTCGAGGCCTTTCCACCCTGGCTTGCCGACTTGCAGCCAACCATTACTTCATTCCCACCATAGTACAGCTACGCTGGTCTTTCTTCTTCACCAGAGGGGGAAGGCTGAAAGTTTTTTCTCATAACAACCCCTTCCATATGTCCTGAAAACGTGGATTCATTACCACGCTCCAACTGCCCAGAGTATGAGTTCGTAAGTTCCCCATCTCACATCAGTTTTAGGAATGGCACTACCAATTCGCCCAAATGCCTTCGTCCGATTTGGTCCTTATATTGCCGTGAGTACAAGGTCCCTTGTTTGAGAGCATCTTTTGTTGACGGTTCGAATAACGACGACCGGCGCGCTGCCAACTTCACCTACTTGGCCGTGGAAGGTGTTTCGAACGTGAGCAATAGCTGTCTCCTGCGGAATGTTAGACATCGCGCACATGTCCAGAGCCCGATGGCTCTGCATCTATGTTTTGTGGGGGCTTTGCGGATGTTTTAAAAACATTGTGAAGGCTACACTAATGCAGTCTGTGCTGGTGAGTTTTTCAGTCGGGGGGACATAATACAGGGGTCTAATCGTCGCATTAAGGGGGGACACTACCCGGAGAAAAAAAGATTCTTCAAAAAACATTGATTTTGAAATATTACATATTTACATCCATCTACATCCAGAGAGTATTCCCAGAAATTTTCACTAGTTTACACTGCATAGTTAATTTTTTATAAATTATTTTCTGTCCACCAAAGCTAAAGGAAAGGTAGGGTATGGAGCACTTTGAACACATTTTTCTCCGTTCCACTTTTTTGTATAAATTCCATTTTAGTCAATCTATCGTTTGAGAATGGAAATACGGGCAAGGCTCGTTCTTCACTTTTCCTGACTGAAATTTAATAAGGAATGCGCCTATGGAGTTTGTTTGTCACTTTACGGATGTCTTTTATAAAAAATGTTGACATTTTGTCGGAGACACAGAAGACCAAAAAGTTGACCAATTTCGCAGAAGAGAAAATTGATAGAAATCAATTACTTTTTACAAAAGCCTTTCCATAGGCGCACCTCCTAGGCATTCTGCTACATATCTAGCGAATAAAAATCTTTAATATTGTGATAGTTTTCTAACGATAGATTAACTAAACAGTGTAGGGGTGTTGCTGATAGAAGCTGTTCTAATTTCCTTCCCACATAACCAACAGACCTAAAATTTTGTTATGCACCCTCTAGTGTGACCACCAGCCTACCCTGTAAATTTCATTAATTTTAAGCCAAGGGTTCAAAAGTTGACCCTCCCAGGGGGTGTCTCCCCTTAAGTCAGCTAATGAACCAGGATACGTTACTTACCCTTTTCTTAGTAAAAATAAACGTGGCCACAATTAGGATCTTGCAAAGCGTCGTCAGGAACCACCAAGTTGGTCGATTTTGGAAAGACTCTGAGCATCTGGGAGAGGTGCAGTAGATAGCTGAAATTGCCACCCGTGCGGCAGGCACAGGGCTACCGGTGCAATAATGCACTCGAGCAGTTTCTCCATTTTTTTTCGTCTGCGTTCTCACATTGCCAGTTTTGTGCCTGTCACACGAGTGATACCTTTAGCGCACCACTGCGCTTCCCACGCGCTCGGTCTTTCTAAAAATTATTGATTCACTGGTTTTCAATGAGGCTCAATAAGCTTCCATTTGGAACCATATGTTTATTTTCAGTAATGAGAACGTTAGTTAAAACTGTTTGACTTGTTTTGACGATTAGCCCCTTATGGTATGACCCCTTGCCTGTACCGCTCCCCTGCAAAGAATGCGTAGCGTAGCTTTTGCAGCTTTTTTTAAGAAGTGTAAAGCTTAAAATAAACACCCTATATAGACTGTCTGGGACTCTGCAATGAGCAATTAAAATCTCGGGACAGCACTTGCACCATAATCTATATGAACACGCGACAATTAGCATTTTTTTTTCTCCAAATTTTTGTTTGTACATCTTGCGCAACAGTGCAACTCGTACACTTTTTATTTTTTTCTCTACAAGCAGAACCTTAACAGCGCGAATTTGCCACGGGGAGCATATTTCTCATTCGAATCATTGGCAACAATATCGGGACTGGCTCCTGCTCTCGCATTAATTGCAATTGCAGTACACACGTGCGGGTTCGTCGGCACCGCTTCTATGCACCGACCGTGCTAACATATAAGTGCGACTTATACGAAGCTGCAACTCATGTACCGACTTTATTGCGGAAACGGGCAACTCGTATATTGGAAAACACGGTCATATTTTTTAGCTGAAGCCACTAGACAAGCTATGCCTCAGAGTATCGTCACTTCACTCTCCGACTGTCTCGTAGGTGCCACCATTTTGTTGCCTAGCGCAGAGCGAGCAAAATCGGCAACAGTTACGTCTAGGGAGCACGACTTCCTGAGCTCGGGATACGGCGTCGGGAAACTCGGACGAGATCGTTGTGCTCCGTCGCAGACTTTTAACGTCTCATGGAGGACAGAAAGACGTTCACCATGATTTGGATAAAGCTCGAGGCAACCGGCAACGGTGATTTTAAGCAACAAGGTGGCTCGAGTGTCATCATTCTGAGGGGTAGCTTATTTAACGGCCGAAGAGACCATACTAATGGGTGTGTGACAAGGGCTCACGAGCGTCGCGAAGGCTGCCTGCTTGAGGAGCTCGCTGTCAAGGTGCCGGAAGGCATCCATCTGGCCTATGGGTGCACTGCATGAACCAAGAGCCTCCTTTAGTCGCTCGCAGAGTAGGTACGGCAGGAAGGAGCTTGAGTTGTCCCGCCTCCAGTGCAAGCTTCCAACCTTCAACAATGCTCGAGTGTCTTGTGCACCAGAGCCGTACATGTGGAGAGTTTGGTGATTAGATGGTAAGAATAGGGAGAAAATAAGAATGTGTCATTGGCCGAACTTGTTTCAATGAGCTTGGGCGCATTGATTGACAGCTCTTGTGGTTGACCACTAGTCACGAATATTCCCCTAGCGGAGGCAATGAGCTTAACTTGCATCCTCCAATCACAATTTGTAGGTAAGGACGTATTAAAATATTTCATTTCAGCACGCTAGACTCTGAGTCTGCGGCTCGGAATGCGCCTCAATTTTTCTTTCAATTGCGGCGAGCAGATGACGAAAACCGTGTACGCGGCTTCGTGGGAATTTTGATTTGAACCGCGGACGCGCACTCCACGTTCGCAGTTTCGCGTCGCGTTTCGGGGAACTTTTCTCGTCAGTGTCACCTTTTCTGGCTCACTAAACGCACTCGGCACCTTGGAACTCCCCATTTCCATCAATCTCTTACAATTATCCATTCATGTACTTTCAGCCTCATCGGGAAACAAAAAATACCTGCGCCACGGTAGGCGTCTTCTTCAAGGTCATTTCGGGTTCTGTTTGCCTCACAGGACCATCACGGGGGAACATGTGGCGCTGGCGGCAGCGCCGCTTTTGCATCTCCGCCCCGACTCCCACCGGCTCCTCCCATTGACCAAACTCTCTTTGTTTACGGCTCTGTCGTGGACCTCAAGTGCGTGCGCTGGAGGCCGGGCGTTTAGTAGACGTGACCCATTGTTCTTATTCTGTCGGCGACTATACTAGACACATTGCGGTCGAGTGCCTTGGGTCGAAGTGCTCACCTGGGTGCCTGAGCAATCTGATCGGTGAGATCCTCATGATCCACCTCGCCTAGGTCGGGGATGGTCGGCATGTCTGTCGGGCAAAAAGCGCAAGTCACTGCCTCACCTTGCTCCGCCTAGGCTCCGTGCTTCGGCTTACCTGAGTCGGAATCGTCTCGTTCTAGGACTGTCTCGTTGCTGGCCACTTTGGGAGTTTCTCTGAAAAGTGCCGAAGGACGAGGAGATAGTGGGAACGGTAATTATGTCAGTTACAAGTGCTAGCTTGGCACAGATGAATATTTGACTGTTTTAAAGGCATCGAGGATTGGAATGTAATTTCAGTTTGGTCTTGGACAGTTTCGAAAGTATGGTAACTCTCGTTTGTCTTGCTGCTTGTGCCATCACATTCTCTGTTTGTGACCCCTATGATTTAACAATGAGATTTGTGATAGATGAGATTAAGCCAGTAACAAGGTCACACATAAAAGTAAAACAAATGAAAGAAATGGGCTTTCAGCTTGTGTTGCAAAGTGGTTGCCATAACTTGGTCTCACTTGCAATACTATTCAAACATACTGGTTTTTGTGGAAGTTTTCACAAAGATTGTGTCTGTGCTCGAAAATGGTTCAATAATAGAGCAGCATGCTGAAGTGAGCTCTTTGTGAGAACAACCATCTGCAAAGAGAACTTGCAAGCACATTACTTCTGTCTACTGTGAGTGGTGGTTGTTGCATAGGGTGATTCTGAGCTGGGTTTAGAAATTCTCATGAGGTCACTACACTCAAAGGTGCAGTGGGGTGCAGTGGTGAAAGACGGCAAACGAAGTGAGGGTACATTTAAAATAGTGTTGCGGGGGATCGCCTCGAAATGCAAACGGTGTTTCGATGTTGACTTCTTGCTGCTTCACAGACACTTCAGATTTAGTGGAAGTGCAAATTAATTGAAGCAGAACTTTCACCATCTTACTGAGCTTTCTAATCATTTACAGTATCGTGAACTTTCTTCAGGGTGTGTTGTAGGAGTCGTGCCGTGACTGACTGGTATGACAACTAACAACACCTGGATAAGGCCATAGTGCCGAGTTTTCTGCTTCGCCTACCGGAGGCCAGCACGGACGCAGATTGGTCATGAGTGCTGCATCGGTGTTAGCTGGGGTGCTTCTCACTGACTGACCACCAATCCCTGCTGAACACTGACACAGCACTCAATTTGCCCCATGCTGGCCTCCGATAGGTGAAGCGAAAAACCCGGCACTATGGCCTTGATATGTAGGAGGTGTGGCAACCAGAGTCATGCTTTGGGTGAGGAGGTGGGAGGACTCACGTCTTGAGAGTGCTCTGGGGTTGTGCGGAGGGCCGTCGAGAGCTGAGTGGGAGAGAAGGATGGCCGACCAGTTAGCCCCCTCTCTCCCTGCCGTGCGACAAGTGCGCCCAGTGTGGTGCTTGCCCCTGGGACTGCTCCTGGAGGCACTGGCAAGGGTGACCTTGTACATTTGAAGGGGGGATTGTTCTGTTTTCGGTAGTGCTTGTTGTGCAGAAACCCTAGAGGTACATTCCCCTCATGGGGTATGTAAATCGACGGTAACTCGTAAAAAGAAGGAGGTGGGGGGCCAAGTGAGCACTTTACTGCTTACTATTATAGTTTGCCTAAACTATCAATGAAAGATTGTTTCAGTCAGTTTTTCTACAAAATAAGTGTCTACCAAAATCTGTTGCACACTAAGCAACTCTTGGCGAAGCTTGGTTCACAACACATGATCTGGCCCACAAAATCGTGTGCACTTGTGATTCACCCAAAGCGCATGCAGGCCCTACTAATGGTAAACTCTGGTCTCTACATATGCACACGTTTTTTGCCACTCATGCCAACTGCTGCTCCTTTTCAGGTTATGACGCGTTTAAGACGTGCCTCACGCGTTCGTACAGAAAGAAGTGTGAGACATGAATATTATGAAGAGGAGCGAGTGTCATCGTCATATACACCAGATTCGGCCATATCCTTTCACTCATCTAAGGCAAAGGCACATGTTAGTTTCTTTTGCCCGCAACTTTATATTTGCTATTTGTTTGGAAGGTTTCTTCCAACTCTGAAGGTGGCAGCTCTCATATTCATGTGAGTTTGTAGGAGTACGAGTTTGTGTGACTTTGTTTGAGCTCATGGGAATGTGAGTTTGGGCAACTTCATGTCAGTTCATGGAAGTGCGAGTTTGGGTGACTTCATATGGGAATGAAAGTTTGTGACTTCATATGTGTTCATAGGAGTATGAGTTTGCGTGAATTTATGGGAATGCGAGTTTACTTCATAGGAGTGTGAGTTTACTTTATGTGAGTTTTTGGGAGTGTGAGTTAGTGTGACTTGATGTGAGTCCATGGAAGTGTGAGTTTGACTTAGGGCACAGGGTAAGGTAAAATTAGAAAAAAATTCGATTTTAGTTTTTTTCGATATTTGAAAAGTTTAGTTCTTTCTGCACATTTTCCATTGTCCCAGTGTTTTTAGAAAGCTATATTTCGGGCTGAAAATCACTTCTTCCGAAAGCAAGTAGCAGGTGACCACGCCTCCTTTTGGGATACACTCCCTGTTTATCGATGAATTCTCCAACAAAACAAAATCAACACAAGACCTAAAAGCTTGTCCAGTAACAGATAATCTCAAAAAAATATTTCGCAACTATTGCATAGCTTTTTTTCAACCAAGACAATGACGAGACGCTGTGCACGTTTTTCCCAGGTGTGTACCGTGTGTACATTCAAGCGTTTGTGTTTTCGTAACGACAAAATGGCGCCATTGAATGCTGTTCCTTTATTCAATGGTGGCAGCATTGCACAAGCCAATGTTTTGAAGTTTTGTGGATGGAACCCTGTTTGGAAAGCCATCAAGTGGCTGAGGGAAGTTGACGTCACTCTAATATACTTTACGGACCAAGCGACATGGCAGGTCACAAAAGAGGCCCGGCAAGCAAGGCGATAAGCCTAAAGGCGAAGACATGACATTAGCAATGCCTTTCAAGCTGACGGCTATTGAAAAAATGACTCTGAGGCTGTTGGTGCCAATAGAAATTCGTTATTCACCAGTTTTTTTACTTTAAACTCAATTATCTCAAAACAGTGTTTTTTAGTACATAGGTACCATTTTTTCCTTAACCTGACATTATAGAGGGTTGATTTTTTATTCCTACCACATACATGGGTGTTCAAAAATACTGAACTAAAATTAAAAACGTGCACCTAGCAGTTTTTGAGTTACGAAGTTTTGAATAGATGAAAACGACTAAAATTTCAGTACTAGAATAAAAATATATAAAAAAAAACTTATTTTAGATTGGTTCAAATAATTCTAGTTCAGTGGATAAAACACAATATTTCGAACAAAATGATATTTACATGACAGGAATACTCCTAATAGTCACCGAGAAAAATGTTCCTCAACATGGCCTCAAATGCATGGGGAGTATAGGACTTACCCTGTGCCCTTAAAGGGGCCCTGCAAGGACTTTTTTACTGGTTTTTAATTTGCACCAAACCTGAGCGCACTGAACATAGTACTTTAATGAAACTTTTCCTTTCTCGAATTCCGCTTTATTTTAAAAGTTATAGGCAAATTAAAATTACAAAAAATAAGCAAAAAATAACCTCCTTCATGATGTCCTTGGTTGCTTGAGTGGCCGTGAACTAGAGGAGGGATAGTGAGCTCAGCGAGCGGTCATGGTTGCCACGCTCCGTGCCAATGGCTCGAAAGAGCGCCACTGAAGCATGTTCCGGTTAGGCTGTATGAAGCAGGCAGCCAGGGTGGCTCGCATTGCATTTGCTGCGTGATTAAACACTAATTCGGCATGACACTTCATTTGGCCACAAACGACGGAAAACAAGGGGTAAAGATCACTTTAGAACGGAAGCCACTCGCGCTGCCATACTGCCAAAAGGCCAAACTGCAAGCCAAAGCTGCTCGCCGAAGGCCTTGGGAAAGCTCGGAACTGGTCGGATCCTCCACTCCACACGGCCGCAGCGCCACCGCGTACATCCAGGACTTCTCTACGCTCGCCGCTCGTTGGTGCCTGATCCCACTACACCTTTCTAGTATGCGCCGCCTTTTCCACCGCTTGGTGGTGGGTATGTCGACGGGTCAGTTCTTGTTTCCATACTTTTTAAACTGCAATTGTTTCTTTTCTGATCTAAAATACTGAACAAACTTCTTTTATAAATAATTGAAATGGCTCGCGCCACTTACATTTTGTATTTCGACTAAAAAGAAGCTTTTAGCGGCTCTGACCAGTAGTAAGGCCAGGACCAATGACGTCACATATCGCACGCTTTTGGCCACCGCGGGTCGCCCCCGTAAGTAGAGGAGGTTTTCGTGTTGTCCGGTTAAAATATGACGCACTGATATTTAGTAACTCTCTCCGTACCCGCTGGCTTGCCCGAACCCCAAGAGACATAGAAACCGCAAAAAAGGTAGACGCTTAAATATGATTGCTGGGCCCCTTTAATGTTAGTTTATATGAGTAGGAGGTTGTGTGAGTTCACAAAAGTGCGAGTTTGTGTGACTTCATGGGAGTGCGAGTTTGTGTGACTTCATGGGAGTGCAAGTTTGTGTTTGGCTTCATGGTAGTGCGAGTTAGTGTGAGTGCATGGCTGAGTGATCAACTTCATGTGTGGGTATGCTGATCAAAGCACAGGGAAAGAAACAAACCGGAAGAATCCAGAGGAGCTCTCATCGGCCCAGCCACTCATTCTCCTGGGCCTCAGTGGTGGCTTAGAAAGGTCTCCATCCTGCCATAATTCACAGGAATGTGATTTGCATCGTGGTCTTTCAGCAAATAAAAAAATGTGGTGGTAATTGTACCTTTATTCATTAATTATCTGAGGCATAATAATTGATGGGCTTGCATGCAAAAAAACAGTCAAGTGAATGGAAAGTTATGAGTGTAAAATGTTTAAGTAAACCAGAAAAATCGTGGATTTCGAGGATAGACACTACTTGTACAGCAGTTTGGTATCCCTTAATTATTTCAACAATTTCATCCTTGTGAAGTAGTTTGGGAGCTAAATCCCACACAGAAGCTTACCATGGTGTTAAAACATCGGAACATATTCATAGTTAACATCTTGGAATTAAGGCGTGTTGGGATCCAGAAGTCCAACCAGAAATATATCAGATATTGCACCTACAGTTTAATTCAGCACAGCACAATGGTGGCTGCTGAATGTTGTTGAGTCAGCTTCATTCATATTTTTCTCTTTGTAACATGTTTACTAGCTTAAACTAAGGGAGGGGGGAACAAGGAGTTTTACATTTTATTGTGATCAATTTATATTTGCACAAATAATTCTTCCAAAAGTCATCAATGTTGAATTAATCAGTAAAACATCAAAGTTGTTATCACTGCATTCCCTTTGGAAGGGCTGAACTCCCCCTAGATAAATTCTGTGCCATCTCATTTTGCAACCCAAGATACCTCGAACCATGTATTCCAATGATGTCAAGGCGAGGCCAGCTCCTTTTCTTCGTTAAGGGTCTTTCTGATGAATGACAAGCAGAATAATAATAATGACTGAGGACATATATATTTTTATATTATGTTAGCCCTCTGCAGTTATTCATCCAGTGAATTTTTGTCTGGGACTGTAAGAAAACCTCTCTTTGGTCAGGTAAGGAACATTACATTTGGTAATGCTTTTGCCTTCCCTTGAGAGCTATTCGAAGCAGGGTATAAGTGCTTTTCAATTAGCCAATCAATATGTAACAGATGAACCAACTTGCCTGTATTACATCACAGAATTTGTATGAACTACTCATTTGACTGAACTGCTGACTTAATGACCGATTATAAGACTTGTATGTTTTTGAACAGAAAAAATGGTGGGCGATCTCTCGGGAGTTTAAAAATTAAGCAGCAGCTACTTGTAATAAAAAAAAATTATAGGACAACATTTTGAATATGATATTTGGTTTTCCACATACCCTGGTAGTTGCGTTGCTTGGCGCATCGCTGGAACTACTGCTGAACAAATTCGACCTCCGCGACCGTGTGGGAATGATGGGCTGCGAGGAACGGCATATGTGTATCATAAATTTCCTAGCCATAACACGAGTAGCTTTGGTACCTTCTTCACGGGGGAATCTAGCCTGAGGTCCTCAGCGTCCATTCTACCGGTGGCGCGTGAGATTTTATGTGGAGCGTAAAAGAAAATTACTTGGTGCGACAACGAAACTCGAGTGAAACCGATTTGAGCGATTGTTTACGTTTTCGTTGCTAGGCGATGCTCAGGTTGCCAGAGCTTACAAGAATCGGAAGTGTATGGTTCAAACATTTTAACAATACGTACACACTACAAATAAAATGTCTTTTATTAAAGTCTTAAATATTTAGAAATATATCATTTTATTTTTAAAATTATATAATAGCGTGCTATGCAGTTCATCCATTCGGCTCGGCCATATCACTTCTGAGCTGGCAAGATGGCGGCGCCCATATCGAAGATGTCGAACGCAGTGGTGCTCGGCCCAGTGTCGAGCCAATTTTAGTCTTTCTCGCCTTGTTTTAAGGAGAAAAATGGGTGACGCTCTCCCCGACAAGATCCTCAAGGACCCAGGCCCCAATCTTTGCTTCCGCAAGGATGAGTTCATGCGGGTAGGCTTCCGTTTACACTTCAACCAGCTACGTGTGGCACCGTAACCGATCAAACGGTTCGACGCTAAAACCCACGATTTCAGGTATTTTAGGTGGTCGATCATGATCTAACGCGCCACAGGAAAGTGCTGGCTAAAGGCACAATTTCGCAATCTTGTCTTTTAGTTGAGAAAAGCAATGCACAAATTAAGGGATGGACGGGAGCTCGCTGTCGTTGCGTTGAACCGTAACCTGTCCTTGACCGGTAAATCTGGTGCTCTACAGTCACCACCTACAGACATCTTTGTAGCAAATGACAGAGTCACTCCTTGACCTAAATTACTGTTGTCTGTAGGAGTATTCACTTAACGTCATATTTGAGTGCGCCGTCCAGAGCGCATGCTCAGAACAAGCTTACATTAATAACTTGCTAAGACCGGCAATCTTGACATCAGGTAAGGTTGAAGCTTGGGCTAGTTGGTGTGGCATTTTTAAAAGGTTAAAACAGCGCAAACGAAGCGGGACAAGAAGCAGGACACATACACAGCGCTGTGTATGTGTCCTTCTGCGCAATTTAACCTTTTAAGATTGACATCAGGGTCAGTTCAATGTAGTCGTATATTCAAAAAAAGTTAAAGATGGCAAAACGGTGAGCTCACAAAAAGCAGAAAGCACAAGGCTTCCCTAGAAGATCACTAGGGTGTCGCTGGGAGTCGGCCACTTTGCAACGCAACACACCACTGCTGCTTTTTTTTTTTTTTTTTTTTTTCCCCTCAAAATAACAAAATATTGTTTTTTTTTGGGACCCCGCTCCACCCCCCGGCCCCCAGTTTGCTCTTGACCTTTCGGGGGTGGGCTAACTGGCCGTTACACTCGAATGAGTTTGAGACCGCTGCCCTTTAGGGAGTATTCACCGGTGGCCATGCATTTCGTTTCGGTGCATTAATAAGACAGGAAACACCAGAAAGACAAGGCAGAGTTGAGTAGTGGTTAGCATACCCGACTGGATAATCGGAGACCCGGAGTTCAAACCTGGGCTCCGCCAAAGATTTGTTTCAATCCATCAAGCACAGTTCATCTATTCTGCATATTTTCGATTATTTCCTCTTTGGGGACCACATACAATGATTGAAAGTGCCCATGTTATATTAAAGCGTTGCCCTTGATTCTCTCAGATGATAATACCTTGTCTCTAAAGCTCATAAACAAGGAATAATGCATGTACACTCGACGAGACAAACAGTGAGAGGAATTCTGGAGCACAAAGAACACGTATTACGCTGCGGCGTGTTTTATTGGAATATCTTTGATTGGATACATTTCGTTTCATTGCATTAATAAGATGGATAGGAAACGCCAGGACCACAAGGCGGTGTGTTGTAATGGTTAGCATACCCGACCAAATTTGGGAGACCTGGAATTTAAATCCCGGCTCCGCAAAAACTTTTGTCTTTCGTCAGCTCCATAGATTGTGTTTCATTTGATCGAGTATGGTTCATTTCTTTGCATATTCTCGACTACTCCCTACGGAGTATTCACTAGCTGCCATAGCTGAGTGCACGCCTGCTTGGCGCGTGCTGATGGCGAGCTTTCACGGTTCTTTTGCAACTTGCGTTCAAGACCATCAACATTTCAGGTCTCTGCAGCCTATCAATGTGAGCTCGTTCAGGGCATCCACCTAAAATTGGTGCACTCAAATATGGCATCCAGTGATTACCCCCTATAGTCTGTTGCAAGTTAAGAAAAGCAAGGCAAGTTTCTCCCACAAGAGCCTTAGATGAGGCAGGTGGACTCTCCTCTCTTACCTTCTCTTCAGCGTTCCAAAACTGAAATGGAAAAAGGGGAGGGCTTTGCAGGTGCAGCTTGTCCTGCTTTCCTTAACCCGCAACAGACTAGTGCCTGATAAGAAAGAGTAACTCGCTCAGAATCTTTTGTAGGCATTACAATACTTTCACCATACAGAGAGTGAGTGTTTCAGTAAGAGTCTCTGGCATGTCAAAGCACAGCAAGGGGCACGCTAATCAAAGGGAAACATAAAAAACGGTCGTTGGTCGAGGTTGGGGGGAAACGAAAGTGCGTGCACGAACCTGGGGTAAACAGAGGCACGAGGTGTGCAAAGAGCAGACGAACTTGCGAGTCGTATGCTGCCTTTCGCCTTTGGATGTGCTGCAGCGGACGCTACAAGCCGTTGTTGCCATTCCAATGCCGCGTGAGTGTTGAGTGACCTGCAGGAGGGGCACAGCGATGCTCAGGGCACACGATCACTCGATAGGCTCATGTACCTCATTCACCAATAAGCTTGCAATGTGGTGGGAGCTACACGCTCGCCAGACGAACCGACTACCTCCCTTTAACCACGCGACCTCTCTCTCTGTGCATGGGGATCGGTGGAAAATGCGTGATCGTGCGGCAACGAAATATTTGTACGACCAGTTTGACAAGCACATAGCTTCCACCGTACTGTCAGCTTAGGGACGAATAGGGTACAATGCCCACTGCAGTCCATCATAAGGTGATATCGAGCATGGGGACTAGGAAGAGTCGCGTCCATTCCGGCACGTCAAAGCTTGCGCGATATTGTTTGTGTCATTGGTGAGTGTACTTCTGGTTGTTTTGCTCATCGATTTGATTGTAAAATTTCTTCAGAGCAACTTCTGCGTGGATACATTCGTCAGCGAACACCGTAAGCATGCCGGTTTGGAGAAACTGCGTGACGATCTTGGCGTGCACCTCAAGTTCCTCAAGTCGTCGATGATAGAACTCATCAACAAGGACTATGCAGACTTCGTGAACTTGTCGGCGAATCTGGTGAGTCTAGCTCGCTCTTCCATAAAAGTCAGGAACGCTCTGACATTTTAATGCGGGATGCATTTTATTAAAAGCAAAGTTGGGGTTTGTGTCGCATCATTGTAGCCATAGCCATGCTGTGCCCTTGTCACCTAAATTTAGTGGGCTAACATCCTGTTCAGTGATAGCATCTGACATCAAACTGTCACGTGTTGTCAAGGCATCACGTGACGTCATGATGTCACGTGACATCACAGCATCATGTGACTCCCGGTGTCACGTGACATAACACTGCCATCTGACATGCTGTCACATGATGTCATGCTATCAAGTGACTACTCTAGTAGCCCCATGATATCATTATTCTAGAGAGTTTTAAAGTTGTAGATGAGTGTGTCACTCTTTGAGCAGACATTGGTGATGGTTCCTCCACGTAATGAGGATGCAAGAAGTGCACGACACATAAGGATGCGTTATGGCTCGGCAAGATTTCCCGGCTATCGCTCCGACTGCACTGTGGATTCATGCGGGAGTGCTAATTTTCTTATAACTTCTAGGTTGGCCTGGACAAGTTCATCAGGAACATCTCCAAACCTCTGGAAGAACTCAGGGACCAAGTCACTGTGAGTGCTTTTCCCTCCTGTTTGTCTTGCTCATTTGGCTCTTGGAAAAGTGCATCTGCTTATCATTCCTGCATCTTGAATTACCTGTGAAGGATGTGAAAGCAGAAGTCGAGACGTCGCTGAACAGAGCACGGACGGAGCTGGAGGCAAGGAGGGGCATTCAGGAGAAGAAGGTATATTTAAAGCCCATTCCTCTATATGCCTCAGACTGCATTGATGAGGCACCTTTACTGCATTAAGAGGATGTTCCATTGTGCTTTGTATTGGCAAACACTAAGCTTTACTGCCCATTACTAGTAGTTCCGATGACAGCTACTCATTTGCAGGAGAAGAGGGGAAGAAGCCAGCAATCACTTGTACTGTGTCCTCTCTGCACAGTGGGGTTAATCTTGTTGCTCTGTCGGCAGAGAAGTCAGCAGAAATCACTTCCTTGACCGAGCCAACTCTCATCCTCTTCTACGAGTCCTTATTTAGGTGGTACACACATGTATGTTTTCTAAACTCTCCACACATGGGATTATTAATAAGTACCAATAGTAACATTATTGTTTTACGTTTACATGCCCCCAAGCCTGTTTTCTGCAAGACAAACAAATGCCTCTGTGTAAACACCTAACAGTGCACCTTTTTCTTCTGCCATCATTTCATCTAGATACCTAGATGCCAAACAAGCTTTAATTGCTGTTTGCTTTATTTTGAAAAGAAAGAATTGTCTGTAGGAGAGTAGCAAACTCCTCACTCACGATCACAGACCTTCTAATTTCAAAAACACGTGCCCACCCTCTAGTTGCATGTCTACCGTAAAATACCGGGCAAGCGCCCACTCAAACTTTGGAGATAATCGCAAAAAAATGGGGGATGGGCGCTTGTCCGGTCATCAATTTTACATATAAATATATTTGCTCAGATCTTACAAATTCGGTAATGGGCGCGTAATGTGAAATGGGCGGATGCTCGGTATTCTACGGTAGTTGCATCTTTGGAAAATTACTGCACATGTGGCGAAGGAACTGATTTATGCTGTCTATAAATTGACGAATTAACGAAATTAAATTTCCCTTTATTTTACTTTAACCTTGGCAACTCTTTCTGGTGCGGTGTCCTGCAGAAAGCCAGTTAAAAGGTCTTTAATAATTACCATAAAATCCCCTCGAGAGATCGCCCATCCTCTTTTTCTGGCTAAATATCCATAACCTAAACACTACGAAACATTGCCCACCCCCCCATTTCTTTCTGACATCACGCGATGTCCGATAGGAATCGCACGTACCGCGGGATCTGTGGTACCGGTACGTGTGACAAGCGAGTTTGTACCGGGTTCACACACTTTTGTCCGCGATCTGCGTGTGCAATATCGGTTCCCGTGACACTCAGCTTTGTACTAGGTTACCATGTGTTCATTACACCATGAAGCGCAGATCTGCAGCATCCGCAATATGCGGTGTCCTTTCCCGTGACGCAGGAATTCTTAGTGAATTCTCGTGTGTATCGTGTCGTGAAACGTGAGAATTCATAGTGAATTCTCGTGTGTATCGTGTCGTGAAACGTGAGAATTCATAGCGAATTCTCGTGTTTATCACGTCGCTAAACGCAAATATTTTTTGCATTACTTTTGATAATTATTTAATTATTAATTTTTCATAAAGCTTTGCTGTCTCATTTCCAAAGATAGCCCCCCTGATGTTTTTCACCGTTTATCCCTTCATTTTGGATGGGCGTCTTTACAGGATTTTACGATAGTTGTCTCCAGCCATTGTTAAAAAAACAAAAGATTGATTTCTGAAAGGGAAGCTGAAACACTTCTTTTAAAAAAATGAGGTGGAGGTTGATCCTAGCATAGTTTTATCCTGTCAATCTGAATATCACGTTTGTTTTCCCTGAAGATGTAATTAAATGCTAGAAAATGCGAAAAACCTCCAACCAGTTGTTACATCGTAAAAGGATTTTTCGGCCGCCAAGCGCGCGTCGCTCGAGGGCTGCGCGTGCAATCTCAAGCTTGGCAGGCATATTCCGCCACACTGGCACCAGTCGTGACGTCTTTTTCAGCCCTTTTTAAAATTAGCAAGAGCGAGCGTGCCGAGCTTTGATTGGCGCCGAAGATGGGCGAAAGCGGATATTCCGAAAACTCCTTTTGTGACGTCACACTCTGCGAAAGAGGTCCTTCAGCGGTACTGTGAAAATTATTTTCTGCATCCTCCCTACACCAAATTAAAAAATAATTTCGATGTTCAAGATCCTGGAGGTCAGATAAAGATGATTTATGTGCATGTCTGCAAATAAAAAAACGCTTCAGCCTCCCTTTAAACAAAGGCTATCATGTTACCAGACTTCTGCCAGAACTCCTTGTTTACAATGTGAAAGTAGGAAATTTCTATGCGTAAAATAGACAGCATAAAATGCCAAAGAAATGCCCACAGGAATTTCGTTGTGAGTTGGGTGAAACAATGGGATGAGTCCTTGTTCGGTCTGAACAGCAAAAAGCATGGTGGTGGACGGTAGAATAGATTACAAACAGAAAGGATATGTGATCATCGTAACAACAAAAAAGTGGAGAGGCAAGAATTGCTGCGTATTTGCAGTGTTCCCTGGTTCACTTATAGTAGTTGAATCTCCCAAAATCATGGTCAACTTGAAAGTCTATTGCATCATTGATGGAATCGCTCCAGGATACATGGATTTATCGTAGCAGACCGTTGAGCATCACCAAATTTGCTTTAAAACTTAAAAAAAAAAAAAAAAAAAAAAAATAGGCTGAGCATAAAACACTAGGGTATAGGAGAGCTTTCAGCAGATTGAAATGGCAAAATGATTCGACCGAAGAAAATGAGATTCATCAGGCATTTCCCCTTGACCGAAGGGATTGCAAATAGGCCTGATTGTAGTTAATTGTTGATAGCAGCGATTTTCTCTCAGTCGATGGGTTGCAGCTTAGTTAGTGACGTTGTCTCGGGTGCCGCCTGAGAAAACTCTCCTTGACTCATGGCTTTGTTTTGTTCAGGCCCTTCTGCAACAAGCTGTGGCTGTCTGCAAGAGTGTGGAGAAGATTGAGCGACTCATGCCTTCGGCACAGCAGGGAAACAGGTCAGTGATGTTACCTAGTCCGAGGATTAAGTTGCATCCTACCGTCTGCTATCGGGTACAAATGAAATGCCAACAGCGGAGCTTTTGATACATGCTGTGCAATTTAGAGGCAACTCAGAATTGATAAATCTGCAGAGTGGAAAGAGGGGCTACGAGGGTATGCACATCAGAGTAGGTGCGTACGCTTGAAGTCCCCTTTCCTCCCCGTAGTTTTGTCAGTTCCTAGTTGCCTGTAAATTGCGCAGCACGTGTCAAAAGCCACGCGCTCCGCTATTCACATTTCGTTTCTACTCATCATCACTAAATAGGGTTCCATGTTTTCGGTACAACATACCGCTCAAACCCGAAAATGTGTCGCCGAGCCCGTTTTATTATAATCTGGGAAAATGAAAAAACCCTAAAACCATCCTTGAATTAAAAAAAAAAACAAAAAAAACGCCTCACGGAGAAGAGGTCTTTATCTGCTGCCTTATTTTGTGTTGACGGGAACCACACCCCTTATCTCGCTTCCTTTTCATATCGGGACGTTTTCCCAGTGTTTGAGTCACGGGCATGTTTCCTGGAGGCTGGAAAACCTCACGGCCGTGTCCCGATTGCTGCAACAGATGCCCCAATGTGCCAATTTTTCGTCTGACGCCGAAAACAGACACCTAACATGTGGGGAAAAGATACCGTAAAATACCGGGGGAGTGCCTGCCCCATTTTCACTGAGAACTGGGTTAATCTAGACATAGGTGCTTGTCTCGACAAATCAGGTGGTTATCGTATAATTTGAAAAATTCCCAAGTTTGGGAAATGTTAATAGTAGTGGGCACTTGAGCGAAGTGGGCGCTTCTGTGGTTTTTACGGTAAGCACTGAAACCACGCACTATGAACACGAGAGGTTATGTTGAGGCTGTGTTGAAATGCATTGAGAAAAGAGTTTTTTTTATGGTGCCGTTGAAGAGACGGAATTTCTCTTTTCACAGGTGGACCAATGAGCAAGTGGAGCAGGTGGCCATGGAGGTGAACCAGGTGCTTTTCTACCTGAGCAAGTGCAAGCACCTCAAGTTGGCCGGAGCGGTAACACAGGTGGGATCACCGTCCCACACCGTTGAAATGCCCTTCGTCACCGTATTTTACCATGCCTATACTTGGCATTAACTTCTTCGTAAAACATTGCCAAAAGGTAGCGTAGCTTCCACAGTGCTGTGGGACCTCTCTGCAGGTGGTTTTGTACGCGCTCTTGTGCGAAGAAGGTGCCAAACAAAGACGCAAGCTTGTGCAAGCACCTCTAACATCATTGAAGCGCCGCGAAAACTGGGAATGCTTGCCTTGACGACGTAGCACAAATATGTTGATGCCGAGTGGAGAGGTCGACTTGCTCGGGTGCAGAGTGCGATCTGCTTGCCATGCCACGTTAATTGGCCAGTGCTGCACTTTCATTGCACTGACTGGATATCGCTGCACAATACCCAATTAGTACAATGAAAATTCGGTGCCTCGCTTATCTTGAAACTCCGCTAATCTCGAGTTTCTTTTCTAGTTTTTATGACTTGGAGTTACGGAGTGTTTTTAAGTTATTCTCCGGTAGTTTCCATTTCTCGCTAAAAATAATAACAAAAAATACTTTTTGTATCGCGAAAGAGTGTCACTAGACATAATGGGGGTTATTCACTGGTGGCCATAGTTGAGTGCGCAACTGATGAGCGCATGCTGACATCGAGCTTCCACAGTTCTTTTGCAATGTTTATTCCGCACGATCAAAGTTGCCAGTCTTAGCAGCCTATTAATGTGAGCTCGTTCTGAGCATCTGCTCTTAACATCACCCTCAAATATTGTGTCCAGTGAATACCCTCTATAGTATTATTCAAGTGTATTTGTTTGTGCAAGTTTTAAGGCAACCTTACAGTTTTTAGCCCAACAATCTTTGTGCTTAATATTGTTCGATCACGCCAAAATTTGGCATATATATGCTTTAGGATACAGTCGAGCCCGGTTATGTCACACCCGGGTATTTCGACTTATTGTTTTAAATCAAACAGTTCAAACATCCCCTTGAAAATCACATGTAATTGTATACACTCCGTGCGACGCGACTGGCGCGCCGCCGCGCGGCCGGTGCCGAAGGTAGGCAGTGAGAACCCGAGAGAAAACGAAACCGAAACCACACCGCGTACGTTGGTACGCATTAAAGTCGGAGTGGTGCGGTTGCGCTGGGTTCACAGCATGAAGTGCTGCCTGTGCTGCGTCATTAAGTGCTTCAATAGTTATGCGTCGTATCTCGTGGAGACAAAGTTTCACAGTTTTTCATCTCGCCGATGTTTTGTGGGACGGCGACAACGATGGAGCCGTGCCGTACACGCGAGATATTTGGTCTCCCGATCATGTCTGCCACTGTGTCGGCACGGCTGACATATTCTACACTGCCGCTTTGCGCTCTGCGTTTGTTTTCGTACCAGTAACGCCTACATCTGTCAGCGCCGATGGAACGAACTGAAATGCCATCCCACACTCGCGGGTATGCAGTGCCAATTTCGTTGGAGGAATGCCCTCCAAAGAAGTTTCGTCCCCATCGTACGTGTCGATGATATTTCCGGACAAGTATGGCACGGAATCTGTACTTCATGAAGAAAGATTCGAACGGTAAAAAAAGTGACAAATATAAATCTAAAGAAAACAACAATGAAACTCGGAATCACTGGAGACTCGGCGTTTGAGTATGGAAGTTTATGTGGTGTGCTTTCTTTCTTGATCAGCCTCCTTTTGGATGTGGAAACGCTGACACCCCGAGTTCTGTAGACAACCATTTTTTTTTCTCGGCTTTAGAGCCACCTATCGCAAAGTGGTTCGAACTGGAAGTACCGTCCACTGGTCCCTTCCTACCTCTAAACTGTGCACCTCCCACGATGAGTGGTATTATCCGACAGCCTTTGACGGTCAAAGCCAGTTCCCATTTAGTTACGCCGCCCAAACAAAATTCCACCTGGTTTCGCTTTGCCAACTCTTTTTGCTATAATAAGTGTTGTGCCAAGTGACGGTCATGTCAAAGTACCTGTGCGCCGAAAATCAGCACCTCGCACAACAGGTTATTACACAACAGCTGACCGCAAAAGCCCTTGGCGGCCAAACCGTGTGTTGGCCGACAACTTTGTTTTCTCGGCTTTGGAACCACCTTTCGTAAAGTTGTTTCAATTGGAAGTACAGTCCACTAGTCCCTTTCTACCTCTAAAGTCTCCACCTCCCCCAACCAGTGGTATTCTCTTGACAGCATTTTCTTGGTCAAAACCGGTTTCCATTGAGTTACGCCGCCCAAACCAAATTTTCTCGTGGTTTCCCTATGCCATTTTTTTTTGTATAATAAGTGCTGTGTCATGTTACTGTCAAGTCCAAGCACCTGTGTGCCCAAATCTGCACTTTGCACAGCCCGCTATATTCTTTAGAAACATAACTTTCACATCTGCTGTCTTAAAGAAACTTGGCACTCTTCGTGCACAAACTTAGTGAACATCTCACTCGCTTCCAAATATTATCGTTCCAGCAGTCCTAGGTTTACAGCGACGAGCGAAATAAATTTCCCACTCAGAGCAATTATGGTGGCGGCTGTCTTGTTTTTCGGAAAATTGCTCCAACTCCTTTTTCGGCCGCAACTAGAGAAATTACCCCTAATAACGACTCAAACTCAATATATAAGAAGTGGAGAAAAGCTAAATGCCCTTCTGCCCCAACACTCATGCAACGTCACCCTCAACTTATCGGCTCAAAAAGCAAAAGTTTCGTCCGTTTGCGCTTCCGCCGCCACAGCTTGGCATGCGAAAAGGCGCCGCAGGCTGCTGAACGCGCCTCACAGTCAAACGCCAGCTCCTCCGCTAGCGGCGCTGCGCGCGTCTTTCAAAGCGCCCCCTATAGTTCCCGCACGGAGTGTATAGGAGCGTTGTTTTTCTGTATCAAACTCCCATGGCGGGGACACTCGATATAGCGAACAAAGCACGGCGGCACAGCGCTTGTCCCACGGTGCCCTCTGCTTATTATCTCACATGGTCTCACCTAGACTCACAGCGCCGCCCGGTGAGTGGCAGAGGCACTCAACACGCATGAATGAAATGCCTTTCGCTGCCCACCCCCCCCCGCACACCGAGCGACGCTGTGTACTACAAAGTGCAATAAAATACTATCACTATCGTAACAGCTATTGCTCTAAAATAACCCCGGAAAGCCACCCCCACATTCCAAAAAAAATAGACCCCAAAGTCACGGTCCTTTCGCCGCAGAGAGTGGATGCAGTGACATGGCAGCTCCAGCGCCACCTGGAGGAGACGTTCCTGAGCAGCCTGCGGAGGGACAGCCGAGGGGAGCTGGGGGCGGTGCTGCGCATCTGCGCCACCCTCGACCGCGTCGGGCCCATGGAGGAGCTCTTCCGGAAGAAGGTGGTCGCACCGGCACTGGACGAGGTGACCAAACATTTCTCTGTGTCGGAACTTGCGGTACCAGAGCACTAGAGGGTTAGAGGTAGTTTTGGTGACGGTTGTGACGCAACACAAAACACCCAGAATTCAGGATTGTGAGACGCCGGCCACCACTGTTGTTGAGTTGTTTTACTACTTCTCTTTCGTTGGAACTATTTTTTGCCAAAGCCTTTGGCATCTGACAAAATGGGGAGAAGCTGGTTTTGAGGAACGCCAGACAGGTGACTGTATTTATGAAAAGCCGGTTTGAAAGCCAAGAACAGGAGCATTCACGTCTTCAGCTCGACGCTCGCCCTCCCGCGGCATGAACGGGAAGCGCTCTAGTGAGTGTCTTCAGATCCTCCTGCTCAGCGGCCACAGCGGAACTGCTCACGATCATGGCTCGTGATATGTACTTTCCGAATGCAAACAACACTCTTCACTGTCCCAGTGTAGTGCTGCAGCCGATATGGCATTGTACCTTACTGGAGATTTTGAGTATTGCGCGTAGAAGCAAACGCAAGCGGCGTGCGTTTGTGTTAGAGTTGCGTGTCCCACGTTGTGCGTGTGCCTCATCGCCATGCACCATCCAATACCGCAATTTTAAGCTCCACGCACACACAGTGTGGATTGAAGCATAGCTAACGCAAACACACAGCGCTTGCGTTCGCTCGTATACACAATACTAAAACACACTACTGTTTCACCGGCTTCCAACGCCAACGAAACACGTGTTGCAGTGAAGAGAGGTGCAAGCAGGTAGGCGTTCCTTCGAACTGGAAAGGCTGAAATTGGCGAAACGACGGAGCGTAAAAATAAAAGTAAATAAATGTTATAAAAAAAATTAAAAAAAAAAAAAAAAGTTTTTTTTTTGTTTTTTTACTTTTGGGCATTTGGTCTGGAAGGATATTGGCGGCACTTTTGGACGTTTTGCCGATTGTCAAAAGTCGCGACTTTCATAGCAAAATATACTTCACGTACAATAAATGTAATTTTATATGGATTTCTCACAGTAGCTATAATGTTTTCATTGATTTTAGACTATATTTTGATTTTATTACTTGGTAATTAAAAATACTGCAATTGGCACCAGTGATGATAATTAGCACACTTTTAATTGTCAAATGTGTTTGCACGTTTGAAATTAGATCATAAGCAACAAATTATATTAGAGCTTGAAAAATTATGTATTAAAATATCTGAATTTAAATATTATTATTATTAATACAAATCGCGGCAGTGTATGCCCCCAAGTAACGCCATGATGAAATAAATACGCCATTTAACCATAATAGTCTTTCAGAAAGATATTACTTAGTTTTCTTTTTAGCATATGAAACACTCTGACATTGTTATCAAGATAGACAAACAGTCAAACACTGGATGTAATATAAAGTCCTATGCGTCGCGTGTTACTCTAAAAACACACACACACTTCAGCTGTCTGACTCGGATTCTGTCTTGGGGTTTTATTTTATTAATTATACATTTTGTGGAAAATTGGAATTATTCTCTTATTTTTGTGCGGGGAATAATGTTAAACCAATTAATCATCTAAATACCTAAAAACCCATTAAAAGGCCCGCAGTTCATTATTTCACATGACGATTACCTGAGCGAGAAAAGGCAGCGAGAATGCACAAATATCAGCCTGGATCGAACATTTATGTCACAAAATAAAGTTTCCGCGAACAACTTCTCTAACTAAGTAATTACGATGTGAGACACATCTTGAGTTATCAAAGAATACAAAATTAAGACCTATATAGAAAAATTAAATCCGAAATTCAGTTTAGTTCCGGTTTTGCTCCAGAATTAAAACGCGCATTCTTGCATAAATATGACGCTAAACACCGTTTTTGTTTCAGGGTAAAGGGGTGACCTGCGCCCCTAACACTTTAGCTTCCTCGTATTACCAGAAATTATTTGTGTCGCTCAGTGAAGCCAGCTCACTAGACAGGCTCAACAGCGGCACGCATCTCCGACCCTCACTATAACCGCCATTTTGGAAAATGAGTGGCGCCACCTATAGTTAGTTGGAGTCGCGAATAGAAAGAAGGATAAAGGTATTGACAGCAAGTGCTGCCTTAAAGGAAAAAAGGAAAAAATTCTGGATTTGCGCGTGAAAGTTTTTGTACCAAAGAAGTGACAAAATGTTTTTAAAGAGTAAGCTAACTTTTGTTTCGAAGATTTTGCTACAAAATATGTAACAACGTATCAAACACTTTCTAGCGCGCATCGACCATAAAGAGAAAGTCGGCATTTCGTCTTGTAGCACGAAAATGTTTCGTAATTCTAATGCGAAAGCATTAACTGTCTCATGGAGCGAGCTGACGTCATCAGTCTGAAGCGCGAAAACGGCTCCTAGTTTCTGCGATCCCAATAGGAGCAATTCGCCTTCGGTTCCATTGGCTGGCGCGCGTCGACGGGGCTCCCATTGACCGCTGCGTTATGTCCTCCGAGATCCCGAAACGTGCGCGCGCTAGTAGGCAGCAGACAAAAAAGGGAGCGGACGAGCGGCTTGCATGCTTTCGCATTCACAACTCATAAGAAATGCTTAGGTGTACCTAGAGCTTTTTTACTTTCCACCACCTCGTTGAATTGAAATCACCTTCCCACTTCAGTGTCTGAAATTGTTGGTATGGACAGTCTTAGAAAGGCTGAGATTAACCTTTACATATTGTTGTAAAGAGTCCTAATAACAGTTAAAGAGTTTGTTCATGCTCTGTGTTCATTGCTCCGTATAGTTTTTGTAGCCCACTCCCATTTGTGATGCATCTGGCACGGAGGGTAGTGAGATAGATATATGTCAGACGCGCAACGTTTGTTGAAAATTCAGTCGAGACTTCAGCTCAAGAAACTAACACGTTTTCTGGCGCATATGTTGCGCTTTTTGTCACAAATTTCCATTGGTATGTTTTATAGAACGGTGCAACTTAATGAGCTTTTTTTAAAGTATTGACGTCTATGACAAGGGAGGAACGGCAGAGCATCTGCCAATGGCCTGCTTTTCTGGTGGTTTGTGCACAGGTCTGTGGTTGCAGTGGTTCACTGACAATACAGGGAGGTTATACAATGGTGCGACTCACAGACTTTAAAATATGGCAGACTCGAGCTAGGCTGTCGGTATGCTTGCCAGGCGTGAACCCGAGGTGGCTGCTGTTGCAGATGGTGCAGGAGCGAGTGCTTCAGGAGGTGGGACTGGAGGGCATCTACGACCAGGTGGTGATGTTTGCAAGCACCCGCTGCCAGACTCTGCTGGACCTCACCTCTGGTGGTGGCAGGTGAGCCCTTCACCGTCTCCCTCGGGCTAGAGTCGTTACGTAAGCTACGCCTTAAAGTAACGACTCTTTGGACATCTTGTCGCTTAAAATGACAGTTCGTCTCAAATCGCAGAAAATGGTTTTGTGCCCCCCGTCGAAGCGGTCTGCGACAAAGGAAAGTAATTTTGCCCAAGTTTTCCCCGACACGGTACCGGGTACCTCGGGAAGCCACACTAGGCATCAAAATGGCTGCGCCGAAGGGACGGTCGGCGAGTGTCGACACTCTAAACGCAAATCCCACTGGTCATTTTAGAGCGCGCCGGGAGTAGACCAGATCTGAGATGGAGCACGCAATCTGAACAGAGTCGCTTTGCCTCCAGATCCCCGTAAAACATGACCGCTCCTCCGGGATCAGCGGATGCCTTCCCGCCATTCACCTTACCCTTCCCGAAGTTACAGATCTCGAAGCGAGATGCCCGGTAAGCAGGGAAGTCACATGTGCGCGCCGAGGGCTGGCCAGGCTGGCTCCCGGTCAAATCTGCCGAAATCGGCGGAGTGACTTTTCACGGATCCGGATCGGGGAGATCCGAAGTGGGAGCTGACCCAAAACGACGAGTGGAACATGACCGTCTCAAATCCGATCGCCCAGTGAAATAGGCGCGCTCCCGAAAATTCGATCCCGGCGCACTCCAAAATGACCAGTCGAATTCGCAATTAGAGGCACAAACTTGCAACTGCTGACGACCGAGTGCCTTAAAACATCTTTGGATCTCTCGCGATGAGAGCAGGACGAGAGGACTCGCGGGCGCCATCTTGTCACGACCAGACAGTCGTGACAAAGGCAGAAGTTGTTGTTCGCCTTGTACAGATTGTTGGCTTCAGGATGAAGGAGCAGGCAGTGTGCCTACTCCTTGTTTGCTGTGTAGATGCTCCGTCGCTCGGTGAACCCCCAAGACCTGATGCGTAGCCAGTTCGAATACACTTCGTCTAAATCGACCCTGCATTAATGCATTGGTTACGGCGCTATTTTGGGCTTCACTTTTGCCGGTTAGACCCGGTGAGGCGACTCCTGTCACCTTTTTGTCCTGGCCTCGAGACTAATTTTTTCTTAATAAAAGTTGGTTGGCTGATGGATTGATTCTTGAAACATCTTGCTTAAATAAAAGTTAATTGATTGATTGGCAGATGGGTTAGATCAATCAAGAAAGTCATCTTTGAGTAAATCAATTGCTAAAAAAGTTAATTGTTAAATTATTGATAGAATTATCGGAGTTGTAAATCAATTTTTTTTAAAGTTGTTCGATTGATAGGTCAATTGATTAATGGGATTATCTATGAGTGACTCAATTCCTCAAAGAGTTGATTGTCATTTAATCGATTGACAGGTAGGTCAATCGTTCAATATAATTATATAAGTCAATTTCTTAAAATGTTGCTTAATTGATGATTGATTGTCAGACGGGTATTGTGATCACAAGAAGATAAAAAGAAGAAACACATCACATGCACAGCATCAAATGTACAAATTAATCAGGCTACAAATAGTGGGCACACTTCACAGAAAATTTATGTACAGAGTTTCAACATTCAACTAGACTCTCCAAGTCCCGGCGAAAGCTGAGGGATCCATAAAAATGTCCAAGCGGGAGGATGAGATTTTTTTAAATGAAATTTGCATACAGGACAGCAGTTAGAGCTTAAACATGAATTGAATGTAAAAAAGACAGTAAAATTTCTGGTAACGCAACAAGGAACATGGAAGCTGACAGGACTCAAAAACAGGTTAGCATCAATCCAACCATTACCACCCTGTGTAAAAAAAATCAAATCACGCTTGTATCTTCTTTTTGACAATGGCCTAAGTAAAACACTATTAAGAAATTCATAATCATAATAAAATTGACACTGAAAGTGTCTGTCACATACAATGCATATTATTCTTTTGCACCGATCTGATGCTTAGGGACTGCGTACGTGTTAAAGAATTCCAAACCATTGAGGGAAATTCAGGCCATGGACGAACTAAAGCACAAAATAAACAAATCATACAAGCAGGGTGTCTGAACTTTTGAGTTATACGAGATACTATAATACCAGGAGCTTTTATCTCACGGCCAACAGTAAAAGACACGTGAGCATTGAATGATGGCGCACTATCAAGACGCACATCGAGATCTTTCGTTACAGTCACGCGTTCGATAGGAGCTCCTCCCAAAGAGTAAGTGAAGTGCTCAACAGCAAGTTGTCTGCTCAAAGAGAGGACCCTAGTTATTCCCCAAAGACCTTTGCAGTATGTTATTCATATTGTGCTGAAGAGCATTGCAATCAAGAGGAGTATCAACAGCGCAAAAACCTTAATATCATCCGCAGACAGTAAGAGCTCAGCCTTTTTGACACACGACGCTATATCATTAAAGAATATCGGAAACAGAAGAGCCCCAAGAGTAGACCGCTGGGGACACGTGAAGTTGTAGAAAATAGTTTAGAACGGACACTAGAAATTCAAACATGATTCATACAACACGGCGATTCGTACATGTAAAACTGGGCACTCCTTAGGTCAACAATATGTAAAGATACGTCGTATGTGTATTTTCCGAATGTTACAAAATTAAGGGGCAGGCACTTATCGTGGCATGGGCGGATGCTCGGTATTTTACGGTAGGTCAACTCCTCAAAACGTTGCTCGGTTGACAACCGGTTGGCAGACGGTTCTTTTGATCAACAGAACTGTCTCTACATGAATGGATGGCTCCCATTCTCTCGCAGCATGTCGGCGGAATGCCCCGGCTACGCCTTTGTGGGGCGTGGCCTGTGGCCCGAGCTGTGCGAGCAGCTGGAGCGCCGCCTGCCCTTGGTGTTTGCAGCGGGCAACCCGGGCGTGTTTCAGTCTCGCTTCTCGGCCACCCTGGCCTTCTTGGCCCGGCTGGAGCGCCTATGCGGCTCCATCGAGGCGGTCGGCCAGTTTCGCCAGCAGGAGTCCTACAGGCGCTTCCTTGCCAAGTGGAATCTCGCCATCTATTTCCAGCTCAGGTCTGTGACTCTGATATTTCTGCCCGAAGGGAACTCGTGGTGTTGTACGACACAATTCTGTTAAGGAAGGGTCGGCTTTCGAACCCCTAGCTTAATATGAATGGAACTGACAGTTTAAATGAAACTGATAGCCATGATAAAGGGAGCAGAAAAATGCAGCAGAACCGAGTATGCGGTTGTCTAATTAAGCGATTAGCTTCAGAGATAATGAAAGAGCCTTGGCCGGCTAGTGTAAATTTTCCCGCTAAATTTAGCGGGGAACTTAATCGGTATTGAGGTCACGTGACATCAAGTCATGTGACATTATTTTTCCCGCTAAATTTAGTGGGGAAACTGAATTGGTGTTGAATTCACGTGACGTATAATTTCCTACTAAATCTAGCAAGGAAACTGAATTTGTGTATAGGTCACGTGGCATCCAGTCATGCGACATCCTTTTCCCCGCTAAATTTAGCGGGAAAAATAAACAGCCAGAAACATACCTCAAATGGGCCTGAAGATCCTAAGAAAGCTAACTGCTTTAAAAGGTTTCAGCTCTGTACATTAATTGGGAAGCAAACTAAGATAGTTACCATCAGGGATAGACCAGCATTGTTCAGTTATTGTTTGAAAACTAGTGCTATACCCTGCTGTTTTGTTTGCTAGGTGCAAAACAGAATGCTTAAGAGTGCATCCATAGAAAAAATTTTGCCAAAATTAATTTATTTCTCTACAAATATTGTTTTATAAAATCGAGCAACTTTTTGACCCGTATCTCCAACAAAAAGCTAAAATTTTATCAAAAAACATTTAGAAGGTAAAAACCGTTGTCAATTGCATTTCTCATTAAATTTCACTCAGTAAAAACAAAGAATGAGTCTGTTTCAGTTCCATTACAGGGGTGGAACGGCTGCGCCATTTGCGCCATTTTGCGCCAGACGCATTTGTCTGCGCCATCCTGCGCCATTTTGCGGAAACTGCGCCACAGCCAATACATCGCGCCATTGTGCTCCAAATTGCTGAACGTGCGCCCAATTTTTTTTTTTTCATTTTGTCTTGGTTTCGGTTTTTATCGACTCGATTGGCAACAATGAGCGCGTTTAGCTTGGTCGGCCTTGCAATCCTTTGTTCTGTTTATTCTTCCTTTGTATCCCAATTCCCGAGTCGGAAGCGCGCGAAAAAACTCGGGGTTCCAATTCCAAGTGCTACACCACCTGCGACTGGATTGTTGTTCTTCAACCATAAGCGGCTAAGCAAGTCGGCCGAGAAGAGGTAGAGCCGTTAAGCGTCAGATTACCTGAGGCTCTGCGGCCCGGGTTCCGGAAGTCAGCCAGTTGAAAACACATTAGCAAACGATTCCTTTTAGTACTTCTTCGTTAGAAGTTGGAACCGCATTCCTGCAAGATAAATCGTGATTTAATAGAACTGAAACGCAGTCCGATCCGAAACCTTGCCGGCCAGCAGCTCTCACGCGAGCGATAGATCTTGCTTGATAAACCTTGCTCCTGCTTATCGCTAAGAACACGATAACTCCATTAATCGTAGTCTGCTGCTTCAATATTGAGTTATACAATAGTATAAACTCGGAATTTGTTGCCCTGTTCCTCCGCGCAACTGCAAGTCCGTTTCTCACGCACGTCACGTGGTTCGCACATATAATTACCATCTCGAACAGGTGTGAGTTGTGCCATAAGCAGTGCTGGTTTGCATTTTGAGCAGTTGAAAGCCACTCAGAAAATATCAAGGACACTATCTGCAGAAACATATGGTACTTGCTTTTTGGTTCTCATTAAGGCTCACAAAGTTTCAAGTTTTCGCATCTGTTACACTGTTATCCCACCTACATAGGTCCCTAACCACTATCTGTGTTGTTCTTTTGTGCTGCTAAGCACAACTGAAATTGCTCCCGTGCTTGTCTAAAACACAAGCTGAAGTGCAATGAAAACTGATCTGAGCTGCTCCTAGCCTGCTCCAGAACATCGTTTTAGCTGCTCCCAACCTGCTCCAAAACAGCTGTTTCAGCTGCTCCCGTGGCTGCTCCCAAGTACATTTCATGAGTTCCACCCCTGCATTATCGAGCGATAGATTAACTGAAGTAAAATTTATATATATAAAAATGGAATGGATTAAAATGCTTTCGAAGTGTCTGGGTTCCCATCTTTCGTACAGCACCGAGGCACTGAGTATAATTTATAGCAAGTTAACTATGTGGCAAAAATGAACGCAATGGAAGCCCCGTCGACGCGCGCCAGCCAATGTAATTGAAGGCGAATCATTCCTACTGGGATCGCGGCGGGAACTAGGAGCTGTTTCTGTGCTTCAAACTGATGACATCAGCTCGCTCCATGAGACAGTTAATGCTTTTGCATTAAAATGTAATCAAGCACGCGCCGCTCAATCATATGCTCAAGGACTTTGGCGTCGTCCATCCTAGAGGTCGTCCTAGGCGTCGTCCGAGAGGTTTTCCTAGAAGTCGTGTTTAAGGTTGTCCTTGAGGTCATCCTAGACATGGTTCTCTAGGCATCGTCCTAGACGTCATAAAAATAACAGCCTCCCTGGTCCTCTATCATAAAATAACAGCTCCCTGGTCTTCCATCTTTACATGAAGTGGAAGTGCTCTACAATTTTTTTTATCACGGAACTTTTTTTCATTGAAATGTTGTCAGCATAGAAGAGAAGGTTCATCTTAGAGCCCCCCTTAGTCTCAAGGCCGAAGGAACGGCCTTTGAACATTTGGTGCCGTGTTCCAAGCAAGATGTGTTTTACTTATGCAGGTTCCAGGAGATTGCGTCTCAGCTTGAAGTGGCCCTCAGCGAGCCTGGGAAGCTGAGCTCAGGTGCACTTTTTTCTGCTTCTCGGTCCACTGTCAGGTTACAAGGTACACTGCTGCCAGCAGCAACATCACCATGATTTAGCTTCTTTCCCTGTGACAGGGAATCATGTCACTTCGCCTCCGCGTAAAGGCTTTGAAAATGTTGTTCAAGTAAGAATCGGCGGGAAAACTTAAGTTGCAAAATATCCTCCGACCGATTTAAGGAGAAGTTGTGTACCGTACCACATACCGCTTCACCTAACCTCTGGCCGCAGCAGAATGCCCAGAGCCATCTTAGCTAGTCCAGCCCTGTGAATGTAGCACGTGTCTACGCTTTCTGCGCATCTCAGCGCTTCCTTTCGAATGTCATGAAAAACTTTTGCGGACATGTATTGGCTCCGACGGCTCGTAGCGTCTGCCGTGGTCTCACGTAAGATGAGATGGAGTATAGACTCACTGCCTCACAAAGAAAATCTAGCTTTGTGCGTAGTGAATGCACATCACAAAGGTAGTCCTTGCGAGATTTGGTTCTTGGAAAAAGAAACTATATGCTTTTCTCCTTCAAAAAATGCATGCTTCGATAAAAATTCTTGTAAACTCGCCTCTATCCTTTGCATAAAGCCAAGCAACACAGGACCTGCTGTGTGTTGGTGTCTATCTATTTCAACCTGTTTAGCCTGTTTCGTTTGTTTCGTTTTTGGGGTAACTTGTTAGGGATGCCTACCCACGTGAAAATCGGTTCGCTCGCAGCTGGATCGTAAAACTGGTGCCAGCGGAATCTATCTGGGGCCAGTTCCACGATCTGGCTCCGAGCAGATCGATTTGCACCCAGGCGCACAAACGTTTGACGCATTTCGTATCAGTTCGACATGAAGCGCGAAGGTAAGTTAAAATTGGGGGAGAATCGCATTTTAGTAACATTACGGTACCTTCAACGCGTCTTTGACTGGCGCGTTTGCGTCCTGTCCCGCCCGTGCATCAAAAGTGAAGGGGCAACAAGTGACGTTACAGAAGCCGGAGTGTCGTGATGTCGGATGTCGCTGCAGTCAGTGCTAGAAGTCCCGGTAAAAAGTAAAAACAAAGGCAAGTGGCGTTCCTACTACTGATATCCGAGGCTTCCGACGACCGTCAAACTGTAGAGCGACTTGTAGCAGAACATGCATCTGCCACATCCACCCGGTGACATGACACTTTTTTGATGTCGTCAGGCTGAAATTGAGGGACCGCCTTTTAGGACGCGACAAGCGCACACACCGGTCGAAGACGCGTTCCGGGTGCCGTCGTAACGTGCCATGACCGGGCAAGACCCGTGCGGCCACCTCCGTTGTTCGCAGAGGGTCCGTTCCGGCTCTCCTGCCACCAGTGCCTGTGGGCCCAGCTGGAGCGGTGCTGGCACCCCGAGGTGTTTGTGGCCCCCCTGGCACACCGCTTCTGGAAGCTCACCCTGCAACTCCTCGCCAGGCACCGCCACTGGCTGCACCAGCAGGCCCAAGGCGAGGACCGCACCTGGCGGCGCAGTATGCGTGTCGCGTGAATCCCTAGTTTCTCGTATCTATGCGATTGCTTCGGTGCACGATTCACTGGCAACGTGTAGACTGGCGCTTCCCAAAGTTTGCGTCGCTGCAGACCCCCCGAATGTCGCAGGGGCCATTCTGTTTATGTGACGCGTTGCATACGTCGAGTAACTGATGTTTCCCGATGTACGTGAGATGAGAAACCACGTTTATTACCTCTGGCATCCTGAAAACAGGTCTAGGGAGAGCGGTCCTGTGGTTGAAATGCGAAAACGGCAATACATGCCTGGACGCTTGCTCCTAGAACACCAGTAGTAAAGATGCACTCGTAAGTAGAAGCCAGCAAGAGCACACTGTAACTCACAAGAACTCCACCGTAGCTGCAAATGCGTTTGTTGCGATGATTGTAACTGTCTTCAGTGCCTTTTCTGTCCCCGGTCTTCCGCACTGTGGTGTTAACTTCGATAGCAAGACCAGAGGGGGTGGCTGTCAGTGAGGAGAGGTTGGCATTCTTTGAGATCAAGACCTTTCAGAACCCCTGCTCTAAGCAGTGACTATTGAGTGGCTTCATCTGTTGATAGAGCTGCTAAATAAGCTACGCTTCAGAGTATCGACACTCCAGCCATCTTGGTGCTTGAAATTATAGTTGCCCGTCACCCAAAACTATTTCTGAAATCCTAAGAAATGCTTTGCAGTCCTCCAGAAACATTAAAATGGTCCACGACGGAGAGGAACAACATCACCTCTTCTTGATGCCATATACATAGAACTCGGGAGGTCGTGTTTTCGAATCGTAACGATCTCCAATTTTCCCTGCTCTGCTCTAAGGACCAAAATGGCGGCTTTCACGAGATAATCGACTGAATGCCGTACCGACACGAAGTATAGCCTATATAGCTACACTTAATAAGCTACCAGAGTCCTTAATGTGCCTAAGCTCCTTAAAAAATGCTCAAAAAAAACAACAACAAAAGAAATGCTGCCAACCATACATTCTTTAAAATTGTTTGATAGGAATTTATTGCAAATTTTGCGGTTTTTGTATTTTAGTTTTTGATTGACTATTTTTCTGCCTTGCGTGCTATATGCCCAAGCATCTGCTTAATTCATATTTGCCTCAATTTTTGTTTTTTTCTGGTTGTAGAATTTTTTTTTTTTTTTACGTTTTAGTTTTTTGGTGTGTGTTATACCTATTTGTTGTATTATTTTTTTGCTTAAATCAAGCATACATTCATTCTGTTTTGTTTGTTTACATCGAGCACATTTGTATGTGTATTTTTGCCAATTGCCCAACGCTACACGCAAGCAGGACGCTGCCTTTGTGGGCCAGCACTATTATCTTCGTAATTCGTTATTTTAATAAAGTATTGTTATTAGGGTTTGGCCCTAGCTGTAGATATTGACTTGCCTCTGCGTTCAATGCCACGAGCTAACGCGCCGTGCAAACCCGTCCTCTTCACAGGGACCCAGGAGTTGGTGCCTGTGCCCCCACCTGGGCTCCAGGGGGACAGGCAGGGGGCAGCCGTCCCGGCGGGGTCCTCTGGGGATGCCCCACCCTGCTCCGACTTGGTGCTGGTGCTGCTGCACTGGGACACACAGCAGCTGGCTGCCAAGGCAAGTCTTGGGGTGGGGGAAGGGGGCATGGAAACACTTTGTTGGTGCCATCCCTTGGCTGGGGTGTGCCTGGCTTCCCCTGGTGCTTGACGAACCCGGACCTCTTAGCACTTAAAAATGCTTTGAAATTCCCAGGAAAAATATTTTTTAGGCGCCCGTATACCTAGTATATGTATGTCCCAAAATAAGCTTTCTGGGAATAAAAATAGATTCTAGCGCAATATGGTACGTTGCGAGGACACATTTAGAGCTATCAAAGTAATTCCAAAACATGCTTCTATTTCGGGGTTGATGTCTCAAAGTAGCAGCATTCCAATCCAAATTAATCTTGCAACGTAAATATGTTAAATTTTTTTTTTTTTTTTTTCAAAGAAAAAAAAAAAAAAAGGTGGGAGTTTGGCGTTTATTTTTTACGCCCCTGTCAGACAATGCCGTAGAGGGCGTTGCCCGAGGATGATCTGAGGCAGGGTTAGTTTGGATAAGGGTGGGTTAAATCGCGTTGGACAACATTAAAGTGTAGGCTTTGTTATCCTTGTTTCTAATTAAGAATTGCCTTTTTTTCTTCTAGAACAAATTGAATTGCATGTTAGACTAATCTCTTTCTAGAAAGCAAGAAAAAATGGCCAAACAGCGAGGGCCATAAGATAGCAAGCAGTGGTGGGAGATTGAGCATTCCCACGCTAAGTGGTAGTAGTATGGGAATGGTTGAGTACAGTATTTTCCGGTCAACGAGTCACACTTTTGTATAAGTCACTTTCCCCATAAACTGCTGTTTTCAGAAAAAAAAAATTATATAAGTCGCACTTATATAAATTGTATGGTTGGCACAGCAAAACTGCATTGAAAAGTTTGCACATCTGTATTTTAATAGACGTGCTGCGCTGCATAGTTCTACAGAACAAACGCGTGACTAAAATTGAAAGGAAAAGGATGAGTTTACATTGAGATGAGGTGTCTGCGCCCATTCGTGTTCGTTGTGTTTCTCCTCATCTCAATGTAAACTCATCCTTTTCCTTTCAATTTTAGTCACGCGTTTGTTCTGTAGAACTTCGCAGCGCAGCACGTCTATCAATGTTCAACCAACTAGCCCAAACCCAAGTCCAAGCTTTATTAAGCACATCTGTATTTCAATTGCAGCATATACCGTAATATTCCGCGGAAGCACCCACTTCGTTCAAGTGCCCACTATTAACATTTCCCAAGCTTTGGAATTCTGCAAATTATATGTTAAGCGCCGGACGTGACTGGACAAGTGCCCCTTGTCTCGATTAACCAAGTTTTCAGTGGGCGCTCCCCCGGTATTTTACGGCACTCAAGCGAGAGCAAGTTTCAATATTCTTGTCAGGGATTCAAACGAAAAATATAACCCTTGCAACAAATTTCCACACTTAGAGTTCATACTTATAGAAAAAAAAAAAAATTCATATAAGTCGCACCTATGAATAAAACACGACAATAGAAATTTTGGAAAAAGAAATGTGACATAGACCGGAACATAGTGTAAACCCTTTCACTTGTGTTTTGCACGCACAAGAAAAAACAATGTAAAGATGCTACACAATTTGAGATATTCCTTTCCATGTTTGAGTCGTGCGACAGTAGTATGTGAGCCAGTAGATCGGTCGGTGATTGCTGGAAAAACTGTAGCCAGCGTTAACACCAGCAGGGATGTGCCCCTTTGCAGCTGGACAGATTGCTGGAAGACACGGTGAGACCTCAGCTGGAGCAGGCCGGTTTCACCGACATAGCTCTGCTGAAAGGTAAGCTTACTTAGCAGCAAACGTGGACCTTTCAGTGCTGAGCCGCTTTGGCAACAACTTTGAGCCACATGGCCGGAAACATTCTTATGCGGAGAGCAAGTCGTCCTACTTTTTGCGCAGGAGTTGCTGTGACGTCAGAACGACGCCAAGCTCTGAGTGGCTTTGATTGAAAGGATAGTGGGTAGACCTCGATGCTAGATGCCTTGAGGTCTACCCACTATTTTTTTCCAGTCAACCAAAGAGGGCTCGGCGTTCTGACATTATTGCAACCCCTGTGCAAGAAGCAGACGAACTTGCACTCCGCATTCAGTTAGAGTGGTGTCGTGGGCTAGTTCACGATGATAGAAGGGGATACGTCGCACAAAAAGGAGGAACAATGTAAAAGAACTACACCTGTGTGCGCTGCTTTTACTTTATCCCTCTTTTATTGCACGCTGTTTGCCCTTATGTCATTCTTATTCAGCTTTGTCTCGGCATCGTGCTGTCACATCTAGGGCTCGCAGAAAGCGCAAACACTGTGTGAATATAGCGCTAGCAGTGGTGATACAATGCGAAAGTTTGACAACACGACATTGACTCGATCGAAAGACGAAGGAGAAAAACTAAATTTCCTTACGATCCGACGTCCACCTAGGCCTAATATTCGTCGAACCAAAGAACGATGTTGTGGACGCCAATGGCATTTGTTTCAGTGAATAAAACTTGTCAGCAAGAAAAAAAAGACCCGATTCACTTTCTTGCCGGCAGGCTTTTTCAACGAATTAATACCTCACGGTTATCTGCAATGCCACTCTTTAGTCCTTGGTTGGACATTGGGTCACAGAGAAATTTCTTTCTTCATTTCATCTTTTGGCATATGTATGGGGCCTGAAGTGCATCTTTCATGGGTGCGTTTGTCATCCTCTCCTGGAAGTCGGTTTTAGACGTCCTGGCAGATGATACAAGGGAGTGCGAGCATTGCTCCCGTCGCGGAGTCTGAACTCCTGGCTGCCCTAGCTTCTGTGGACTGCCAAGTTGGCGAGTGACCTGCAGCAAAACTGGGGTCCTGTTCTACATGGCGGGATCAAGGGACTGGGACCACGTCGTCTGCTACGATTGATCAGCGCTGTGCCGCTGACAAATTGCAGCAGACGGCGTTGTCCCGGTCCCTTGATTCCGCTTAATCCCGTCGTGTAGCATAGGCTTGAGGTGTCTGTTATGTCCACCAGCGCCGCCGTATCGCTGCCTGGATCACGACTGGCTACAGCATGACGCTTTCATGACATCATTAGTGGGAAATCGAGGGATCTGTTTCTAAGACATGGTAAATACACCAGTCGGAGATGCGTTCCAGGCATTGTAGAGAAGGTAATGTCATGTTGTCAAACTTTCGCGTTGTATTACTATCGCTAGCGTTGCATTCACACGGAGTTTCGGTTTGCTGCCACACATACATCATAAACTCGTTACAACAGACATTTGGATATGACATACTGCTTTCTGAAGCTCGGTTAGTTTTCCTATGTGTACCGTTGGTTTGACTTTTTATCTGCATACAGCATACTCCCTTTACAACAGACTAAAATCTTAGTCATTATCAAGGTCTGCTGTAACCAATTTAGACTGTGGTTGGTTTATACGGGCCGAAACACAGCTCCATTTTCCCTCTCGGACCCTGTAGGACCGACCGATATACTGTGCATAAGATTAGCATCGCTGAGGACACGGAAGGATGGATTGATAGACAGCTTGCACAACTTAGCCCACAATTCTAGGAGTGTTTTAAATAGTGAGTTGTTCAAATTTACTATTGCCGCGTTATTCATAGCTTTCACGGTGCAAGGGAAAAGCTCGACGTGTCAGTTCTTTTCACGGTGTTCAAGCTGGCAATGACATTGCAACATTTGATTCAAACCACTATTCGCACAGCCTTATACAGTTCTTGCAATCCCCTCCCAACCACATTAGCAGCTTCTTTCTCTTCCTTGCAATCATAACCTGTACACTTGTCGTCCGCCTCCACTGACTACTTTGGAAGATGCTGGAGGCACTTTTGATCCTGCCTCCTGTTCAGATGAGCCAGGACGGAACCAAGCATCAGATCTCAATACAGTCGTGTTTCAGGGTTCTGTCTGCCACCAACAGTGCTTACAAGTAGAGTTCCAGGTTTTTTTTTTTTGTTTTTTTTTTAATCTGAGTCACAGATTTAGTTTTTTGGTGTCGGACAAACAATTGCTGTTTATCGAAGGAAGCAGGGCACGGAAATTGGACGCCCCGACCTCCAGGAAGCATGGGCGTGACCCAAATACTTTACAAACATCCCGGCAGTAATAAGAGAACATGTGGTAAGGGATCTGGGTTACAAGAAAAGAAGTGGCCTCGTGGGCAGTTTAACGGGGGCTGTGCGCTGGGTCTACGCAAAATAAAGTTGTAGATGAACATTTTCTTCCGCGAAGCTTGACCTTTTCTTTTTCCGAAACAGCTCCGATTTGGGGTCTTTCTTTTCTTTTATCCGATTTCAATGAAACTGGCTCGGGGATTACTTGTCGGAGTATATCGGTGTTTACCGAAAACACGGAACCCCAATTACGAATAATTTTCGATATTGACCAAAAAAAAAAAACATGAAAATTAGCTTCCGGGTTGGTTTTATCGGAATCAGGGAAAACCGAAAAGCCCCGAATCGGAGGCATCCTTGAGCGAGAGAAACCCAGTCTTCGCGGAAGGAAATCTTTAGCTATACCTTTTTGTTGACCCTGAACAAGACCCACGCTGAGTCGTCCTCCTCGAAGCCGTTTCTTTCCTCAGACACCCCTCATCCCGTTTCCTTCCCTTGTCGGTACCGAGAAGATTTGCAAGTGCTCGGGTCATGCCCTGTCCATTCTAGTAAGCTTTATTTCCTCTACAACGGGCTATTTCCTACGTCAGAGTGCCTTGTCGTGTGTGTATTTCTCCCCTCTGTGTCCTTGTGTTTCGCGCCGTTTTTCATCATGGGCACATGTTCCCTGAAGGTTGGACAGTCCTACGCCCATGTCTAAATTAGGTTGACATGGGCCTCGATAAACATAGATTCTTCTTGCTAATTGACTGTAAAATACCTCAAGTTCCTGAGAAAAAAAAAAAAAAAAAAGAACCCCGAAAACACAGAACCTAATTTATGTGTGTGCAATGTTGTGCAGCATGCAAATACGCAAGTGCACAAATGTGCAAATGTGCAGTGTCGTGCAGCGTACAAATGAAAACACAGAACCTCATTTATGAGCCAGCAAATGTCGTGCAACAAATTTATGAGTCAGAAATTGTTGTGCAACGCGAACAAAGTAATGTGATTGCCGGGCCCACACCCTGAGTGTAGTCGCATAGTTCTCCAGCGGGTGCCTGGTCACGCTGCCTCAATTGCGAGCATTCGCTCGAGTGAACATTCACTCAAACGAGCATTTCCTCGGTCCTCGAGCGAGCGTACGAGGGATGCGCCGACAAATGGGCGGTTGCAGGGGCCCTCGAGGAGTGCCGGCATTCCCTGGAGGCCACCTGCCCCACGCTGTCCGGGCGCCTCGTGGAGAATGTGGCAGCCGCCTGCTGCCTGCACCTCAAGGCAGTGGCCGACATACCCCGCCTCTACCGCAGGACCAATAGAGAGGTCAGTCCTTCTCCCTCTTAGTCAAAGGGACTGTGAAGCAATTTTTGAACTTTTCCGGAGGCAGCGTTTACCGGCAACCATAGTCGAGCTTGTTGTTGCCAAGCTCAAGCTTCCGCGACAGGCATTCCATGCCACCAAGTCTGTTGCTCTTCTCGGAAGATCAGTGGGGCCTCATTCCGTGAACGCCGCACTCAAATATGGTGCCCACTTAATACCGCAAAACTCCCCAAACAACTTTTGTTGTGTTTTTTTCCAGTGCTTAGGTAGGACTCGTATTTCACACGAAACTTTTTCTCCAAAAAAGAAAATATTTTAGTGCTAAATTTATGCCGTGAGACTTATTTTAAGCTATTCCAATACACGCTTCTCGTTTGGGATCGACGTCTGAATGCCTCCAACCAAACGAGCACTTTGTATTCGTCTTCCTGCATTCTACAGCTGTCAGTTTCCACATGGAGCAAAACACTGATTAAGATTTTCCTGAAAAAAACTTTGAATACTGACCTTTCGTTTTTACACACTGGGGCATTGATGGAATGCCTGCCAGAGACACGCAAGACCAGCTGCCGTTTTCAAAAGTGCTGTCCTCTAAGCAGCCAATTGGTCCTTAGAAAGAGTCCCTTTCTCGAGATCACTTGGGGACAGAGAGCATAAGCACCATTTCTCCTCAAGTTGGAGAGTCTTTTCTGTCAATTGCTGGAAAGCTTTCAGGACGCTTGCTACTGACCCCAACGCTTGCAGTATAACCTTGTTGTAACAGCTCTAGTTACAGCAGACGTTCGATTATACCACACCGATTTGTAAAGTTTGTTGATCCTTCTTATCTGTGCCATCGAGCCAACTTCACTTAATTACAGATTCCGTCATAACATATACATTCAGGGTAAGGGACCATATTAGGCGGTTTGTAAGTTTTTACCATTCCATTATAGCAGAGCATTCATTATTTCGGACATTACACAGCCCTGGTCTAGTAGCAAGGGCATCCATTTAATGAACGGCTGTCGTCGTGCTTGCTGCCTTGTGAGTCTCATACGACTCAAAGCACACACTGATGACAATCGTCGGTACAGCTCAATGAAAAATCACTTTCTTTAAAAGTTGAGAAGTTTCAGTTCACCAGTTATCTTTCAATATCCGTTCGCATTTCATCAGCTTCACTGGTTAGAACGGACTCCAGTCGTAATCCAAGGCCAAATTCCCTGGTGAGAGTATCTGCGTTCTGCCTACTCCTTTTGCAACAGACCAAAATCTTAATCGCTGTCAAGGTCTGTCACAATGAGTTTATACTGTATTAGGCACCGGATTGGCGCCATGCTGTACTCTATGAAAAATGAACCTTGACCTTCATCCCACAAGCTGGGTTGAGAGAGAAAGTGGTTCTTAGTTAGTACCTTGAATTTTTGCACGGAGTGGGACACAAAAGGCTTACATCCATCCCGTATTTAGTAAATGTACGGACTCAAATTTTTCCCCAGACCCTTAGCCGAAGTCCCAACCTTACCTCATCAACCTACCGGGTGTATTGGAGGAAAAATACCGCAAAATACCGAAGCCTGAAAAAAAATTCATCATCCGATTTGGAGGAAAGCAGCCATATTGATCCCAACCAGCTCGACCAAGCATGAGCAGTGGTGCAGGTCAGCAAATAAAGCAACTAAAATTAGATACAGTCACCTGGAAAGCATATTGACTTCAGAACATGATCCCTCTGAACACTAAAACTTGTCTTATTTCATTTTAGTAGTACAAAAGACACAGCATATGAGTTTTGCATTGAATGTTTCGGGCGCGGCTGCAGTGCACTGCACCACATCTTGAAGTGTCAGTGTCCCTGCAAAAACTTTTGAATTTGGCCATCAACCTTTTCATAGGAAAATGAACCTCGTTGTTGGCTAGAACCGCTTCATTTCGTCTATTCCTTTGCAGGAAAGATTTTTTGTCCATGAGAAATTTATGCGGCAGCATATTTCTTTATTATTGTACACCCGTCGAGCGAGGATGCCTTATCTGTTATCAGATGATGTAATAGCTTCGTTTACATTTGTTTACATACCACTTATGCTAGTAGGAGCGTAACAAGCAGATGGCACAGCGCATAAATGAGACAATTAAATTAGAGGTAGTCTTTTAGTTTGCCTCACCTCAGCTAGGGGTTCATCAAGACGCTCAACCGGGGGTTTTGCAGTATATTTACTGCGTGCATGATACACTCCTGGCATGAAATCTCATGACTATCCATGCTTGCAAACCATCGCATTCTCTATGCATAGAGTCAGTGTTTTCCAACACAGTCAAGTTAATTCACGATGTGATCGGCCTTGCCAGTTTGCAATAGAAGTAGGTATGGTTGGTACTCAATTTTTATAACTACCAACCATCATTCGAAACCAAGATGAACCAGCAGTCGACTAAGGCTTGTCAGTTGCAGTAATTTCCCTGAGGAAGCAAAGTAAGCTAGTGTTACAGTTCACAAGACGATAACAGACGATCGAACGAAACAACCTTTGTTTCGTCTGTGTCGTTTTCCACGTTATTATCTTTCGAATTGTAGCATATAACTATACGCTCATAAAGTACCAAGCTAGGTTTTGCGCAACCTAAATATGTTCCTTATCGGGGTTCTTGCACTTCCTAGAGTCACTGAATGTTCTGGGGTGCCGAATTCCATTCAATCCACTCACCGGAGGTCAGTCCCGCAGAATCCAGTTTTGATTGGCTGGCTTTGCCCGTGGTGGAAGTTATCAGTCGGTCATATTGTGGATATTAACAAAACAACAAAAAATGTATGTAGTGTAGACCGCATATAACGTATGTCGCGGGAGTCGCGAAAATCCGCACTATAAGCGGTACCGCGCTATAACCAAAACATCAATTTTTCAGGCCAAAATACATGCCATCAGACAACTTACCTTTGTAAACGAATTTATTTCTATGTTAGATGAAAAATAAAGCTTAGTTTGAGGAAAGTCTTTATTTCACCAGACTAGTAAATTTCTCTCTCAAGTGTGCCATACATTTTGAAAGAAATCAGGGACTTTTGCCTAGCGCAGCCTTTTAACGGCGTTGCGGGCTGCGGACGGACGTTGCGAGCGTTCGGGAATGCTAACCCTAATCACTTTTCTCCGGCGATGAAAACGCGTGAAAATTCGCATCCTTTATATGGTACGCGCCAGTAATACCTTCAACTTGAGCACAAGCTCGAAATGCTCCAAATAAGAAATCCGGGCGATGGTCGAAAACACAAATGTTTAGAAAGCACCACTGTAGTCGAAAAACAAACACGACGACACGGGCGTTTCTGCCGTCTTGAGAGTGCCGCCACAACATCGCCGCACGAGTAGGTGGATCTTTTCTTTCTAGTACGTGCTGGGTTATCATAGCGACACACAACGAAAATTCACAGTCAAGGATAGCGCTTTTACACGGAACGATGAACTTCCACCATGCCGTCTACGATGACGATCACAACCGACGCCATGTTCGCGGATAGAAGACTGCCCGCGGCCGGAGGAGGAGAAGCGTTGTAATAGAGGTTGGGGGGAAAGGAGAGAGCCAATAGTGTGTACGCACTGGGCGCTTGGTCGGCATGCAACGCGCGCGAACACTTCTCCTCGACCTGCGATTGGTCTGTCATTGCGGTTGTTTCCAACACAGCGGAGGGACGCACGCACGCACGCACATGAACGACACGTGCATGCGTCCCTCCGTCACCACCGTCGCTATGGCAACTGAAGCCTCCCTCTTCGCTTTTCACCGCTTCTTCGGGCAACCTCCTTGCCCCGCGAGTGCCGCTCGCGGTTAGCCAGGTTAGCGCGGTTATCTAGTGTCGGCGCAGTCGGCGGGCTGTTCGAAAAACCGCACTATAACCGGTATTTCCCTTCGCGCGCCTGCATTTTAAGTGGTATGTAATTACATGGAGTTCTATGGGAGGCAAACCGGTGGTTTAAAAAAGCCGCGTTATACCCGGTCCTGCACTATAAGCGGTTACGTTGTAAGTGGTCTATACTGTATCAAAGGCTTCCGCGTTACCACAGCTACGCGCGGGCGGGAGCTCTGGGCATCAATGAGTTAGGACCGAATAGAAGTTGCGTTGATTTTCTCTACATTTTTTAATATCAAGTAGCCGCTACTCTGGTTCGCCAAAGAAGATTGCCAGCTCGTCTGTTCGCTTCGGTTGAGCTTGTGCTGCGTTTCAAACTCTATGCCTCTGACACTAAGCTTAACACTCGACTTCGATGTGTTTCGAAGCGAGATATAGAGAGAAAGAGACAAGACAGCAGGGAAGCAAATCACGCACGGCTCAGAACGAAGGGAAAAACTTTAATAAAATTGTAGAGCCCTTCCACATCATGTGAAAATGGAGGACCAGCGAAGCTGTTATCTTTACGAAGTCTAGAACGACCTCAAGAACGACCTCTTGGACGACCTCAAAGACAATGTCTAGGACGACCTTAAGGACGACTTCCAGGACGGCTTCAAGAACAACGTCTAGCACGACCTCAAGGACGACCTTGAGGACTACGTCTAGGACAACCTCAAGGACAACTTCTAGGATGACATCGAGGACGACTTCTAGGACGATGCCTGGAGAAATTCAGCCTTTCCACTCTGGTAAAAACCAGAGTGGAAAGGCTGGGAAGGTTGCCGCTGTCGTTCATAGATGGCGATAGCTGTCCAGAGTTTTGTGTCAACATTTGTTTGCCCGCGGACGTGATACTGGGGAAACTATACCTTTAACAACTCCGCCTTAAAAACAAACTAGTGTTGCCGCAGGCCAGGAACATGGATTGAAGAGCTCACACGAGGGTGTGTTTCGCTTGGACTGCACAAGGCAGCGCCATGTTGGGGATCGTGACTGCTGTGCCACAACTCGGTTCTGAAGCGGAGCTTCGGAGTTTCGGTACTCTGGGAAGATTTAGTGACTGTAGCGCTTCCTACTTCCAAGACTTACCAAAAGCAAAAACGGTGCTAGGGAACAATATTCCGCGTGGAAACCAATGCTGAGCACAAGTTTGTCTGCTTCTTTTGCAGAGGGTTGTGGTGATGTCAGAAAGATGCCGAGGTCTGATTGGCTCTGATTGAAGAATAGTAGGTAGACCTCGAAGCAAGCTGCCTTGAGGTCTACCCACTATCCTTCAGTCAGAGCCAATGAGAGCTCACCACAGTCCATGCAAAAGAAGCAAACGAATTTGCACTCCACATAGAAAGGATGGTAGACATTTACCAGCACTGTGGTAGACGGCTTTCTACATTTACAGTGTGGGTTTGCAGAATTGTCACTTCATCCTCTGAACAGAACCAAGAGTGCTGTCATTGCTAACGGTAGGCTGTCTGGCTGGGTGTGGGGTGCGCAGGTTCCTTCCAAGCCATCCAATTACGTAGCCCAAGTGCTTGTCCCCCTGGCGACGCTCAAGAGCAAAACCACCCAGGATTTTGGCGTGGCATGGCAGCCGGAGTGGACCGGCGCAGCTCTCGAACAAGTCACCAAGCAGTAAGCTGCCTCTTGTCTTGACCAAAAGGAAAAAAGGGGGCTTTGTTACTACGATGCTCTGCTGCAGACTATTTTGAAATTGGGTCGCATCGCTTGTCCTCTATGAAGGCTATATTTCGGCGATTAAGATTTGACAAACCCTGTAGTGAGTAATCGAGTATGATCTTTTGTCGGCTCCTCCTTTTTCACGTGACCTTCCACCGTAGCAGAACGAAACTGCTTAGCTTCTCTAACCTTTGCTGGACGTCGCTCTCTCCTGTCCAGCATCTGATTGGCACGTCGAGCACGGTCATTCTCAGCATGTTAACCCTTCTGTCCAGCTACCTCCTCTTTGGTCCACTTTTAACACAAAATGTGTTTTATCAGCCAATTTTTACGGAGTTCTGTAACGTTTGGCTGTAACAGCTAATTGTAGTGGTCGGTCGTAACGATAAACCGACACCAAAAAAAAAATCCGAGGACACCTAAGCTCTTCTTATGAGTTGTGAATGCAAAAGCAGGAATGTCGTTCTTTTTTTCCCTTAGTTTGTCTGCAACGTAGTGACGTGGATAGCCACGTTTCGCCGGTGGACAGCCGAGCACGCGCTTTTGTGAAGTGGCCGTGCCACGCCGAGCTCAGCCGTGCACCCTCCCCAGAGTTTGCCCGGATGGGCTCTGTTTGCTCTGCTGCCACCGCTTCATCTTCTTACCGGCGGGCGTGCTGCTGCATTCTCTGGTGTTTTTTTTTTATTAAATGATGCCGCATGGGAGCCTCATTCCTTGATGACGCGCGCCAGCCAATGAGAACATAATCCATCAAAAATCATCCTCATCTGAGAAAAGGGACTTTAGATACCGTTTGACCAATGTTTGGCGTGGTTTCAAAGCTGATGACGTCGGTTCGCTCCATGGGACAGTTAATGCTTTTGCATTAAAAGCATTATGCCCATAGGGAACCAAATAAAGACTTCAGTCCCCCCAGGATTTGAACTCACCACCTTGAGGTTGTGCACCAAGTGCTTTTCCAACTGAGCTATCCAGGGGCGGTGGTTGGATCATGCCAAAACAGTCTTTGGCCTTTTTGCCGAAAGGCTGCAAAGCAACCGTGCGGTTCGCGGCCTTTTCCCGTCGTGCTGCGCCATCTCACGGCGTGTGTCAGAAATAAGAGAGAATCTTGGGTGGGCGGTGCCGTTGAGACGCCCTTCTCTTTCCCGGAAGGCCTATTACACATTCCATGCTTGCCAGTTTTTTGTCAGCACGATCGAGCTTGTTTTTCTTCTTGCAAGACATTGCGAAGACTGTGGCATGTCCAGTGAGCTCCTCATCTCACAACCCGCTCACGTGTACGAAAACGAGAACAGGACGGCACATTTGCATTGCCTTTATGCAAAAGGATAGTGCTTGAGCCTGTCTAGTAAAGGAATGTGTCTGTTTCTGAAAACGAGTCATTTAATGTATTTCCAGGAAAGGTGTGTTTCGAAAGACTAGTTTCGGCTCCTCGCAGCGAACAATGAACGAGCTTTACCTTACGAGTAGCATTACCTCGCACGCTTGGTGGAAGGGTCGCAAGTGAATTGTTTAGCAGAAATGAGTACACCCAGCTAGAAAGAGCCGTGCCAAGCTGATCCCCACTTTTTTCCTTTCAACCAATGCTTTCAGTGTATACCGACAAATCCCTAAAATTGATCCCTGACCTGGTCTTTCGTCAAAATCAAGGAAAACCGCAAGACCCAGAGTTGGAGTTGTCCTTGAGCAAGAAAGTGGCAGGCTTTACGGAATAAAGAAATCTTTATGTGCAGTAGTATTTTGCGTTGACCCGAACTACACCCCTTGTACTTCTTCCTTCCCGTGTCGGTACCTGTATATTTGCCAAACATTTGGTTCACGCGCACACTCTCTGGAGGGTGGGGAATTCCATGGCCGTGTCTCGTTTTCTTCGACGTAGGCCACGATAGACGTGAATTTTTTGTCCGACACCACAAATAGGCACCGAGAAACACTGAATCTGCGGGAAATAAAGAGACCCACATACAAATACCCCAAGAGTCCTAAAATGGGGCTGTTAACGAAATTGTCACTTGGACTGCTCAGAAATTAACTTTTTCTTCCAACAGTTCGCTCTTTTTTTTTTAAATGCTCTTATCAGCTTCTAAAATTTTGGAAATATTGTGTGAAAAAAATTTATTCCCGTAAAAAAAGTATTTACTCCGAAAAAAATTTTTTTTTCAAAGTGCCGGCACTTGCACGCACTTGCCAGAAATGTGTACTGTTGTGGAAACTTGCCATTTTTAGAGAGCCTAGTGCCAATAGGCTCCCCTCACTGGAAAGAGTGTTTCGTCTTCTTTCATTTTGCGCGAAGCTCCTTATGGAACCCCAATACGTCGTTCGATGCCTCGATGCAGAAGAGATTCTCTGAAGCGTCTTACATGGCCATGGAGCACAGTCTGACTATCGCAGTCCCTAGGGTTCAAACTGGAGACTCCAGGCTTCGACTAAATTCATTTGGAGATGGGGATCTTACCAGGAAGCCACCAGACATTCGTACGCCGTGAATGTCGGAAATTTTCACTCGGGTGAAGCACCGAGACATTTTGTAAGAAGAGAACCGTGGAAGCTGTGGCAGGAGACACGGGGAGATGGTGTAGCAGAAGGGATGACATAAGCTCCTAAGGCATTTTAGACGAAGTGACAAGTGCCACGCAAATCAAAATACCGGAGCTTCAAATGCATTTTTTTCGGCTTTGTGTTTTGGGCGTTTTTCTTTTTTTTTCGTTTGCTCTAAAACTATTGCCGAACGAGTCGAGTGCTCCCACGCCTGGTGCACGATTTTTTTGCTTTGAAATTGACTGGAGAACTTAGCTATGGGCTTATTTTCTAAAGATTCTTATCTGCTCAGCAAGAATATGTGGGGTTTTGTAAATCCAGAAAGTAGAAAAAAGTTGGGCCATTTTTAAAAGCTTGTTTTTATGCAAAGTATGCCATTAAAATTATTGGAAGCCTACTACCGATTAGTGTAAACGTTCAACATTATATCCGAGCGTAAATAACAGCCGTGGAAATTCTAGGAATATCCTTCATTGACGTCCATTAAGTCTTCCATCGCATTTAAAGCCAATTCACATTAGTTTCTGATCCGTGGGTGTGCCTTCTGTGACCAGCTAACGACTTGTGTTGTGGTATTACTGCAATTCAAATGCTTTTTCTCACTACTGAGGTACAAATACATTTTTCAAATGTATTGAAAGTATCTCCGAAGTACTGTCATCACGACACATTTGTATCGCAATGTTGCTTAACATTGGCATACTATAACAAATGTGTGCCGCCTGCTTCGTTGGTTACAGACCGAGCCACGGACACTAAGGTGCATCGGGGTCGCTCAATTTAATAAACCCACTTGTCTCATGTACACCCGTCTATTCTTCGTCTTCATTTTTTGTATGCCGTGTGGACTCTACGAAGTATGAACCGACTAGCCTGTATTGCCATTCTAAACCCGGAACCCTACTCACAACTCCACTCTAGTCGCCGTGACCGACCTGTGGGGAGAGCGGGCAAGTGGTGCCGTGGTGACTGCCGCCTCTCTTCCCGTCAGGTACACGCTGCTGACCCAGGAGGTGCTGGTGTCGGTGCGCAAGATGGAGGACAGCCTGAAGCGTCTCAAGCGGGCCCGCGACCGGACGCCCGTGCCCGAGGGGGCGGCCTCGGACGACGACAAGATACGCCTGCAGCTCTGCCTGGACGTCCAACACTTCGGGGCACAGGTGAGGCCACCCCCGTTTGCAGACGGGCCGAGTTTGTTTCGTCCACGGATTCACTTCTCAGAGGGTCAAACGGCAAGGTGTTCACCAGATACTAAATTAGCTATCTGGTTGTGTGTCGAAAGTATGGATACCCTACTATGTAAATCCTTTTTTTTTTTTTTTTTTTTTTATAAAAAAAACACCAAAAAAAGGCGCTGTTGCATTTTTCTTTGTCCCTGCAAACGTTCGGTCAGACGAGAGGACAAACATTCTCCCCCATAGCATCGCTTCTTGCAAGGTTTGTGAAATAAATATGACAGGGGTGGCCGAGGTGCGGCTCTTCGCATGTAAAAGTGTGGCTCACGGCTCCCTCCCCTACCCCCCCCCACTTGCACTTCTCCAAAAAAAGAAATGGGACGCGTTTTAAATCGAAAGACTGGTTGCGGTTTGGTAGTCTTGTGCTACTGCCACCTTACGTGCAGTTGGACTGTTTTTAGCTCGGATAGATTTAAACTAGTTCGAGTTTCGTTTATTGCTCTAAACAAAAGTTTGCCCCCCCCCCCCCCCCCCCCCCCACGGCTCTTGGAAGTCTTTTGGTTTTGTTTGCGGCTCTTAGGCCGAGTCAGCCTGGCCACCCCTGATATATGACCACTTTCTCCAAGTGTTTAGCTAAAGGGCCGCTTAGTGAGAGATTTGTCAAAGGTTTTCTTAATAGTAGGACGACCGATCCACTCATAGATGTTGATTAGCACAACGCAAGGACCTTGTTACATCCCCAACTTTGTGATTTCTGTAAAACTTCATCGCCCTAGGAATTATGACATCAACAGGCTCGGAAGGCCTGCCAAAATGGAGCAACCGGAAGTCTTTTGGAAGTTAAGAGAAAGCTTGTGTTCGTAAACAGAAAAAGTGTCGATACGGAGAGCAAGTCGTCTGCTTCTTGTGCAGGGTTGCGGTGACGTCAGAACGACGCCAAGTTCTGATTGGCTTTGATTGTAGGATAGTGGGTAGACCTCAAAGCAAGCTGTCTCAAGGTGTAACCACTATACTTCAACCAGAGCCAATTGGAGCTCGGCGCTCCGACGTCACCGCAATCCCTGCAAACAGAAGCAGACGAACTTGCAGTCCACATAGAGAAACTTTTCAGAAACAGACTAGGTAAATACACCGTTAGAAGGGTGAAGACGACAATAGCGCAGTGGTGCGCGCAATCGTTTCGTGTCAGGCCCCACGTGCTGGCCCGGCCTCCAAAAATCCTTTTGGCAGGCAGTTTTGTCTCGTTAAGGATATGGGCGATTTTTGGGGTAGAGGGAGGTGTCCACATTAACGAGACATGTACCCTCCGAGCACACCTCTCAAGTGGCTTTACTCACGAGTTGCGACAGGCTCGATTCCGGCCAGTAATTCAAGGAGCACGCAGGAACGGTGGCATTGCACTGTTTGACAGCTGCATTTATTGCGCAGATGGAGGAGCTGGACACGGCACGGTCGAGCGTGCCCAGTTACGGAGCTTTGCTGGAGATCGTGGAAGCCGCCAGGACCTCTCCGTCCTCGTGAAACCACCGGAAGACTCGTTGGGCCTCCACAAACCACTGTGTTACTTGAGCTCGGACGAAAAAGGGGGTACCCTGCACTTCTACAAAAGCAGGCTGGAGCCATCTCACGCTCTTGGACTAGGACACTGGGTGTCTTACCGTGTGTTAACAATAAAAATAGGAAAAAATACTTGTCTAGGTGTCTGCGGTTGTGTACACTGCAGGAAGCTTTTAGCACCAACACAACATTGGCACTTTCCCGCTTGGATAGTATCCCAAATGAGCACTTTCCATCACACTATCAGTTTTGATGATAGCCTGTCGATTCTAAAAGAAAAAAAAACAGCGATCGCTTGTTTGGCCCCTTGACGGCAAGGGGCCACCTATTGACAATGATTCTATTATTTCCCTGGCCAGTTTTGTCATCTGCCATTCTGTGTCGTGCATTAGTAATAATAAGTGGAAGAGCAATCGTGGGCTTTGCATGTCATGCACGTGACTTCGTTCACTCCCAGATCATGTAGCACGGGCATAGTATTGCACACACTACGGCCAGGGCCATGCTGTCAAATATGCAGGAAACATTTGTGTGCTTTGCTCGTCATGCACTTGATGTCACTCGCTCCCATTTCATGGAATGCGGACACAGTACTGTACACACTCATTGGCAACTTGTGTAGTCGCAACCATGTACTCCATACGACACCTGGGTGTAATCTGTTGATCTAGAATATCAGCACAAGCTCTCTGTTCGCCGTAATTAGTTTCCTCCTTTCGCATTCGCTCTGCTAAACTGAAAAGAGCAGAGGGATCGTGGGAGGATATTGTCCTGCTGTTCTTAACCTGCCTTATCCTATCAGTGTAGCCAAGCGCCTTATGCTATCAGTGTAGCGCGCCGTACTGAAGCTGTTTCTCAAAGTCCTCGGCCGACACCGTGCCGGCAATGGACTCCACGTTCGGATTGAAGACCGAGTAGGCGCTGAGTTCTCCCCGCTTCCTCGGTCTGTCACGGAGGTTGGTGAAAATGACGTAGAAGACGCTGACTACGAAGAACACGGCGCCGAACTGGACGACCACGGCGAGCGCCATCAGAAGCGCCCAGAGGACCAGCTTGGACGCAAACACTGCCACGTCGACGCGAGTCCACCGCGACGGGGTTTCGTCGACGATCGGTTCGTCCGTCACTACGATTCGCGACGATGACGGCATCGGTTCTGGGACGGTCACCGAAGGGGCGATTCGTCGCCTTGGGAGCGGAGATGGTGGTTCCGGTAACTGAGTATCGTCTTCGAGGGACTTGCTTGCCGGCTGTGGCGATTTTTCCGTGTCTTCCTCGGCGGATTTCTTCTTCAACTGCGCTCGGAACTTTGCGAGTTCAGCCTCCATGACCGCGGCCACATCACACGAAGGTTGTCGCGCTGAATCCGTCACCTGTTCGCTTGTTCAGCGTCGTTCAGCATGGCAAACACGGCAAACACAAGGCAAACAGCTGAGGAGGCATGGCGCAACGTTTGGAGCGGTGTTCGTTAGCCCGACTCCGTATTCCCTGACCGTGTTTATGAGATCACGAGGGTGACAAAGTATAACGCTTGCATTGAAACCTAGGGAACGCTTTTGGCATTTTTGACCGCTAAGAGTCACTCTTTGTTTTAAACTTGCGGCAAACACATTGTGGCCAACGTAGTTTTAGTATCGACGCTAAAATAAGCGAAACATTGTTTACCAAGCGAGAAAACTGTCATTCGATTTTATGTAAGTATAATGAATTTAACTTTATTTTCAGGTTGACTTTACCTCCATTGACAATAATGTGAGTTTATTTTTAAGTGTGTTTCTGCTTATTTGCGGCTGCGTCAGAGGGCGACCCGGACATTTTGTTGTCGTTTCTTCGAGGGCTTCCGCCGCGCAAGCTACACATCTCTACAAGTGCGCATTGCGCGGTCGCCGAGTGTTTGAAAAATTCGAAGCAATCACTCGATCCTCGGCAATGACGTCCGCGGCGACAAGCGCGCTCGAAGGCAAGTGTCTCTCTTGATCGTCCGAAAAGGCAATACGCAAAGTGCGTGCTCGCTGGCTCGGCCACGGCTTGCGGCTGCGAGTAGGTGATACGTCGTCGCTTGCGCGTACGAAACGCCGTCACGCCGTGGGCTTGCTCGCGTTTCACACCTGCACCCCTCCTCCGCGTTGCAGAGGAAGCTCGGCAGTAGATGCACCCCGGCAGAGCATTCGTCGCCCTGGGAACGTTTCTGGCCGCCACTTTTTGGACCATGGCTTGGAGGTCGCACGGCAAGACCAACCTCGAGCTGGTGAGGAATCTCAAACGTGAGTACGGTTTGCGGACAAATTCGACGGGGGCGGGGAGGTCAGTGCGGCAGTCACTTTTTTTTATTTTTTTATTTTTTCCCGGTCTGAGCTGTGCATGCTTTGACAGTTGGGGAGATTTCTAAGAATATGTTTCGCGGGGCGTAAAACCACCGTAGAAAGCGCATGGGTCTCGTCTGGAGTCGCTAAATAAAGCGCTCGCCTACTACCGCTTTTTCCGTGTGTGTGTGTGTGTGTATATTTTAATTTTATTCGTACAAGCGTTTCATTTTGCCGTGTCACAGCGCTAGCAGTTGTGCGCGGTATATTTCGTCGTCAAGACCCATCACATGCCGTCTTGTTCCCGCAAACAAGCGGTTATGAAAGCTGGAGAAAAAGTTTGTGCAATTGAGATTTAATCCAAGCAGGTCCACGAGACGTGCCGAGCAGTGGAGAGTGCCGGTTAGCTGGATAAATGCCAAGCTGCTTAATCTTTGGAAGGCTGAGGAGCTAGCAATGCTCGGAGATCCAATTTATTCTCCAATTTATTCCCTGCAGTTGTGCGGGCCCCGGAATTGCCCGGGAGCATAGGGGGATGGCCTAAGGGAAGGGGATGAGGAGGAGGAGAGAGTACAAGCTGCAGTTTACCTAAATTTATGCATTGCAAAATGCAAAATATGAGTGGAGGCGGAAGCGGAACTGGGTAAAGTATGCACCCCGTATCAAAGACACTGTCTGTAAATTTCCGAAGAAACCAAAGTTGTTTGTTAAGACAAGCTTTTAAAAGTTGCTTTAAAGGGACACTGACAGGGTATTTATGCTCGCCGAGGTTTTTAGTTGTGCGTGACATAGGAGAGTCCAACTACCCAGAAGAGAAGTTGCGGCTCGAAATTCGGTTTCTTTCTGCTTGAAAACTGCTGATCGAGAACTGGCCGGTTTGAGTCGTGCTCACTCTCTTTTTTGTGGTCACGGGCCGTTTTCTAAGGTTTAAACACAACCGCCAAATTTAATCAAAGTTGTTGGTTGTTGAAGGCACACATTCATTATTACGCATTATTATGAAACCCATTTTTTGTGGCTTCTAAAAAGCTGCAAATAGGTTGATTGAAGAAAAAGTTGCACAGAGAACCGGAAGCATTCTGTGCGTTGTCGTATCGCGGGGACGGCGATGGCAGCGAACAACGGGCGTGGGACCTCTACTTCAGAACTGTCGTTCGCGATACCAGTGAATTCTGTCTTCCTTTGAAAGAGAAATTTTGGACCGATCAAAAGAATTAGTATTCATACTGTACGACACGCCCGACCACCAAGCCGATTTGCACGAAGACGTCGCCAAGCCGTCGCCCCCTTCTAGTGGCTGAAGACATTGCTTGCGCAAACGTCAAGTATGAAGTGTGCACTTCGAATTGAATATGCACACGTACGATTTCTTTGCTAGGTGGGAATGTGGCCAATGGATGGTGCTGCCCAATTTCGACCCGGTTGTGCATTTACCGGAGGAAAATCGGCAGCGAACTTTCCAACCTATAGTTGACGACTGCATTATTACTACTGTCGAGACCGGTTATAACGAAGTCGGTTATAATGAAATAGTGGCTACAGCGAAACGATCACGATTTCCCATTCCCTTTTGCACTTCATTATAACCGAAGTCGGTTATAACTAAAGAGCGGATATAGCGAAGGGATTTATGATTCCCGTTGACTTCGTTATAACTGGGCTCGACAGTATCGGAAGTGTTTCCCCAGTAGCTTGGTGGAAAGACGTCCGCTTCACACGTGGCGGAATCAGGTTTGATCCCGTATAAGGCTACGTGTGTTGTTGTTTATTTTCAAACATTTTGCAATATTTACATTTCTTTTTTTACAATTATCACCGAAAAAAAACAAATCGTGCGGACGAAACGTTGCTGAACTAAATGGTATGGGATTTCCTTTTTGACACCTGCGAAATCAATCTAATCACTTTCTACAAAATGCAAGGAGCATAAAAATCAGGTAGCATCCGCTTTCCGAAGTACCCGTAAATGTTCTACTGGAATTGCAGCTAGCCATTGGCCCCAATCCCGTCGATCTTTCAGAAACTTGTGCAGACTCTGTTGCACAATGCCACTTTTTTCCGGATGCAGGACATGTGAGGCAGCTTTTCACGCAACATCTTGGGGGTATTCTTTTCGAAGCCGATCACAAAAATTCACCACTGGCACTCACTACCCATCTCCAACTCTTGAATGTACGAAACATCTCATCTCGAAGCGCAGAACAACGAGCGGAACAAACATAACTGCAAAGAAATTGCACGACAAACGGTTCCCACAACGCATTTTGGCTGTTGCGCGTAAAAAAAAAAAAACGCGCACAGTTGGGTGTAGCCACGTGACTTCCGCCACTCACTCTCTCTTCTCCACTTCTCCGACCTCCGTGCGTGGTTTTCAGTTTCGGTTTTGAGCAGTTGCACTTTTTGTCTTTATTAAAAATATATTGGACTCTGTTGCAAAATATTATTTGGGTAATCTTTTGACACTATAATGAAATGCCTGGCAAAAAATGAGAAAGAAAAATTGGGGGTGTCGGTGTCCCTTTAAAGTAGATGTGCAGAAATTGTGACATATATTTTCTTTCCATGTAGCATGCTTTCTTTTCCTTTCATCCCTGTGCTGTGTGTTGTTCTGTGGCAGTGGAAAGGGACATGTTTGAACCCCAGTTGAGGTGCCCACACTCTAACAAAGACTTAAGAAGGCACCGTGGAACTGAGATTTTGGATCCTCTTGAGGTTGAAATTAATCCTCAGTCCTTTGCCGAGCGTGCCAGATGCCCTTCATTGGTTTGACTCTTAAACCCTTGATTTGTATTTTCTATCACTGAAGAGGAGAAATAAGTGCAGAATGGGGGGGTGGAGAGCCAAACATAAAGAGTAATTTTCTTGCCGTGGCATTGTCAATCAACAAAATAAAATTGTGGCCACCAAGGCTTTTTCAGTGGCTAATTTTCTAATGTAATGGTTAGAAACGACAATGTAGCACAAAAATTGTCGACACTGAGTATAAATTGTATAATGTCAAATGGTGTATACCTTGTCCATGGTATGGACCACTGATCTCTGCTGGATGCTGCGTATCCTAGATGTAGCCACCACCCTGAAGTCGCTATTTTATGCTACTTGGTGGCCTCTGGGCGACATGGTTAGCATATTCCCCAAATTTCATATCGGGACTAGGGTTAACGTAGAAGTTTGGGCTGGTTGGTATGCAGACATAATGAAAAACAAAACAGTGCAAGAAGGTAACCGACAGGACACAGTGCTGGCTCTCAACTGAAGATTTATTTATGTTGGCATCCAGTATAAATAGCAAACATGCCACATTACATAAATCTCTCAACTGAAGATTTATTTATGTTGGCATCCAGTATAGATTTATGTGGTGTGGCATGTTTGCTATTTATACTGGATGCCAACATGAACAAATCTTCAGTTGAGAATCAGCGCTGTGTCTTTTCGCTTACTTTCTACTTTGTCCTCGTCTTTTCGCTGTTTTGTTTTTAATTATATACAGGACTAGGAGTTGCAGCGACCTTGCAGCACGTCACTTTTCGGCATGTTTTTAGTTATGAGAATGCTCTAGTGTGTGAAAATTAGGTACTTTCTTTTTCTGTCTCTTCTCCTTTTTCACCTTTAAAGGGTACACTATCACGCCCCAAAAATTACTTTTTATTTTTTGCCAGGCGATTTATTATGGTGTCGGAAAACTACCCTTCAATATTTTTATCTAATATTTGGGATACTATTTCAGTGACATTCTTTGGTATGTTTAGCGAATTCTCAGGCGAATCAGGAATTATGAGGAAGTTGCCAGTGTACCCCTTTAAAGGGCAACTGCAAAGAAAAAAAAGTGTTTTTTTAAACAGCATATTTAGGACAAGCATGTTTCAAAACAAATCTTCCGCGAAAAAACAAATTTTTTCTAGCAATATTTACGCCGCAGGACGTAACTTAGTCGGGGGGGTCACAACTTTTCCACTTTTGAAACTCCCGCTCTTTCAACGCGCACAAAGTGGCTGGAATACGTCACTCCATGACGTATAGCAGCCACTACGTGACATATAATACCAACTTTGTGGCGCGCGATTTAAAACGGACGAAATAGCCGCAAACTAAAGTGAGTCTTCCGCAATAAATATTTCTGTAAAAAATTTTGTTTTTGGCAGAAAATTTGTTTTGTGACATGATTGTCCCAATTAGGCTGTTTAAAAATACACTTTTTTTCTTTGCAGTTACCCTTTAAGAAGCTTGTGTTGCAGAAAAGCTGGCATCGGCTTTTTCCGTCCCTTCAGCTTCGGTTTGACAGGAAAATCATGATTGGTAGATAAGTAATTCATTTGCCTTAAAGAAACAATTCAAAGAATTTTATGCGGAGGCTGGATTCGAACCCACAATTCTCTGGTTGCGAGCCAGACACTCTACCAACTTGGCCATGTAGACATGCCTGCACGGTTTGGGAACGAGCGAGGGTTTATATTTAGCTTTCACCTTCCACTCTTAAAGGTGCACTAAAATGTTTCTGAGATTGTCTGTTCTTGGTGATATCTGATTCTCCAGGATCTTAGCATCCCAGAAATCGAAAAATTATATTCGTGCGACGTCAATGTCCAAACTAAAAATTTGATCAAAGTTTGTGCCATGCCCCTTTCTGAGCAGAAAAATCTGGAGCACAAAATTCAGCGTAAGCGCCGGCGGCGTGACGATGGGCGCACGTCAGCCAATCGCAAGCGGAGGCGCCGCCGGCGCCTTTGTTGGATTCTGTGCTCCAGATTTTTCCGCTCGGAAGGGGCGTGGCACAACCTTCTGTCACATTTTTGTAGGGAAATAGGCGTCGCACGGGCATAATTTTTCAATTTCTGGGATGCTAAGATCCCGTAGAATGAGTTATCACCAAGAACAGACAATCTTAGAAACATCTTTATTGCACCTTTAAAGGCGAAGCTTAAGTGTACTCCTGTAATTCTTTTTCACAGTTCATTCATACCCTGAACCACACTTTCATGGAACCACCTTCCAGCATCTCTGGTAACCTTGTCTGATGGTACCGTCTTTAAAACTGCCTTAACAATGTCGCTATTTTAGTATTTTATTAGCAGCTAATGATATGCATTCTTAAAATTTTCTTTTTTTGCTTTTTGTTTGATATACAGGTAGAAACTGAAAGATAGGATGAGATGAGAGTGCGGAGGGTCGCCAGAGCACCAAGCTCTGATTGGAACGACTCATGGGCGGACGCAAAGCCTTTGTTTCTACTCGCTGTTCGAATGTGTTAAAACATTGAGTAGAGACAAGGGCGCCAGCTTTGCATCTACTCGCTAATCATTCTAACCAGAGCTCGATGTTCTGACACCCCCCACAAGCTTTCGTTTCCTCCTCTCCCTCAGTTTGTGTCCGTATACATGTAACCCACTCACCTCTGCAAATAGAATGCTGGTGCCAAATAATAACATTCAGTCGACTTGGAAATGTCAGCTACGCCACACTTCTAGGACAAGCATACCCAAACTCTGTTTAACTTCCAGTGCCTTCAGAAGTTCACACATTGTTGAAACAGGAAAATGCAGGTTGAGTTCCATATGCAAGTCTCCCAAAGCTAAACAAATGCGGGGCGTAGCGAGTTCCGAGCATGTCATTATCACTTCACGGTTACTGAGAGTGTGGCAATAGCCGATTGGAACCAATCACGAAGCAAGAGGCATCAACATAAGCCACGCCCTGCACTGCCTAGCCTGTCACTGACTCTGGGGACCAGTGTTTCGAACTGCCAAGTTTAGCTTGAACACAATCTGGTTGTGTTACTGTCCTACTTGACGACACGAGCTCCCATTCTGAGCAGACGTGCTCTGCCTCATTTACCTTTCAGACAATGGCATCATAAGGTCGGCCAAAGTGGAGCAGGTGATGAGCCAGGTGGACAGGGGTCACTACGTCAAGCACAACCCGTATATGGACTCCCCGCAGGGCATCGGCTATGCAGTCACCATCAGTGCACCCCATATGGTACAGACTCTTCCCTCTTTTACGGAGTTTGGGCCATAACCACTCGCTCCTAGATGAAAAGGCCATAGTGCTAGGATTTCTTCACAACCTACCTGGGACCACCTCAAGGCACAGAAGATTGGACACGAGTGCTGTGTTTGGCTGGGACTTGCGTTCAATGAGCGAAGACACAAGTTGCAGCTGAACGTGGATGCAGCTACACGTCTCCAATGCCCACACTAGCGTTTGCCAAGTCACAGAAAATCCAAGGCTACTGTCTTGTCATCCAGGAGATGTTTCTTTAATGGTCAGCTTCTCTGAAAAAACATATTTAAAGACCTGCAAGTTCACATCCTTGAACATTTCCTTTTTCTAGTTTACTTGAAAAAACTCCGTGCTGTTTTCTGTTTCTTCTTGTTTGCTGAGCCGGTTACCTTGTATCGCTGCATCTTGTTCCTCTTGTCTTAGTACTGTACCTGTTGCAGAAGCGCCATGGGGGAGCATTGTGTTGCATTGTAGCCACTGCAGCAGCATTGCTGCAGCCCAACATCTTTGAGCGGGATTTTCGTGCCACATCGCTTACTTGTCATTCTAGTGCGAAGCACCTGTGCAACAGAAACATTGCCGAGCGTATTTGTGTTGTATTGTCATCACTTTAGCAGCAGCACTTCTGTGCAACAGTGCGGCATTGCTGAACAGCATTGCGATGCAAACGTTGTTGCTGCATGCACAGCATTGTGGCGGAGGAGTATAGCACATGTCACAGCCTCTGCAGCAGCACTGCTGTTGCATCCCAGCATTGTTGAGCAGGATTTTAGTGTGATGTCACTTACTCCTTGTTGTAATGCGAAGCATCTCTGCTGCAGAAACATTTTCAAGGAGCTTTGTGGTGTTTTATCAGCTTTTTAGTAGCAGAACTGCAGCACGACAGGTGCAGCATTGCTGAACAGAGCAAAACATTGTTGCTACAGTATTGCATCTTATCATAGCTGCTGCAGCAGCAGTAGCATCTTGCAGGAACATTGTCTTTACAGCCAAAGCTTACAATTGTTCTACATGCCCACCCATATTGCAGCATGCTCAGGCCTTGGAGAGCCTCAAGGACCACCTGTACGAAGGGGCGAAAGCTCTAGACGTCGGGTCAGGCAGCGGCTACCTGACGGTCTGCATGGCACTCATGGTAAGCTCATGGTCGCGGAAAATTGTGATCCGAGTTATTAAAAGCTCTCTTAACGTTCCACATCTTCCACGGCTCACTGCGTCTTTTCCTTTTGCTTGGCTCACGAGAGAATTACCTCTTTAGAGAGAGCACAATGGCGTGGCGTGCATGCATGAGGCGTTAAAATTGTATGCTCTGGGCGAGGTCGATATTCAGGTGCATAGGACATGATGCGGCGTTTCGACGCGCCGAGCGTATCCGAGAGCTTTTTTATTTTTATTTGGCGATTTCCACACCTGGGTGTCGTCTCGTTGCCGTCACCTTGGCACGGCTGGGCTTTGCTACAGTTGTGATTTCTCTGTCAAGTCTATTATATCACTTATCACCTTTACATAGAGTAGCGGCTATTTTAGAGTACAGTAAACCAATGCAGAAATAGTCTGCCAACTTGTCCAGCTTGCCATTTTACCTCGACACGCCAACTACGATACTCAGTTTCGCATTAAGTACGACCACAGCAAAGGCTGCGATTCAACATGGCCGATCACACCGCGCCAAAAGCACGTCGTCGGGGCGCCCGTCGTCTTTTCACGTTTGCTGTCGCCAGCCAAACCAGTCGATGCGGCGTGATCCGGCGCTTTCTTTCCACGCGCAATCAGTTGAGCCCGCGATAGCAGACACACACAGACAACGAGCGCCACAACGATACACACCGTCGTGGGATCATGGCACCGGCTGAGGTCAGACTTAAAGTGAAACAAAGTCGCGTCCAGTTTGCTTCGCTGTTGCGAAGATTTTCTGGAACAGCTGGGGAGAACGTCGGAACACTGCGATCTGCCAACGAGCCACACTTCATGCCTCGGCGGTGTGCCGTGAATTGCAGGTGGGCGAAACGGGGCGGACGATAGGCATCGACCACATCCCCGAGCTGGTCGACCAGTCTATCGCCAACATCCACAAGGGCCATCCTGCGCTCCTAGACTCCAAGAGGCTTCGCATGATCGGTGCGTCGGAAGCCCCCTCTAGGGACACCTCCCTTTGACTGTTGTGGTGACGGCATCGTGCCTTCCAACATGTGCCTACCGGCAATCCTAGGATTAGGAAAGTGGTCTGTACACTGCAGTGTGCATACTCTCGCAGCCCTCTTCTCCACTCTAATTTTGTCGGCCTCCAAGTAGTGGAGCGTGTGCCGGCAGCCACACGCTCTGCCGTTTGCATTTTGTTTTTTCCCGACGGTGCAGTGCCCTGTTTTTCTGAATTGTTTGACTAAACTTAATATAGAAATCATATATAGACCTTGAGAAATCTGCGTTCAATGTTTCTTTAGGGCCTTTTTTGGGTGTTGGAATGCCCGAAAATCTGGACTAATTGTCTGTTTTGTTTTGCCCCTAACGCCTCTATGCTACTTTTTTTTCTGCGTTATTAGAATTAATTTTGTTACGGAAGAGAGGAATGCAGGCTGTCGCAGGTGCCGTGGTGGCAACAGCACTAACGGGCCTGCGCTGTCCGATAGGGATTAAAGCCTATCTATGAGTAGACGTTTCGTCTTTTACCTTCGAATTATCGTAACAATATTGCCAATATTGCTTATATTCACATTTTGCACTAAAAACGTGAGTCTGCACAACAGAAATGTGCATATGAAGAAAAAGATGAACACTTTGCGAAACAAAACAATCAGCAGAACTCAGAACCCAGCTTCCCATATAGCAAAAAAAAGATCCAGTTCACAAAGAGCGATTATGATGGAAAAAGTGGTTAGAGGTCCAGATACGACGACGAGGGTTTCAGGAAGACCGTTCCAGTGCTTGATGGCACAAGGAAGAGCTCGGTTGTTAAAGGAAAATCTCGAACCAAAATTGTGCTCGAAGCTTTTGCCGTGATTTTTTGGCGAGATATTTCGTTAGGTTGTTCTAAAAACAATGGGTCAATATTGACCGAAGCTGCAGCTTGACCAACGGGGTGGTCGAGGCAGCGAGATTTTATGCAGGTTATTTCTTTGTTGGAGCTAAGGTAACGCGAAATGTCGCACGTGACGCTGGGAGGTTGGCCGACGGAGCATCTCTTCTTTCCGGCGGTACAGTTGGGGACGGCCGGGTTGGCTACCCGGAAGAGGCCCCGTACGACGCCATCCACGTGGGAGCTGCCGCCCCCGAGCTACCCAAGCAGGTGGGTTTCCCATTCCGAGTGGCATTCTGGCAATTGAAAGTGGCCACGGTACTTGTCCTCGACGTTCCTGTGCGAGGTTGTCGAAACTGCCATAGTTTCCACATTGCAGCTGCCCCACACTGCCACACGAGCACGTCTTGCCTCTCGTCCGCACACGCTCTCGTGCGAAGGAGATGCTAAACGACGCCACACGCTTGCGCAATTTGCAACGACAGTGTTGTACAAAGCAATGTAGGAACTATGTCAGCCCGTTCAACTTGGTCCAGAGAAGTTGATGGCGAGTGTAGACGAATCTCAAGTCAAGGGTTTCTCCGCTGAGCCACTAGATGAGTGACCAAACCACGGCTCGCGAACCGAGCCCAACCGTGGCCTCGCGGCTCCCTTGTAACCCCCCCCTTTCCCCCGACACCACCCTCTCATTGAGGAAAGATGGGGAAAAAAGGCAGCTTGCATTTTGTCAGCTTTTTGTTGTTTTATGTATATCAGACAATGTCCTCGTTTTATGGATGGGGGCTTGCAATAAAGAAACATACTGAGTAACCGCATTGGGAGCGGAATTTGCCGTGGTAATTAACTGGGAAGAAAGAAATTTAAGGACGGCACCGCACCTCCTTTCTTTTTCCCTGCCCTTCACTTAAATCGGGTTTTTTTCGTGGCCTTTTGAATACGTTCGTATGGCCACCCCTGCGTTAGATGGATCCGGCGTTGGGAGTGACTGGGTGGAGTCGACGAATTGTCGTCAGACTCGAAACTGGGAGTTGCTGGGTAGAATGAATAGCTAAGGTATAGTGTATCCGAAGTCTCCAACTTCCAAGTGTATTCGAGGTCTTTGAACTTGAGTTGGAGTATAAAGGCTATGGAGAGACTCAAATACAAGGGTGAGAGTTGCTGGAGGGAGACAATGTATCCCATTGCGGGTTAAGAAAAGCGGCAGAGCGAACCCCGGAGACGAGGCGAGAGGGGATCGAGTTGCCTCCCCTCGGGCACTCACTTTGCTAAGTGGTAGGGGGCTTCGCGGGAGCAGCTTGTACCGCTTTTCTTAACCAGCAGCAGAGTCCGGTGCGTACATCTGAAGTCTAGAGGTAATACGTGGAGAAGTCCAAAGTTGGGAGCTGCTAGGTGAAGTCGCTGTGTGATCTAAAGTTGGTAGTTTTCGATAGAGCCCTTGGACAGATCCAACATAATAAGTCTGCTACAGTGGAACTCCATTACAGTAACTCCGTGTGTAGTAAAGCTCCGATTATAGTAAAAGGAAGCACCAGTCCCGACTGAATTCCCATTTCCTCTACGGCTCAAAATTCTGATACAGTAAACCGACATGAATCGAATACCTGTTATAGTAAAACACGGCAGCACCGATAAAGCATTATTTTCCCACAACAGCATACTTTCTCAATGAACACGGTGCAGATCGGCTTTTAAAAACCCTAAAAGTGTGCATTAACTGCCAAGGTGCTACAGGCTACTGAGAAAGCGTCAGTGGTGCCGCAGTCGCTCGCGGTTGTTTCCATACTCGGCCCCATGATCATCTGCCATGTAGAAACAATGGGCCTAACAAAACCGAGGTCATTTTTTTTTTGTGTGTGTTCGTGACTGAACTGCGCATTACAAATCATCCGCATCTTAAGTGAAATACACTCATTCAAAGAGCAGGTAACGACCTGTAAAGAACGCAGCTCTCCACCAGTAGCAGGCAGGCAGGGAACTATGTGTGTCTTCATCGGAGGTCAGCAACAAAGGTGTCATTTCTGATGCGACCGTCGAATAATGGACCAAACAAAGGAAGCTGCCCAGAGGAAGAACCTGAATCCACCCCTGCAAGATGCAAGCTTTTGTTGGCTTTGGACAGTCACGGGGGCTCTAAATGCAGCAGATGCTAATGAGCAACACTATGCCCACACAACAGGCCTCAAGAGCTTCCTCGTAAAGTACAAAGCCCCTACATAACAAACTGATATAACTTTCTATTCATCGAGTTCTTTACTGCAACGTAAGTGGTATTTTTATAGTTGTGGTGTTTGTTTTTGGACTAATAAACATTTTATTCATTTCCGCTCCCTTTTTAAAGCTTCAATAACAGATTTTTTAAGGTGCTCCCGATATAGTAAAACTCCCAATGTAGTAAAATTACTACCCGGTCCTGACAGGTTTACTATAAAGGGGTTTTATGTATTAGGCTCGCGCACAACATTTGTGAAACGTATAGTGTGGGCACTTAAATCGAAGAAAACATTAATGTCATACCTTCCGAGCTCTCACATATTCACCGATAAGATGAGAATGGCAGGGAGGAGCTTCAGCCTCAAGCACCAGCTTTCTACCTTTGACGTCGCTTCAACGTCTCATGCACCTCCAGCATGCAGCAAAACGCATGGCGGAAGTCACGGAGTGCTTACCGGAGGCCGGGCATTCGAAAGACGCGCCTTTCTCGTTTTGTCGGTGAGAATGGCGTGCTCTGCAAAGAGAGCCCCATCCGTGCAGCTGATAGAGCAGCTGAAGCCCGGCGGCCGGTTGATCTGTCCCGTGGGGCCCGCGGGCCAGAGCCAGACCCTGGAGCAGGTGGACAAGCTGCAGGACGGGACGGTCAAGCGCACCTCCCTCATGGGCGTGGTCTACGTCCCGCTCACCGACAAGGAGGCCCAGTGGCCCGGCAGGTGGCGTCCGTGCACCCTCCCTCTCTCTTGCATGCCCGTCCTGACTGGCTGTGCGAGTGTCTGAACTTTCGAATACGAATTGAATGTTGGAACATTGTGTCTGGTGTTTGAAATTTAGAATATTTGTAGTTAAAATATTCTATTCATACTTGAGATTTTGAGTGTTAGTAAATAAAATATTCCATTCATGCTAAGAAAACATTTAATCTTTGCAATTAAAATTTGCAATTTGTACCAAAATTCTTTATATTTGCAATTAAAATGTTTTATTTGTACTAGAAGTTTTGAGAATCTCCAATTAAAACATTTGATTTATATCTAAAATTTTGTATATTCGGAAATAACATATTCTGTTCATATCTGAAATCTTGATATTCGGAACTAGAATATTTGATTAATATTTTAAATATCAAACGTTCAGAATTGAAATACTCTAGTCATATTTGAAATTTTAAATATTCATATCATAAATTTTGATAATTAATTAAAATATTCAATTCATATTTGAAGTTTCAGTTTCAAATATTCACACGCCCCCCATCCCAACCTGTTGACTACCGAAGAAAGGCCTGGCTTGTGTGGTGACATTTACTTTGGTAGCAATCCTGAGCAAGCTTCTTATTATACTTTGTTTCACTTTTTATTGGCACGGGTAGTCTGTAATCTTGGGAAAAAGCAAACACCATATTAGAATCGGAAAACCAACAGCTTCTGCAACATACCCTTGGTTTAGATGGCTCCAAAATCTGGTGGGCTTGTTTAATCTTGACTGAGCAGGTTGATGTGAGGCGTACGGGCCATGGGCTGATGTGCAGGGTTTCAGGTGCACTGCTTTTTAACTACCGTATGCTATAAACATGTTATCTACCTTTGTCATGATAGGGGATCATCCAAATAGAAATCACTGAAAATGTGTTTGTGAAAAGGCAGCACATTACAAACGGTCATTGCAAAGCATCCTCGAATTAAACATTTCACCGTAATCTGTACCACTCGTGTAAAGATTTCTTTTTTAACCACCCCCCTTCAGACATTAATGACCATGACTGTCACCTTAATACATTATGTTAATACACCGAAAATAGGTTATGTTAATGCACCGAATAGATGATGCTAATGTACCTGCTTTGCATTGAGGTGCATAAGTGGATGCATTACATGCCTCATGCAGATGGGGCCTAAAGGGAACCTGACAAGGGAAGGGAGTGCTTCGCTTAACATAAATTCCAACAAGTGCGTTGCATGTGCCACATTTTTTTCATCAGTCGTATCAGTCAAGGGCCACAATGGGCCTGTAGAAATGCAGTTGCGGGTCAGATTCAGCCTGTAACCCCTTAGCGAAGGCACAAGCTTCCGAATTCAAAGAATATTTGGAAGTAGAGTTTGTCATGCACTTTTTGTTGTAAATAGATGGGACTTCTTGTTTCAATGGACCTTTCCCAAGTTGCCCAAGCACCAAGGAAAATGCTGAAATGTAGTAACTTGGGCTGCATGTGCACACCTTGCCAGTATATACCTGCACAGATAACAGTTTGATTATCCGCATCCGCAGACTTCGTATTCGCATCCGAACCGCATTCGCAGTGTTTTTAAATAATTTTATCTGCGTCGAATCAGCATCCGCATCCGACCCTCAGTCTGGTGATTCATTTTATAGGAAATCAAGCATGAATAAAAATTTTAGAAAGGATCTGGATGGTGTCTCATAAGCAGCTTACCTTTGTACACAAAACTCTTCGTGTCTGAATATGGTGAAAATCATTTTATTGTACTCTATTTTATCGTATTTATAGAATAAGCAATCATCCATCCAGAAACATTTCGCATAGCTGGAAAGATGATCGCAGTTATAAGATTTTTTTAAGAGTTTGTGACACTAAAACTCTGTCCACGTCATGCGCCAAAAAAAAAAAATGGAAATTTTCCTTTTTTTACTTTTTTTGCTTTGTAAAATATACCTTAAGCAGAGACTTATTTTATAAACATGAAATTAACAAAGGACCCACTGATAACATTGCGTCATTTTATTGAGGCCAAACAACAAAAAGGTGGGGGAGGAAAGGCACTCCCTCACCGCAGCAAAGTACTCGTGTATATGTGGTAAGGTATATTGCTGAGAAAATATCAATATTCAATAATGGCAACACCTCCTATCGATTCGAATTTAAACATGAACCCTCAGTGGCATGTTCTAAACTAGTGGTTTTCAAATGTGAGTTTACGGACCCTTTTGAAGCCTGCGAAGCCCCATCTCATCAGTCAAGCCCGGCAATAAAAGTCGTCTATTTTAGATTGAGAAGAAACGTTCCAATTTCCGAGTGAGGTTCCTTGTGTTTGTCAGTGAGAGAAGTCTACTTCACACAAGCCCTTAGTTATATTCATTTGTTAAATCATTGTTATAATTAAAATCATTATTCTCTTTCCCTCACCACAAACGACATCCTCCATCATCTCCGCCAATTCACAAGGGGTCCGCAAAACATGACTGGTTGAGAACCACGGTTTTAAACCATGGACTTAAAACAACTCAGTGTCAACTGTCAAGAAAAAGAAAATGCACTCACATGCAACGTTTCACTTGTCGAGGTTGCAGTGTAAAAGAAACAGATCAAATATAGTCAACATGGTTGAATTTGGACTGGTTCGCGTTTTGAAAATTAAAGTGTCTCTCCGTTGGTGCACTTGATGCTGGGATGGCATGCACAAACTTCTCTACAGGAGTGAGATGCAGAAACTCGTGCTGGCTCAAGTTCCACCACTCCAAAGAATCAAATTCAGTCTTCTCTGTCTACTTGTAGGCAAACAAGCCATTTGCAGGTTTCTTCTACTTTCTTGTGGCTTGTACGTTTTGGGTTTTCTTTGCTCAAAGAATGATTTCCGCTCTTCCCTGCCAAACAAGAACACACTTTCTCGACACGACTGATGCTCCTGCATTCTTTACTTTTTCTAAGGACAGCATTTTTCTCGAGATAGAATATTCTAAAGTGAACTTCGGTGAGAAACAAATCTTTCTTGACGTAAAGAACAATTTTCTCCCCGAGTGGCACCTTTTATCTAAGAGAGTATTTCTCTTCCGCAATACATTCGATCATGCACTTCATAGTATCACTCGCTCATTCACCCTGCACTGTGCGATCACACACCTGTATGGGCTGCCTCGGCAAAAGTGTAGATCCGGACTCGCGCATATCCGATCCGCATCCGCAGCCCCTGGTATCCGCATCCGATCTGCTATCCACCAAATCTGCATCCGCCAGTTTACTACGGATATCCGCGGATATGCAGGGCTCTACTTATCTCGGTGTAAAAGATTTGACAAAAAGTAATCGGACAAGGCATTGATGAATGCTCGAGCAAAGTGACATTTTTTTTTGGTTTAGAACAGTGACTGCTGCAGAGGCTGGCACATGCACGAGAGTAACTATAGCTGCAGCGTGCAGCTTGGCGCTTGGGTAATTTAGCAAAAGGCCTGTTGAACTCGTAGCACATAACTCGTTGACTCTGGTGGTACATTTGTCAAAGCAGCTAGCTCTGACCTTCGGGTCCAAAAAGAACAAACAATTCGTTGCACGTGCAAGTGCTCAGGTAGGTTTCACTCTGTGCTCCCACTGACCTGCACACCTATGCATGCTTGATACTGTTGCCTCACACTGTCCGTCTGTTCCTGTGCTATCTGTATGTGGGTGGGGACTACCGTATTTTCCAATGTAGAACTCACTTTTTTTTTCCCAAATTTTTCGTCTGTGTTTTTTAAAGAATGGCACGACTTATATGCCTTTTCGGTTTTATGAGTAGGGGCCCTAACCTGTGCAGAATGTTGGCCGTATTGGTATTTATGAAAAGGAGGAACGGCAGAGCACCTGCCGATAGCCCGCTCTTTTGGCCGTTCGAAAACAGTCCGAAGAACGACCGCATAGGTCAGCAGCGACTCGACCGATCATACTAAAAGTCTGGCTTATTCAAAGGTGCGACTTACGTACCAAATTGCTCGTAAAAATGCTTGTTTAAAGGGGTTTAGTCTGAAAAATGCAAGAACCAAGCTTCTGCTTTGCCGTCCTTCTCCCTAAAGGTAATCATGTCGTGTAACACCCGAGACTGTGGTGTAGAAAAGGAAAAACTTCTACTTGAAGGAACAGACGCAGAAGGGAATGTCTGTGTCCGTCCCTTCGACTACGTAAAAGTTTTTCTTCTCTACACCGCAGTCTCAGGCATTAAACATGATTAGCTGCCATCAGCTCGCCTGTGCACTAACAAACTTTTTACTAAAGGTGTCACTGTGAAAAACATATGCTCTAAAAAAATGTGTGTGCCTTTGACTAAGCGCATGCCCTGGTGCACAGGGTTTCCTGCAACACACTCTAGCGGGGAACCAGCCTGTTTCGAGCAGGTAAATGACAGGCGTGCGATTCACTGCCGGAAAAACTATATGGCATGCCCCAGTCGCGTACTATTTAGCATTTCCCGCGGTCACTGTACTTTGCTTTGCCGTCTTCTTGAAGGCCGAATCGATGTGGATAAATTTGATGGGCATTCAAGAGGAAAGAGAACTGTGTTTTCCTCGCCACAAATGTGGACTATGTATCGCCAAACACTCAGTCTCTGCCCAATGTAGCAGTTGGAGCCAGATGCTGAAGTTTAAGCACTTAATATTGTCCAATTCGAAAGTTTTAAGTAGGGTTGTAAATATTAAAATTTTTGAATATTAATTTAAAATTAAACGCTATTCGATATTCATACTTTTCGAAGTGTTGATTGTGGCTGGTTAGCCCTGTTAGTGTGTTTCTGACCAAGCAGTGGTGCAAGGAGAGAACACCCGCGGAGCTGACACCGCAATCTTGTGAACATCGCTTCGCTGCAGCGCAGCCGCCCGCTTAGGAAAAAAAGCTTCAAAGCAGGATGGTGCATGGATGCACTTGGGCCGTTTAAGAATGAACAGAAACTTTGTGAATGGTGATATCTACATTGCAGCGAAAGTCTCAAAATTAAACTGTGGCTATTATGTAAGAGTATACATTAGGCAGCGATGTCCTCACAACCTGCATTCATAACTAGTTTTTTTTTTTGTTTTTTTTTTTCTTTGGTTTTAGGATTGAAGAAAGCATATTTGCGTATAGCATGGTGAACAAATCTTCTCAATTGGGTATAGCAGGGCATCTTTGGAGGTTTAATTTATTGCCACTTTCATTGTTTGCTTGCTAACCCAATCTAGTCATTGGACTTTCTGAGGCCACAGTACATAGATGTAGTTGGATTGGAATTAGCTTACAAATGGACAAGTGGAAGCATTAAAACAACCCTCACGAGTTCAGCTGGATTTTGTTTGAGCATGGTGCAATAGTAGTGAAGGGCTTGGAGAAAGGCACAACAACTAATCTTTATTCGATTTTAAAATATTTGGCCAAAACCACCATTTGCCTCAAACTCAAAATCCACCTTTAACACATGCCTAATTATAAGCAATTTTTTTTAGATTTCCACTGAGAAAAAGGCGATTAACGAAGCCTGCGAATATGTGGAGATGATTGGGGTTTGCTATCACGAATCTGCACAATTTTCTTATCGAAAACTTGGACGTCTGGTCCTAACCGTTAGCACTATGTTTGGGCGGAGACCGAGGTTCGGCAATGCAAAGTTTATTTTTGCAGTAAGGACCAGTGTGGTTCTCTATTTTTCCAGACACCTGGTGTTCGATAGACGTCGCAAAACTCGGCCCGACACTGCTCGCTGTTAAAACACAAGAAACATTTTCTTTCTTTCACTATCACCTCATGCATTCGTTTTTAACGATTTTTCTCAAAATATTTTTACTGCATTTTGCTATTTTTTTTGTTAGATCTGCTTGTAACTTGTTAATATGTGGTTGGCTCGAATTGTATTGAAAGTATGCATACAGGAGCATGAAACGCGGTTAATTTGTTTCCTTCGGCATTTTGCTATTCTGGAGTTTCTCGTTCGGGGGTTTGACTGCAGTAGAGGTCCCTTTAAGTTAACAGGATTGGACAGTAATTAATATACCGGTGTACCTTCAGTTTGCACAAACTTGGAAGAAATATAGATAGAGAGTAAGGTGATGGCAGCTTAAGAAGCGGAGGGTGTGGCCCATTATGGTTGATTCCTTTTTCGGCGTTCTTATCAGTTGATGCTGCAATCTGGTTGGCTGTGGAGGAGGAAGAAAATGCCAGGGACTTGCCACACCCCGCGTTTCTTAAGCTATCATTATCTGTGAAACATTTTATGTTCCACTTCTCCCGGACACTAGAGCGCAAAGGAGCATACGTTTCTTTTGCAGTCACCGAAGTGGCGAACTATAGGAAGAGGCTCGGCACCAAAGAGGGAACTCTGTCGTCTGCTGCCGACCGATCGCCGCCGCCCACAGAATGAAGAGCGGCCGTGGGCCATGCCGGTGTCGCGGCCACACTTCTAACGGGTCCTGCTCCAAACCCTCGCACGTCTGGATCTCGTAGAGCCCCGACGGCCAGGCATTTCGAGTTCGCGCACCCTCGCCGAGCTTTTCTCGTTACTAGAGGATAACATAAATGGCCCCGTCATGCCGAAAAAACTTTTGACAGGCTTTGAAAAGCAGCTCGACAGGTATGACCCTTTTTTTTTTCTCTTGCGTTGCTCGCAAGTTTATTTATTGCCCCGCTGCGCACGAAGGACGGCGAAGACGTCGGGAGGTGAAGGCTGCGGGCGTTTTCTCGTCGGCACGGTGTTTGTTTGCACGCGCTTTCGCCCAGTGTTGTTGGACCCTTCCCCGGTTGGGAAGTGTGCGGGAAGAGAGCGAGAGACGGAGCGCACTTCCCCGCGTCAAAAGTTTTGACCTGTGTTAGAATAAAGCGTGGGCGTTTGTCCAACACAATGTGTGGTGCGTGGACTTTGAAAGCAATGTGTTTACATAGGAGTCCTTCGTGGACCTTCCTTGTTCGCGTTGGTCTGGTTGTAGCAAGCGAGGTTATGGAAGAGAGTATCAGCAATTAGCCAGCTCATTTGCTGGCACTCTCCCGTGACTTTGGCATGTGACTCTCTTGTGGTTTGACGTCGTGGCACACGCGACTACCATAGAATTTCTTAAGGGCGCCCTCCCCCGAGGTATTGTCCATCCCGTTTTTCTGGCTAAATATCCGTAACAAAAATTCCGAAACATCACCCACCCCCCAATTCTTGTAGGACGTCGCATGTTGTCCGATGGAAATTGCATCAACCGCACCATTTGCGGTACAGGTGCATGTTACGAGTGACTCTGCGGCAGGTTCCCGCGTTCTTGTACGCCATCTGCACGCGCAATATCAATTCACATGACGCACGAGTTCGTAGCGAGTTCCCACGTTTCTTTTGTCTGCACCCTGCGTGCGCGATATTGGTTCCGTGGCACGAAAGTTTAGCCAGTTTCCGCTCATTAATCGCACCGCGAAGCGCAAATCTGCCACAGCAGTCTGCGGTGCCCTCCCCCCATGACACGGGAGTTCATAGCGCATTCCCGCGGGTTTCTTGCGTCGTGAAACACTAATTTGTCACGTCCGCCGTCTGCAGTATCCGTTCCCGCGTCGCGTGGCTTGTAGTGGGTGCCCCTCGTTTTTCACTGTTTATCTCCATTTTGGGTGGGCACCCTTACAGGATTTTACTGTAGTTGCCGCCTCTCGGATAGGAGAGCTTAGTCATCGACGGGAGGAGTCCAAGTCATCCCGTCCCCAGCACGGGTTTCCTATTTTCGATAACGCTTAAATGTCTCGCGATCCTCGAATGGGCTTGCGCTTTCCAAGCACGGCAGAAGGCAACAAGCGCGTGCTGGAAGCCGGGCGTCCGGAAAAGATGACCCCGTCGTTCTTACCTTGTCAATGACTATTAGGAGCATTCGAAACCTGTAGGGGGTGCCTCGCACTGCCTTGGAAGCCGGTTGGCAGCACTACCAACCGCGTCGCATAGTGAAGCCGTGCCCACTCGGACCTCTCCCACGTGTACCTGCGGCGTCTGAACCGCGTCTGCGCCTTCCCACGGCCGTTTTACTCAATCTCGTTCGGGGGTAAAGGCTTCGCTCACTGGCAGACCGAGAAGAGGTGCCAGGGTCGAGACATTTGTGGAGGCCTTCGCCGGCGCGCGGAGGGGATCTGCTTTCTTGATTTCAGAGTTTCAAGCAAAAAAAAGTCGGCGCCCAGCGTGATCCTGGACGTATTGTATTGCGCCGAGCGCGGGTAAACCGATGTTCCTTAGAAACTAAGGTTGGCTACCACGGGGGATGTCTACGTTAGTCTGGTCGCATTTGATGCGAAATGCTCCTGCCAGGAGCCACACTGTGGCACCACCGTCCCAACGCACGCTTCCAATTAGTGCCAAATTTTTCTTCGTCGCTATGAAACGACGACGCAAGGCACGGATCGAACGTAAGCGTCGCTTCGACGATCTGCAAGAATGCGAGTCTCTGCCAAGTGCCGATGCAGCAGTCGTTTCCTATCTGCCCCACGGTGGCGTTTTCATTGACCGATGAAAATTCAGCGCTCAAGCTTTCTTACCTAGGAGCTGTCGGACTGGCGGTGTACTTTTCCCTACCTTCTCCCCTCCTCCGTAGAAATAGGAACTGCATGCTAGTCATCCACACAGCGGGAACGGCAATGAGACGCCGAGGAGTCGTCAAAAATGAGAAGCTCACGCCAGAGGCTGGACGATCGTCAGGGACTGTATTGGAATAATCTAGTCCATCCAGAGACATTTCGAGGAAAGTGATGCACTGCCCCAAAGAAAAGCTGCGTGGCTGAAGAAAAAAAGGATCTTTATACATTCACAATGCAGATCGTTTCGACGGCGAATGCTAGGGTACTTATTAAAAGCTTTGTTGAGTGCCGTCACACCTTCGTTGCTCTTGACGGGACATACAACCAGGGCAGTTCTTTTTGCAATAGATCACAGGCATGAGCACTTTGATCGGTCGAAAGGTCTTTATTATTGGCTATTTACACAGACTGATGGCTGTTATAAACTGTCTCATGGGCATTCCACGTGCAAAACAACCGTCTCACCTTTTACGAGCGGGTCTTGGGGTCGGGGTGCCTAGAAAAACAGTGCACGCTGGGGATCACGACTAGAGCTAGCTACGGCTCGGATTGTTTCTTTGTCAGCGCAGTTTGCGGTTGCGGCAGCAGACGCTGTGAACGTGCGGCAGACTGGCTCCATGTTCTGGTACTAAAGAGCCATATGCTTCACATTAACCAACAACATTACTCTCTCATTCCAAAAGGCTTTCAGTCTCTATGACAAAATGGAAGGCGGACAGGCTGCTCAAGTGCCTGAGTTAGTATGGAAACATTGTGATGCTCGAAAGCCTGCCCCCTTTTTTCTCGCAAATGTCTCTCGAAATCTAGGTACTTTGCTGCATTGAGAATGAGCGGCGAGGAAATGATTTACTGAGGGATGATGTCATGCACCAATACCATTACTGTAACTGAAGACGACATAGACAGTTGCTACACACCCCTGCCCACTTTTCGTGCGATCTGACTTTAAAACGTGATGCCTATATTTTAGAACGGTCTTGTTTGTTGCCACTGTCTAGTTACTTTCAGACGACCGTAGCCAAAGGGTGCTCGTGTATGTCCTTGGGTGCGTGACCTATACATATTCGAAAGATGGTGCAGTTTTCTTTCGTGCCACTAGAAGACGCATGCACTTTCGTTCTGACATGCACTAATACAAAGCGGCAAGCGTAAGCGACGTGCGAGTGCCTGACTGGAGAGACCATGCCTCGAAGCTAGGGCACTGGAAGCCCAGAGTTTTAAATGAAGTCTCGGGTGGACTGACTCTCTCTTTCTTTGTGAAGGTGGCTCATTGATCCGAGGATCAGTCTGCGGCACTTCTTGAGACGCTGCGTCGTTTATATCATCTATTCAAGTAATCCAGAACCTGTTTCGTTCGCAAAAATGATAATCTTCTATGAAAAGATTGTTTTCTTTGGTCAGTTGGTGCCAATTTTTGAGGGAATGTTACAGGCATACCTCGACGTAACGTTAACATGTTGAAACCAACATCGGTCCATCACTAGCTCATTACTCATTTTCGTAACCAACGCAGGTACTGGCCAATATTTTAACATCATTAACCTTAGTGTACATAAGCGACGGTGCACTGGAACGTAAATGGCTCTATTACTCTCAGCTCGACAAACATCAACTTTAAAGACTCAAAGTATCTGACGACACCCCCGCTCTGCCCTCTAACCACAACACAAATTCAGCAGCTCGCTACCTACGTTACAAGCTGGCAGCAGGCGTCTCCACAACCGCGTAAGGAACAAAGAAAATGCGCAAGGACTCCCAGCAGATCCACGAAACACTTTCCACATCTGTTTTCGTCCTCGCTCATGTCCTTGTTCCCTCCGACAACGCTTGTAGCCACCGGTTGCGTGCCATCCCAGTGCTGCGTTGCGATGGACTGTCAGCTCTCCAAGTTCAGACGTAGAGATGGGCGTCCTCCCTCCGTCGAAGGTACTGCCACTGTAGCGCCAGGATCGCAACTGCCGAGGTCACCGGCCGCAATCCCGACAGCGGCGGTGGGTGTGACACGCGCCCGTTCCGTCGCAGGTCGCTCTCCAGCTTGACGGTGCACGGAAACCTTGGCGGCCGGGACGCTCACATTTGCGAGTGCTTTACGCTGGAACTTTTACAACCGTCCTCCAGAGTTGCGACATCTGACAGCGTAACACTCCGGCACATAGTTTTTTTCATCACTTCGGGACCACTTTCGACGCGTTGGCAGAACAACACGCATCCCAGATACCGTACCACCACTGCGTGCGGTGGTGATACGGTACTTGGTACGCAGTGGTGGTACCGTGCCGCCACTGTGTGCACTGCGTCCTGGGTACCGTACCACCACTCGAGAGTTTGCTGCACGGGCGACGGACGTCTCCGGGTCGTCGTCGGCTCTTGCGCGGTGTGGGTGCCAGCTCAGAGGTACATGCCGTTGACGAGGTAATCCGCGTCGTGGGCGAGGGAGGAACGGCCTCCCCGGCGGGCGAGGCGGTGCCTGGCGAGGCGCAGCCTGCAGCCGACAAGCACGAGCAGCAGGCCCGTGATGCACAGGCCCAGGGTGAGGGCAAGCACCGCGCTGCCGGACTCCTGCTGGGCGTGGGCGCCGCCCCCCTGCTCGACCTGCGTGAAGCTCACCTGCACGATGCCCGTTGTCACTCAGTCGCCACCGGTGGCACGCGCGTGGTGTGTCACAGAGTGACAGTGGAAAGGGTAGGATTTCTCTTTCCACTTACGGTAGTTTTTCCAATTTGCTGTCTGCTAGTGGCCAACGTACTTGTATGTATCATCTCATGATCACCATCACTTTCATCTTGCATTATATCGTCACATAATCACGACTACTAGACGCGGCACTGCGGGCCTCCGTGGCACGTGCTATTGTCTTTCTGCGGTGCTGCGGCTCTCCTGAGCCAATAAAGAATATCGATGTCAATGGGTCACATTTAAGGGCAACAGGTGCAAATGTGGGAAGGGCAACTCCCTCCACTTCTACTATGGTATCTGGTCCTAACCACTAGCGCTACATATGGGCGGAGGCTGAGTGTTCGGCGATGTACTGTAGTTTAACAAAGAGAAAAACATTGTTCTTTTTTTTTTTCACAAGCACCGATTAGTATGGGTGACGGTAAACAAAAAGAGACTGTGGCACGTGTATTGGTGTTCTTAATGAAGTTCCCTGCTCACGTCCATCGGTGTGCGCAGCACAAGCAGTCACTGAGATTGTATCCTTCAAACTACCCCAGTACGTGCGTACAGTCAATAGACCCCTTGCAAAATTGAAGCGATCCTAGTGGCACAGGTGCGACGCGAAGCATCGTGGGAACCCAATGGCCACAGTTTTGGTTGCAATTTTCCAACCTTTCTTCACGAGTTCCCAGCGCAGCCAAAATATATTGCTTGCATTTTCGAATATACGGTAAAGTACCGATCAAGCGCCCTTTCAAAATGTGGAGATAACAGCAAGAAAGTGGGGGATGGGCACTTGCTAGGTCACAAATTTGATCTATATTTGTACTGCGTCGAATGGTCGGATGCTCGGTATTTTGCGGTATGACTAAGGAAATTTATAATAACGTAGGTGTTGTCTACCAGTACAGATAAAATGCTGGAGCACATTCTTTGGGCTCCCGACGTGGCAGAGTTTGAGCTCAAATAAACGCGGGACTACGGTAGCACTGGGGAGAAGAAGTATGCTGGGCCGGTCATCCCGTTTCGTCGTCTCCTCAGCGTCCTAGGCTTCTTAAGTGGTCCGGGAGGATCATGCTGCACTCTGGAGTGGTAACCAGGCCGCCAGAAAGGTATGGGATGCTGCTAGCCGTACTGTTACTCCCCCCAAGTCAAGGCAGGTCCTTACAACCGCTGGAATTTCGTGTTCCGATGGGGACTCTCGCGAAGATCAATGGGTGCAATGCAAGTGATTGCCGACTTCATCTTTGCGCATGCCAATAAGCGCTGCTTCATCAACGGGGAAGTTGAAACCGGAACCATGCCATTCCTCTCCATAGCCAAATAAGTCGCATAGTGCAATGCACACAGTCTTGTGTGCGGGGATTTTTGAAAGTAGTCTATTCACCTGCATGTTGGCCACTTCATGAAGCCGGCTGTACTGCACGGGTCCACGACGGTGGGCAGCCTCGGCCGTGCCGGTGGCTGCCTTGCCAGCTTTGGCTTCCGTTGGCTCTGGACGGGTGTTGTGCAAATTGGCTATATCTCCTTCAAAACGTGTCGAGCATACACCACTGGCAACAACTTGGATTGGGAAACCTTGTACACAAACGTCTTGCCTCAAGGTAGTGAGACCTTCTGTGTTGTCTTCCATTTAATTTTGCCTTTTTGCAAAAGGGCGGGCACGCATAGCAGTGTCTCACAGCATGAGCTTGTTGCTTTTGTAGTGCCTTGCTGCCAATTTGTTGAGTAAGTTTTCTCTGGGTATTTGTCACGGTGATATCAACACCGTCCCTTATTTGAAGATTTACAAGCAGGTAACAGCTCAGATTACAGAATGAAAGAACAGGTCAACCTCCAAATGGATGGATGAAATCAGACTTAAATTACTTAAGATATTTGAGTAATGGCAGCTGGAGTATTTAACAGTCGCCGGTACTGCGGGGGGGGGGGGGGGGCACGAGATACAGTATTTATACTATATATAACTGGAATATTTAATAACAGTACAGAGGGCATATAAGCAGAAAAATGCAAAGATTGTCGTGGCTTCATATGTCAATCTATACACATTTGCAAGTCCGGACTCGGGGCGCCGCCATCTTGCTGAGTTGGGGTGCACTTGGGCGCGGCCATAATCTGATTTCGACGGCTTAGCAAGGCTTCGTAATCGAATTACGACGCATCCAAGTGCACCCCAACTGAGCAAGATGGCAGCACTCTGCCAGACTTGCAAACGTGTATAGTTCTCAAAAACGGGAGGAATACATATACGTGGAAAGACGCAAGTAAACGAAGAAAAGGGAAAAAGACAAAAATGACAGCCTGATGTTCGGCATATCAGATCCACTTCTTGAACCATCTGACAGAACTGGAAGTAAAGCAGCGTACAAGATTTCCAAGTCGGTGTATAGGCTCTCGGATTAGACTGCGTAAGGATGGAATGCCGAAATAAGAGTGCCCGGCCCCCGACGGGCGTTGCACATAACTCGACTGCATGTTGCACGAGCTACCACTCACTCGAGGGTTGCTGCTTTGAGGCCTGCTTGGTGGAATCCTGGTGCTGTGCCGGAATCACCGGAGGGGGCGCCACCTCTACTATGGGCTGGTACAGGTTGTCTGCACAGGGAACAAATAGGTGGCAGTGAAGCACACTTTAAAGAGCTTTGGAATATTCTTCGAGCTTGGACCCACACATTTGCATTTGAGTCTGATCAACTGTATTGCAACCGCTTACCAATGAAAGGATGCTCTGGCGCCATCTTTTCAGTAGCCCTGGAACATCCCCGATCTGCATATATTTACTAATTTTTTTTACGCTCCAATCTTTCGCCGGGGGGCTTCAAATGATTATGGGTGACCATTTCTCGTAGATTGCACAGAGTGTTGGTCTTGAAAAGATTATGAAACTTTCAGTCTAGTTATGCGTAGATCAGAAGTGATGCCAGGGTCACCTAATAGATGGTGTAAGCGTGCGAATGTTTTCTCTGTTCGCTCGTCGTAAGCGGTCGCACTCGCTTTCAAAAGAATTGGCCTTTACCAATTGCCGTGGAAGCACATCCACTGGAAGTGCCAGTATGCCAGTATTTAGGAAGCGTGTGCCACTTTAGGAAGCATGCACACGCTTCCTCAAGCATGTGCATGCTTGTAGTCGAGACAAGTACATCTAGCAAACTCGTACACAGAACCGCGGTAATATTGTGATGGTACTTTCCAAACTATTCGTTGCGATCTGATGAGATGTCGCCACCCCGAACACTCTACCAACACAGGGTAAACAAAGGGCAGCCAGCACCCTGGTGGTGCACACCACTTTATCACCGCCTCTTCTAATCTAATCAATTATTTGTGCTACCGTTTGCATCATCCAGACTTTACGCGTGCGCCCAGTTTCCCTACATTAACACTTGGCATTCTGCATTACCACTGTCTTTGCCACGGTAGCATGGCAGAGGGGCTACTCTTTTTCGTAGCAGTAGTGTAGCTAAAGCATCATGTGCACATCACCTGTTCAAAAAACATTATCAGCTCTCTGCTTTAAAATAGGGTGAAAAGGCATAGAAATTTTTTTGTCTGCGATCTGGTGAATTTAGACAAAGCTACCAAAATGCATTGCACATGCATAGACTATTTTTTTTTTCAACTTTAGTAGTCAACATTTTTTAACATGTTTCGATGCCTAAAAGCACTAACAAGGGTAGCTGGCACTAATGACAGTCTTCTAATGCAGAATGTGCATGCCCTAGCAGGCGGCACGCAAGGGGGACACCCTCCGGAACTGACTTTCACGACCGAGTTAGTTAAACAAAGCTGCCCTCTTTCGTACCGTCTTCCGGTGTCTGGGGCTTGGCAGGCATCACGATGTGCCCCTGGGCCTGCTTGGGTTCCTCAGGCAGCCGGCCGGGCCGACCTCCAACGGGGCCCTCGGCGTCCAGCACCTGCGGCTGCGACCCCATCTGGGCGGTCTGGGGCTGGCGCTCGTACAGCAGGGGCGGGGACCCATAGGGCGCCTGCCCCGCCTGGCCCTCCTGCTGATCCACGGCCATCGGCGGGGGCCTGCACGTTCGGACAAAAAGATTATCGGCGTGCCTCGCGCGAGACCCTGGACGTGTCGCTAAAGACACGGACTGGCATCTTTTATTTGCAGACGTGTACAGTGCGCAAGCTCTTCCGCTGGAGCTAATTGTGTCGAAGATATGTTTAGACCGTAGGCTCTCAAAATTGGGTTCCTAGAAGGTACCTTGGGGTGGGGTACCCCAGGGTACCTCCATCGGTTCACCAAATCCTCAAATTGTTAAAGTGTTATTCCAGTTCAAGCACTATATTCTAGCGGATCAAAGCCTCCCATTTGTGCGCAACTATGAGCATACACTCCTTAGCACAAGCATTATTGGTTATTAGGTCCGTAGGTTTCTGCTCTGCATTACGGCAGCAATGCCGAGGATGGAGGGGCTCCCCAGCCATAAATTAAGAGAGTAGGGGTTTCTCGAGACTGCAAAGTTTGAAAATCCCCGGTTTAGACAGTGAGATATCAGTCTGCCTCACGTCTGGCGTTTCCACTCGTGTCGCCACCATGCGAAATTTAGCCAGTGCGGTATCACTGCTCGTTTATGGTATTCAACGTCCATCATGCCGTAGCGATACACGACCACACATCGAGATGACATTCATCCAGACTGAAATGGCCAGAGGTGGGGATTGAACTATGGATCCCCGAGTTGGATCCCCACTTTTGCCCGTTTCACGTAAATCGAAAGCTCAGACCTCGAACCGTTACTACACTCGGTGATTGATCCTCCAAGTTCGCCTGCTACTTGCAGAGGGGGTACAGTGATGTCGCGGCGCCAAATTCTGACTGGAGGACATGGAGGGTACTCAAACACGGCATTGTTTGTGTGTCGTAGCAACGGCTGCCTTTCATTTTTAGTTAGAAATCCCCCAGTTCTTTATGAACGAGAAGTCGGCCTTTGAGAAAGTGGAGAGGAATTACCTCAAAGGGCATACTGCTTTTGTTGGTTAACTGGAAAATGCACTAGAGCAAACACGGAAGTCACGGCCGAGATGTTTGCTACCCGCTAAAGAGAATGCCAGCTTAAGGGGTGGAGCCTCATCACACTTATGATCACTCTTTCTCACCTATTTGTGCCTCCCCTCTCGTGAGCAGAGAGACACGTTTTGGTTGAGCAACGCTCATAAAAATTGGCGTTCGAACCTGTAAGCTTAAATGTTTTTGAAAGGTTTATGCCATATAAATTTAAGTGACACCAGTAATCTGGTGAATGTGGTCACCACATGTGTACCGAGCCTATGGAACTACAGCGGGGGTAATGTGGCATTCTTTTTGGTTTTCAGCTTTTTAATTCAAAGCAAAAATGCAAATATTCAAATACTTAGAATACTCATTTGCAAATAGTGTTTGATATTTGATTCAATTCAGAGCATACTTTCACAATTCGAAGTATTCCACTTTTTCTAATAAATAGGGTATATTAAAAAAATTATGAATAATGTCTTCAGAATTTTTTGATTTCCCGCATCAAGCTTCACTGCTTTGCTCCAGCGCTCTTGCATCAAGCTCCACCGCTTCGCACCGGTGTACGCTCACAGCTAGCTTCATTGCTTTTCACTGGCGTGTTAGGAGAAACAACTAACGTGTCAAAGCATCTCGGTTGGCTTGAAGGTACCAGAAATTCGGCTTCTTGATTTTAAAGGACACTGCTTGACAAGAAAGCCTAAAGTCATTGCTTTGCTTGCCATGTTACATTATATTCTACCTACGTCATCTTATCGGGGCTCTCTCATGGTTCGCTTCTCATATGTAATAAAACTTCCTTTTCAGCAGAGTCCTTTCAAGAAAAAAAATTTTCATCCGTGATTCTTTGTTATTTATGCTGTATATTCACATTAAATTTAAGATTCTTGTATGTGACAAAAAAAAATCTGATTCATTGTAAAATTTTATAATCATGTCCAATTCACAATAAAACGTTTTATATTTGCACATGCTTAATTAAAAACTGGAAGTTGTACAACTTTTTGCACATTTAAGCCATAGTAACAAGTAAAAAACCTAGTTGGACATTTACAAATTAGCAATGTGGTGCAGCAGTCCTCATTGAAGTGCTTATTGCTGTATTATCTCTGCCAAAGAGCTCAGCCCGCTGCATGTCCTGCTAGATTTCACCGAGGAAATTTCTCGGACAATTTTGCCAAAACTTTGTGCAAATTTTCAAAATTTTTGGTTAATTTCTTTCAGTGACATGCTATTTAATTTGATTTTTTTTTATTGAATACTCAAGTTACTGAAAATTTCTGCAATATTTCTTATTGTTTGTGGTGTGTTTGGATGGGTTAGTTAGGTTTGTTGAGAATGCTTTTCATTGCACACCGGTACACTGCAAAGTTAGGCAACACCCATGGACCGAACATTACGATCCTGCGTATCACACCTCACCGCAGCACAATTGCATGCTTATTAGACTCGGGTCATACATTGAATATTTTACCGAACGTGGCCCAGACTTTTTCAGCAAAAACTGTGAGTTGCACAAAAAACATTATTGGTGCCATGTCAGTGATGGCCAGGGAGACAGTGTACTGAGGTACATAGCATTTGAGATAAGGAAGTTCTGAATTATTTCTGGATAATTAGCTTTTTGGATAGTAAAAATAAACATGGGATTCATATCAAAAACCTACTGAGTATCTTCGAAAACCACTAGATCAATAAATTTTGGGAAGACTCGTAGCGTGTGGAAAGAGAAGTCATGTGCAAAACTTATCACATGTGGTACAGGTGCAACGCTGGCAAGGCAAGAAGGCAAAAAATTTGTTATCCTAAACACTACCTACATACCGAAATAAATAGGTCCCAATGCAATGATAAATATGGTACCAATCTTCTTTCAGTAAAGTGCCTAATTTTCACACCAACATTTTAGATGATGTTTAGTGAAATACCGTGTAGGCATACCACAAAATACCAAAGCAGGCACCCACTCAAGATTAGGAGATAATCTTAAAAAATTTTAGAGCCCTTCCACTTTACGTGAAGATGAAGGACCAGCGAAGCTGTTATTTTTACAACGTATAGGACGATGCCTAGAAGACAATGTCTAGGACGACCTCAAGGACGACTTCTAGGACGACGCCTAGAGGACGACGTTTAGCACGACCTCAAGGACGACGTCCAGGATGACCTTAAGAACGACCTCTAAGATGACTTAGAGGACGATGCCTAGGACGATCTCAAAGTCGACTTCTAGGACAACCTCGAGGAAGACTTTTAAGACGACCTCAAGGACGACATCTAGGACAACCTCGAGGATGACGCTTAGAGGACGACCTCGAGAACGACGTCTGGGACGACCTCGAGAACGACGTCTGGGACGACCTCAAGGACGACCTCTGACAACCTCAAGGACGACTTCTAGGACGACCTTGAAGATGATGCCTAGAGATAACAAGGGGTCAGGACCTCACTATCTAATAATGCCAAGAAAGGCTGACTCACGCTGGTTACCCCTCTTGTGCTTTTATTTATTCATCCTTGACCCCTCTCTTTGTTTTTATTTATTCATACTTGCCACGACCAATAGGGAGTTTTCTGTCAACATGTGAGCATGCATTTTTTCCCAGACCCTAGCGTATAACAGCTTCACTGTAAAAGAACTCGGGGACATGGGCTTGTTGGATCCAAGAGCAAAAAGAATAGGGCAGGCTTCTCCACTTTGCACCAGGGTGCTGGGAGAAGCAGCTGACTAACGAAAAGGAGCGCCTCAGTTAGCTCGGTGGGCTTGGAAGTTAGTCGTGGGTATTTGATATGTTTTTAGCTTTGTTTCCAAACATTCCAAAAGTAACAGGTAGGAGCTTGTGAGGTGGGCGCACGCTTGGTGTTTTATGGTAGGTTTATGGTACTTGCCTGTGCATCATCTTCCACTGGTTTGTTGGGTAGCCCTGCATGTGGTTTGGGGGTGCCTGCTGCTTCTGAAGCTGAAGTTCCTGCTGAAGCTGTTTGAGCTGCCGCTGTCTGTGCTGCCGCTGCATCTCCTGCTGCTGTTGCAGGCTCATGCGGGGCCCTGTCTTGTGGGGTCTGAAACTCTGCGGTTGCAACATTCCTGCAAAGACGCCAGCCGTGCTTGTGGTTTTGGAAAAGGTGCGATGCAGAGCCCATTTGCATGCATGAAAGCTGGCAGAGCACTCCCATAGTTTGTTGCAGGATAAGAATAGTGAAGGAAGCTCTTCTTTCAAAGCCCTCCACTCTTTCAACTTCAGCAGAACAAACGTCAGAGAGGAGGCAAATGGCTAGGAGGAAACCACCAATCACGGCAAGCAGAGAGCTTTGTGGGAGGACCTTGTCCCGCTATTCTTAATTTGCAGCGGGCTATTGTCTACAGCAGTCGAGGTTTACCTGTCGCAAAAAATAATTACCGAGTTGCATCAAACGTAGGGGGACAAGCAGACAAGATGAAAAGCGATGGGAGTTTCAACACATATTGTGGGCTCATTTCGCGTGTCACTCGCCTCATTAGATATTGAAGGCAATAATCAACATAATAAGCGGACATCTGCTCAGGCTGGTTTTAGGCAGCATTGCGAGGGCCAAGTGAACGACAATGTAGGCCTACTCTCCGCTTTCGGTGAGAATTGGTCCACCTGCAGCTGGATAACGGAACTGACGCCTTAGCTGGATCCAACGTGGATTGTCTCGCTTCCAGCCGGATCAAGCTGGGTTCCGTAACCCTGCTCCATATGGAATCATTTTCCCCCTGGGTGTTCCATGCGCAGAAGCCACAACATGCTCGCAATATCGGCTGTTTTTTAGAGCGCAGCTCTTAGGTGCCCATTTCCGGCTTCAGTGGCAGTTGGCGTAACCGTGTGTTGAATTATGGGACGTTTCACATAATGATGTCACATGTAACGTCACTAGTGACGTCACGAAGGTCACGACCTTCACAGGGAAGGTTAGAACCTTCACGTGACTTTCACTCATGAAGGTCAAGGCCTTCGCGAGTTACGTCACGAGGGTCACGAGCAACGTCACGAGAGAGGAGGAGGGGGAGGAGGAGGAGAGGGTACAGAGGAGAAGGAGGGCCGTACCCTTCTCTTCGTACCCTCCCCTCCTCCTCAAGAGCTGCGCTCTAATTCAGCATTACAGGGAATTGTAAATGTCTTCTTTTTTATGTGTGTCTTCGTCACTTCCTTTTTAAAGCAGTCAAGCGCCCTCTTTCCGAATGTAGAAACTACATCTCGGTCTGCAGAAACAACATACATAGAGAGATAGATTTTCTGCCTCCCAGCAGAGGCCAGCACGGGGCACAAATTGAATGCAAGCGCTGCATTAGCATTCAGCTGGGACTTGTGTCCCCGCCGACTGAACACGGGTCTCAGCCGAAAGCTGTCGCAACATTTGCACCCGGTTCCCTAGGACATGTCGGCAGAGCATGCTTGCAGTAACTTTACCCCTTCCGTTAGGATTGTTGCTCGTCCTGCTTACCCTCGGTGAGCAGTGGGTATGCCTGCGCGTCGGGGTCGCCGACCCAGTAGCGGGAACCCTCCGGGTACCCGCCGTAGTCGTAGTACTTGGCCTGGTCCCCCGCCGCGGGGAAGGGGTCCTCGTAGTGGCTGTACTCGGGACGCCCCAGCCGGGCACCCTCCTCGCTCCAGCGCAGGCGGGACGGCGGGGCCATCGGGGCCCTCCCCTGGGGGCCTGCGCCGGAGCTCGTTTTTGCTAATGTGGCTACGAGACTGTTTAGTGGCCGCATTTTCTCGACATCTTATTAATGTTTCGTTTTTGATTTTGTTGACTAAGGCTGGCAGGTTGGTAGAGGAATAGGGCATTTCTGTCCGACCGGTCCTCTCCGCTCAATGTAGTTCGGCAATCGTACGTAAAAAACAAAATAATGACCACACAGTAATCGAAAAAGATAAATGTGAGACGTGCAAAAACAAAACATAGTTGAGCAATAGTTCAAAACACATTTTCTGCTATTGTTCGAAACAGAATGAGTAAATGGTAAATAACGCATTTTCCCGCTAAATTTAGCGGAAAAATTGATGTCGCGATGCCTAATCTCCAGTTCAGTTTTTCCTCTTAACTTAATTAGCGAGGAAATTGATACAAAAAATTGTCTTTTCATTCCTCGTATTGACTGTTGAATGTCCCCTAAACAAATATAAACAATAGCTTCTCAAATACCGCATTCTGACCATAGAACTTTTGAGATAAAGGCCGATGCCAATTTTAATCTCGTTGACTGCAGGACTTCATTAGCTGAACCATTTCTGCCAGTAAGGCCATTCGGTCGAACTGCACTGACCGAATTGCCTCGTTATGCAGAGTCTCATCAACATTAATATGTTAATGAGGCTAATTAGTGGCTATGTAGTCCGAATTTTCTCGGAGACTGCGGGGCTTCGTCGCCCGATATGTCTCTGCCAACGGGGCTCTTCGGTCGTGCAGGACTAACCAAATTTACTCGCTATGCAGTCTAAATAACGATAATATGTTAACAAGATTCTAATTAGTCGCTGCATAGTCCCAGTGTTCTAATAATCTTGTTCGCTGCTGGGCTTCGTTGGCCGTACTAGAGCGACTAATTAATAAGCTACACCCAACGCATCGGCGTCCCATTCCCCAATTAGCTCGCGAGTGCTGCCATTTTTGTGCGTAGTGCAGATCGAGTGCAATAGGTGTTTTAAAAAATTTAAGCTGTCCTCGCGGCGTAATGCAGCGCAAAGCGTCTTGAGAACCCGTTGGCCACCAATTTCCCATTCTGGCTGGCTGTACCTCGCTCCACGGCATCACGTCAAACCAAATACAGTGCTTGCATTTTCAGATACGTGATTTTCCTTAAATTTCTTATACTATAGGCATTGCCTACAGACATGGATGGAGTGGTGAGGCACGTTTATTCGGGCTCTCGATGCGCCGGAGTTTGTTGCGGAGGTAAACACGAGACAAAGACAACACACAAAAGAAGTAGCGTACTGGGCCGGTCAGCCCGTTTCGTCGGTTCCTCAATGCCCTAGGCTTCTTAAGTTATCCGCGAGCCGGGAGGGATTGTGCCATGCTCTGAAGCGATAGCCTAGCCGGCAGGGGGGTATGGGACGTGGCACATTGCACTCCTACTCTCGCTAAACCTGGGCAGGCCCTTATGGCCCCTGGAGGTCCGTGTTTCGACCGGGGCTCTCGAGAAGATGGATGGGTGCGACGCGAGCGAGCGCCGACTTTACTTTTATGCAATGCTAGAATACACTACTTCGTCGATGGGGGTATCGAATCCGTGCTCCTTGGCCCAGGCAAAAATGAGTCCACTTCCAGCTGGATTATGGAACTGGAAACGAGGCAGTCCAGCTGGATTCCAGCTGAGTCCAGCTGGATTCCAGCTGAGTCCAGCTGGATACCAGCTGGGTCCAGCCGGGTCCAGCTGGAATCTAGCTGGACTGCTTCATTTCCAGCTCCATAATCCAGCTGGAAGTGGACTGATTTTCGTCTGGGGGCCAACTAGGTCCCATAATGCAATGCGCACAGTGTTGCCTGCGGGGATTTTCGGAAGTAGTCTATTGGCAATAGCTCCCGAGCTTTAGATTGGGTGTCGGGAAGCGCAGACAATGTCTTCTTGCTGTCTCACAGACACTTTTAAAGATTTTGGACGACCGAAAAGCGTGCTTTCTGATTTCCGGGAAAGCCTCTCACAACTGGCAAAAATGATTTTAAGCAACATCTTGGCCAAAGTGTCAAATTCCGAAGCCTCAGCGGTTCCATCTCTGGCGAATGGGATGTGTGTGGAATTGCCCGTCGTATGCCGTCGTTTCTGTTCTCGAGCGCTCTGGAATTCCTGCCATGCGCGACTACCGGCACTGACGTTCGCAGAAAATGTGCATGCTGGAGGGCGGGGAAGGGGTCCACACCGATGTCCGCGGGGGGTCCCCCGGGGACCTGGTCGTCCACTAGGTCCTGCTGCGGAGGGGCTCCGTGCCTTGTGGGGACGGCCGGGGTGGTGCCCCGCTGATCCGGCGGCGTCCTAGGCGCCACGGTGGTCGGGGCGCTCGGCACATTGCTCGCCTCGGCCGTCCCTGCGTCTGAGACGTGCGGTCTGTCTAAATGCTTTATGTCCAAACTCCTATAATATGCGAAACGCATTATTTAATTATGTTGATTGCTGCTACATTTTGCAATGCGATGTGATGTTATGTGGCGTAACGTAACTTGATTTCAGTGAAGTAACACTATGTTGCGTTGCATTATGTAATCTCAAAATGTTGCATGACACCTTAACAGGACACCGGTATCACGTAACGTCACATAATGGTTGCGCTGATATGAACTGCCGTGGTGCATGCACGGACACGAGGATATACAAATTTCTGCAAGTAGGGTCGGACTTTCATTATAAAACATTCCATGCTTCAAAAACGCTCTAGACAAGGCTCAAAACGCTCTCTGACAGAGACCTACGGAGGAGACTCCTTCCTTTAAAGCCGAGAGTGAGGTCGATCATAAAAGGTTATCACTCGATCGGTTGATCAACGAATATTCCTTTTTCTTGCACTTACAAACAGCTTGGAAGCCTTCGTGGTAAAGCACACAAACATATACAGATCCCTTGACAGTGTGCGTAAACTCCGGTTCCTAAAGCTGCAGCCTTGCACAAAAAATAGGGATCTTAGCAAAGTGCATGTTAAAAACACGTTGGGTTCATGAAACCAGCGATGAGTTGTTATAAAGGTCCGGTTGAAATGGTCTTATGCACATACCGAAATCAATAGAATGGATTATGAACTGCTTTTCCAGTATGTTATTTGAGAATGGAGATCCACTAAACCTTCGGCTTCGCTGCGCGATTTTCAGACGGTCGCATAAGGTACACTTGAGTGGCGTTCTACCGTAGGTTTTATTTTTTCCCACATATAGTTTTTTTTTTTATTTCGGTGTCATTTCCAGGGTAAGACAAAAACTTTGCATGTGTCGGAGCTTAGTTGCAGAAAACGGGGGATGGGGTTACCCAGCCTCCAGGGAGCATGACCCGACCCGAAAACTTGAAAAATTCCCCGGTGTCGATAAAAAGGAGTTCCCGAAGAAAGGAGTAGCCTTGCAGACAGTTCTAGGTAAGCTGTGTTCCGGCTCAGCTCGAAAGAAAACTAGACAAAGATTTTCTTCCTGCAAAGCCTGACAAGGACGGCGGCAATTTGAGGTTTTTCAGTTTTCCCAATTTCTATTAAACCAGTCCGCAGGTTACTTCTTGGAGTTTATCGGTGCATATCAAAAACACTGAATCCAAATTATAGTTAAGATTCCGTGTTTTCGGATAAATCCAACAAAATCCAAAAAACACTTGCCCGTGAAATTTTCGTTCATTTGGAACTCTGAATTTCGATGTCACAATGGTGAGAAGACAAACAATAGAAACGCGGTATTCTTCAAATAAGCTTGGTCAGAGTATGGGGTTAGTTGTGCTGAGGAGAGATATCTCCAGTTTCCTTTCAAATCATGAACTATAGACGAAAGGGGGTTTACTGTTGATCTCGTTGCATTTTGTGCGTGACAACGGATCGCTGTAATTTTGGATCATGACAAAAGCCACCCTTCTACTAGTTTTTGCAGTTCTTAGAGGAAGACTGGGAATTGCGTATTTATAATGAGGAAAGCTATGTTTACAGGAAGCGGGGAGGGGGGGCCAGCCTAGGAATCTATCTCGCCACTTTATCCCGCCCAGCTGTAGGGTGGAGCGGTGGAATGGGATGGGAAGAATACAAACTTTCCAGAGATTCCACCAGGAATTTTAGTAATTGTTAATAATCGTTAGTAATTGTTAGTAATTGTCAACTCACGGGGACACTTGAGGTCTGCTGCCTCGTCGCTTCCGTCAGGACACTGCGGGATTCCGTCGCAGACGTTGTACACGGCGATGCATTCGCTCGAGTTCTGGCACTGGAACTGGTAGTGGCGGCAGCGGGGCTCTGCAAGAGAGTGTTCCAAGCCAGTGTCCGCGTAAGAACAAAGATAAGCTTTCTTTTGTTCGGAACCTTGAAACTGGGAAGAGATAAGAGGGGCAACATCATTGGCAGAGCAGCCTGCTACACTTACGCTTGTGTGATGCAGTTGTCGAGCAATCTGAATGCTTGAAATGTTATCCAACAAATGCCAGTTGAGTGATTCCAAAAGTTGGAGTCGATGCCGCACTATTTGAGGCAAGATTTTGGCTGTGTGGCATTCAACATACTTATGCAACATTGGTATCATGCTACACTAGTGCAATATCTTTCTTGTACTGCACCAGCATGTGGCACCATGTACAAAAAATATTAACGAAGAATTACTACTCCATTTTGTAATTTTTTGTACCAAGAGACTCCGAGGTTTTTTCTATCCTCAGAAACCATAAAATACAGTAAAAAAGGCATACTGGATGTGACTACCTAACCCTGAAGAAAGGGTTTGAGTATTTTTTTTTTGTCTTGTAGTCACTGGTTTACCCCAAAACTGGTACAACAGATTAATCAGCAGATCTAGACTTGAAACCCAAAATAAAAGTCACAATGTTGTTGTTTATGTGTTTTTTTTGCGATGTTATTGAAGTTTTAAGCTTTGCCTGACAGGCTCTACTGACAACACTGAAAGTGTGACGTCAGATGATGTAATATGAGGCAAGATGGGGGCATTACATCTTGACAGATTACAAGTAGTTTGATAGTGTGAAATGAATGCTGATTAAACTCGCGCCAGAAAAACAAAAAAAAAGGAGAATACTGTGTTTCTGAGCATGACTCTGCTAGACTTGCAAGTTACAAAACATGCGACATCACCCCATCGGAGAGTGCATGATGATTTGCATGTTGGTTGTGGCAAAACATCCATTCTCGATTTTCTTAACAGCTATTTTGTAAGATTGTGCGAATATTTGAATTTTAGAATAGTGGTTTCGAATAATACATTGTTTCATATTTCTTCGAGATTAATTTTTATATTCGTATTTTTCAAGTATTAGTTGCAGTGGGTTAGCCCCGTTGAGCGCGCTTCTTACCAAGCACCAATGCAGTGTGGAGAAGCAGCACCAGCGGAGCTCGCTTCCGCGGGTGTTGCTTCTCCGCAGTGCACTGGTGCTCGGTAAGAAGCCTGCTCAAAGGGGCTAACCTGCTGTGATCAATGGTTCAGAATGTATGTACAAATATTACAGTCGTGCGCTTAGGAGGAAAGCAGTCAGTTTCAAAACGGGATGCTGCACACGTGCACCTGGTGTATTTAAAGATAAATGAAAACCTTGTGAATCTTAATCTACATTGCAGTAAAAATTGGCTATTGCGCAAGGGTATGGGTTAGGCAGAGATGCACTGACAACCCCTCTTCATCATTAGGGATTGTTTCTTATTTTTTTCAAATTCTGGATTGCAGAAAGGGTATTGGCACACAGCAAGACGATTTATAAATCTCGATTAGGTACAGCTGGGCATCTCTGTATGTTTAGTTTTATGTCAAATGCGTCTTTCACTTGCCATCCCAGTGTGGGCATTAGACTTTTTGAAGCCACCGCTTATAAAGATGGTTGAATTAAAATTAGCTTAGAAGTAGACAAGTGCAAGCTTGCGAGCAACCTTCACGGTTCAGCTGGGTCTTTGTTCAAGCATGGTGCAGTAGTGAAAGGCTTAGAGAAACTATTCAGTATTCAATCTGAAAATATTTGGCCAAAACCACTGTTTGCTTCGAACTCAAAATCCACTGTTTGCACACGCCTATTTGAATGCAGGAGTAATAAAATTTAAATAAGTTATAGCAAAATTTAAAATAAAATTATATTAAAACAGAAAGAGAGATAATAAAATTAATTTAGGTAGCTCGAAAAACTGTCAAAGGTCTCTCTTTTAAGGGAACCCGCTAAAGGGTTTAGAAATCAAGACAAGGCTCTTCCCTTTAAGCTGTGCCGGATAAAATAACAAAATCATTTGAGTGTAAAGAAATGCCTTCTATGAGACAACACCATCGAGGAACCTCTCAAGTAGCTGGGCAAGTTACCTCAGCACAGTTCTAGTGCATCCCATATCAAGAGTGATGTGACATATCAGTATAAGCATAACACGAAAGCTGCCAACTGGACTAACTGACCTGTTGGCAGTCTCCGTCGCATCAACGGCATCACCTGCAGTCGCCACTATCCAGCCACAATGTGCACCGGCAAAAGGATGTGATGTAAAGAAAGCATTTGGCCTTGCGTATGCTTGCGGATGTTAAAATGAACGCAAACCTCGAGGCAAGTTGCAGACAAAAGTCGCCACAGACACACCCACTGCGACTACCTTGCACACGAAGGGAGTGTGCCAACTCTAGTCATGAGCAGCATTAAGTCTGAGAGGAAGAGTCTTGAGTTTTGATAAAATTAAAGGCTAGCTTCTAGTAGATGAGGTAGCTGCTCTCAGGGGTGGATTCATGGGTCAGGCTTATCAGGGCTATTGGGTGCTCATCAGGCCCACACACCTGGCTGCGCATCTGGGAGGGTGCTGGCTGGGACAGCGAATGCAGCAGGACTAGTGGCTGGTGGTGCCTGGGTCGTCTCTGGGGTCTGGGGTGCCACCGTCGGTGCCCTCAACTGTTGGCGCAGCTGCGTGAGCTCGTCCTCGTGGTGAGAGCCCCAGGAGCCGGGGTCAAGGTCGCGGCCACCCACCGCCGCCAGCACAGACACCGTGTAGAAGCGGTGTGCGGTGAACAAGCAGACGAAACGTGACGGCGGCCCACAGTCGAACAGGTAGCAGCTGCCCTTGCCCTGTGCAGGGAAGGTGTGCTCCGACACGTGCAAGGGTGGCTTAGCGAATTCCTACATGTATGTATAAAAGAGAGTTCTGAGATGCAAAAGCAATGGTTTAAGGGCATCCATGAACATCTGTTCATTGATACTCTCAAGAACTTTGCAAAGAAGCTGTAATCTAGGAAAAAAGGCAGAATTATGATTGAGGTCAAACCAACTTTAATGATTTTATGTAAGTACCAGTGCAGATCATAGCACCTAAAGTCACTAGGCAGCAGGGTGGAGAATAAAAATTAAGTTGATTTAAATCATGATTTATATCATCTCGATTTAAATCGTACCAGTTTTATATATATGATTTAAATCGATCCTTTCCTGCAAAAATATTCCTCGAAATATGATTTTATTGAATGTTGGTCTTTCATTTGATGCTTTTTAAGTGCATTTGTTTTGTGTTTAAATGGTTTAATCATGAAGCAAGAAAGGTTTATAGAAGTCTGATCATGAACGGAAAGTGGTGCGAGCAAATCGGAGCATTGAGCTTGCTTTCTGCCTTCCACTTTGTTTGCCAGTTACGTAATGACCTCTGCAAGCAAATGAAAATGCGAAAAAAACGAAAACAAAAAAGTAATGCCTTAATGCTAGCAAAGCAGAACACAAAAGAAAAATTAAATAAAACTTTTTAATCTAAAAAAGTGAAGCTGCTTTTGTGTTCATGTGTTGGGAAGGGGGGGGGGGGGGGTTGCATTGATAAAGTTTTTTATGGGAACTCTTTATTCTGAATTGTTTCTTTTGATTGGACGGATAGATCAATCAATCTATACCATGTTTAAGAATACATGTAGTGATAAAGAGGAAAAAGCTAGGGCACAAACGAGCTGTTTAACATAATTTAAGACAAAACCCTGAGACTGGGGAAAAGTCGAAGGACAACACAATACACAAAGAATGTCTTTGAAACTTTGTGCGTTGTGTTGTCCTTCATCTTTTCCCCAGTCTTGGGGATTGGTCTTAAATTATGAAGTAAAAAAAAAAGAGAAGTGATAAGGAATTAGTACTTGTTTCAAGCTATGGTGATTTAAATCAAATTAATCGTATTTAAGTCAAGTGAATCTGATTTAAATAAAATAAATATGGTTTACTTGTTGTATTTTTTGTTTTTTTAATAATGATTTTTTTCTTTCTTTTTTTCACTTTGCTAGACAGTCGATTGGGATGTCCATGGCTTCGGGAGTGGGGGATCAAAATGCACATAAATATGAAAAAAATGATTTTTTTTTTTTTTTTTTTACGGAGAGGGGGGGGGGGGGGAATGTTAGAACCTACTATGCCCACCCCCTTTCCCTTGGCTATGCCCATGACAGTGACTGCCTACACTCACGACTGAACTTTCGCCCATCGATGCAACAGGAATTCACTGCAGAGGAGCTGCAATACAGGAGAAAGCCTTGAGGCAGACTTATAGTTGATACGAAGCCAATTTTGGGAATTTAACCTTATGAGCACCAACGCATATGATATAGCACAAAGCTACGACAGTGGCCACACACAGCTCAATATTCGCTCATTGGTACCATGTAGGAAGCATTGCAGAGAAGCTGAAACACCAGGAAAGCGGTATAGTTGATGATGCAGGTGCAGTGACCTGAAATAATCTCAGACTTTGAAAACAGTGCTTTGGAAGTATGCAGATTGAGTGGATCCTCTCTGGATCCTTAATTGGTGTAGGAGATAAGTTAGATGTATATCATATATGAAGTTTCTGAGGAATTTGACGTAGACTGTTGGACAAAAGGACAAGTTTATAAAACTTTTCGTGTTTGGCAGGTGAGTGGCCAACAAAAATATAAAGGACAATGGGCCTCCTCTGAATTAAATGCATATATCCATATCCCAGCAAAAAATTCCCACTAGATCCAATTGAAATTCAACCTGGTTTTAATTGGAACCAGTTGATTTAAGTATATGTTCTAGCTGGAAGCACACTACCATGGGTCTAACCAATTGGATTTATTTTTCCACTCGGGTTCTAAATGGTTCTCGTTGGTTCCCATTGGAGCGACCAATTGGTTGTCCAAAAGCCTAATTGGTACCAATGGGAAAATTCCGATTGGAACCTTAAGGGAATTTTTGACTATCGAGCAAAAAAGCTTGCACTGGAAAAGATGGTTTGTGCTTAGAGGGTAACATGCTGCCATTCTGTCCAGGATATTGCAGTGCGTGCTGCTCAACAGTTTCTCATTCATGCGCAGGTTCGATTGGGCCTCAGATACGTCGTTCTTGTCTCACTTCAGGCAGTGGGTTTCTGGTGATGTTTCACATTCAGGTTTTAGTAAATGACCAATACATGCACATTAGTTTATGATTATTAAAATAAATACAATACTAGCTCCTTTTTTTTCCTTTAGCGGTGCAGGTTGTATTATAGGTAACGTTGCAGCCACCATTTGGGAAAGCTTACGCATTTCCCGAATCGCATTATAGCACTGCGTGTTCAGCGGCGGAATGTAAAGCACCCGTGCTGTGTGGCCCCTACCTTTTCCTCGAACACGGCGACGTTACAGCTGCTGGTCTGCCAACACCAGAACAGGCAGTCGCGGTTCGAACCCATCTGAGTCTCGTTCAGGTAGCGGGCACCCATGCGTCGCGAGTCCTCGGTGCGGATGATCCGGTTCTCGTTGATCTGGAAGCTCTCAATCACGCTGCGCATGTCCGGAATGCCCGAGGGCTCCAGCGACGGCCGCTTGTTGAGGGTGCGACGGACGGGGAGCTTGTCCGCAGCGCCCGGGAGTGCCGCCGTGAAGCCCGCTTCTCCGGAGACGAGCCCCACTGCGCAGGCGGCTAGGACCACGGCGAACTGCCACATCTCGACCAAAGGACCTACTTACGATCAGGTGCGCTTCGACAAACGGAATTATTTCGTGTTCATCTCTTCTTTTATTATCTAGACTGCGGCTCGTCGGGTGCTTTAGTTTACATTAGTGATGGCCGTAAGCGGGTCGAGTACCGAGCGCCCTACTACGCATGCGTGCGCCAGCATAGCGCAAGAAAGGATTAAAGCGATTTGTCAGAAAATAATTGACATAATATATAAATCGACGGTTTGACCGATTATTATAACAGAAAAATTAGCGCACGTAAGTTGTTTCAGTTTCGTTTTATCGCTTTTGTGCGTGTACTCTCTTCGCTCTCTTCCGTTGAATTCGAATAGCGCCTGCGTATATTTTTGTTCTTTTTTAATTATTTTGTTTGGGTTCACACGAATCGCGATTGTCGTGCGTCGATTTGCGTATTTTAACGCTTAATTTTCAGAAGCACGCGGAATTCCGGTCTTCGCCGTACCGGATTTTGATCGGGGGTCCCTCAAAGAGAAAGGAGAAAGCAACGAGAACGAGGAGAAGAGCGCGTGAAGAAGGGAAGGAGGAAAAGCAAGGATGAAGGCAAGGCCGCGCCAATTACAGACTTGCGAGATTTTTGCTCTGACGTCATTTCTTGTCGTTCACGCAGCGCCGCCTAGTTTGCGTTGGCGTCGTCGCAAACGCATTTTGAAACTCTCGCAACAAACGCAAGGCTAGCAGACGGTGACGCGAAAACCTAAAACAACGTAACGTTGCCTAAAACGCATGAGTCGGTTGCTTTGCCGCGTACTCTCGTAGAGGTTAGGTATATTCGCCGCTTGGATCGCGTCGGTGACGAACTACCGATGACGTATTACACAGGCCTTCTTTTTTATGTGCTTGTGGATGGGGGGACGCTGGGAAGGCCAAAGAAGACAGCCGAAGGAGCGGAGTGCACGCGTTGGCCGTGAGCGGTCGTTCACTCTTCACGCCTTCTCCGAAGCTCTCGTGAATACCGACCTCCTCCAGCGCTTTTTGGATACCGACTCCGCGAGTGTCCCCTGCGCCAGGTGAGCAGACCATCGCGCCTACTACTACTGCGGGCACATCCGTGTCCTAACGTTGCTGCCTCTGGCAAAAACGGTGTCCTCATTCATGAAACTAACTCGCACGACATCCAATGGAAAAACGACAAAAGCACAAAGAAAGCGACGTTTTCGAGTCGCTTTTTTGTCCGCGCCGCTCGCTGCATCGCTTGCTCCCAAACTGGTGAATCTTCGGTCCTAAGGAAACAGCCGAAGCAAGCACCGAGGGCCAGCCAGCTCCTTGACGCGGCCCGAGCTGCTGCAGTTCGTGCGAGCTTTTTGCAGTTTTGCGTGCGGAGCGAATTCCGATTTGGCCGATCGAGGTATTACAACAACAAAGGCCTGCAGGTGTTTCGGAAAAGATCGTGAGTTTGCCTGCCGCACGCATTTGTATGTTTCTTTGGTTTCACAGCGGCGCGTTCTACCTGCGCGCGCCCACCACCGAAGCACTTTGAAGTCTCCTGGGCCGTTTCGATTTGGACTGGTCGGTTTGTTTGTAGTGCCGAGGAGACCGACGGTCGTGCTTTGGGGCGATCGTGACTGCACGATATTGCGCGCCGCATCCCAGTCCCACGGACAAACTCGTTCTGGGTTTCTTGCGTCGCGTTTTGCTGTGCGTCGGAACCGAGCACCTTGGGTGCACACCAAAGCCGATCGTCGCGGGATTTCCGCCGCCGCCTTGCGAGGACCGCATCGCCGGCTTCGTTCCTTTTTTCTTTTTTCTGCTTCCGACCTTGGCGTGGGTACGATACCGGAAAAGCGGTCTCGGTGTCTACTCCGCGCCGTGCAACATCCCTTATCTTGCCATCGTTTCCGAACGCTTTCGCGCTTTCCTGTCTGCTCAGAATCGGCAAGGACGTCGGTTTCCCTTTAAACACGCGTGGTGGAGGTTGCCCGGGGAACCCGTATTCGACCTTTGATCGTGGGTCAGCGAGCTCGAAAGCGCGGTACTGTTTTAGAGGCCATATTTGCTGGATGTATGTGCGGGTGTGTAGTGGATGTAACTTCAGGCTTTGTGGCGCGTTTTTAGTATGTTTTATTAGGCTGGAGGATGGCTTCGCCTAGTCCATCCAATAGCCATTTTAGAAAGCGTGCATCCTCCGCTTCGCCGAAAGGAATTCTGGGAACTGACTGTATAAACCCGGTTGTAGCGGACAACGTAGACGAGGACAGGCGAGGCTTTGCTAACATAGGTGTTGAGTATAGATGCTGCGGGAACAGAGGAGCACACAGCATATTCCCATCTAAGACATTTACATAAATGGTCCATTTGAGACCGACGGTGGTATGTGCATGTTTGCAAACGGTATGCCCTGGCGTGCCAGTTCCATTTCCTTTTAGTCGGCGGCGGCCCCTTGTTTGCGTTGAGTGGGTCGTGAAAAAGCGTTGACGAGGAGAACTCGTTTACGCGGTCGTCTGCCGCATCTCGAGCAGACGACAGACATGAAGCTGCGCGCAATGCAATTAGTCCCGCTTTTTCGGTTCGCGCGAACAATGGACAAAGGAGCCGTTTAGCAAGGAGATTACTCGGGGAGCTTTGTGGGGCGTGGGAGTCCTCGCCGTGGCACTTATCGTTTTCGATGTCGTGCGCGTGAGCTCCGTGGAACTAGAGTCACTAAATAAGTGACTCTACGTGGAACCTTCGTGGACTCGACGACGCGCTCATTAAAGTGACGATTGGTGCCAGGGAAATGTGACATTCTACCGTGTGCCCGCAGCTTGCAAAAGTACGGAAGTTGACGGAATCGATCGACTGATTGCCGAGGATTGACACGCGCGCTTTTTGCTTGCTGGAACAAAGCCAAAATGCCCACACCTCGGGTGACCTGGCCCACACATAGCTTGACAGACAGACAGATCTCGTCAAAATCTAGGGGAGCTTTTGGCACTCTTGTAAATTGTGTTATTCATGTGGCAGGCACCTGCTCTCAGCTTTGTGTACTGAATCATGCATGATGCTTTCACCCTTTTGTTTTTGTTTTCTACTTTTTGTTGCCTGTTTTATTTTTATTTATTTTTTCTGATTGGTATTAATAAATATATCTCTGGGGTAAGCTTGCTATTCAATGCCAGTAAGATAGGTAACATTTCCAAAGAGCTATTTATTGGCCGAAATACTTAGCATAAGTTCGACGAGAATGTGGCATGATTGCTAGCTGCGGGGCACGTTTCGGATGCGAAGAGTAATAAATCACATTATTAAACTTGTTGCTGTCAGTCAAGGTGACCAGAAGAATGTGCCTCCATCCCTAGGATGTGGTACCGAGTGGTGCAAAAAAAATGTATAACAGATAATGTAAAAAAAAAAAAAGTTAAAAATCTGTAAGTTATCCAAATTTTCACACTTTTGGTATTTTTATTGGAAAATAAGAGCAGAACAATGGGCAAGTATTTGGCACAACCATACTATTTTACTGTGTGTAGCCACCAAAACTGGCACAACTTTCCTCCGTACTGCAGCTGTTTTACTGTAGCCGAATTCCTGTTTGTCTTTTCTCACGCTCGCAATTTCATATCAGTCTTGCAAGAAAACAAAAATATGTCACATTTTATTTTTTGTGTCTTAACCGCTTCATCATTAACACCATTCAAATCTGTTCAAGTTCACGGTAAGAAACATTTTACTTCAATCGGCCGAGTTGCCTAAATTTAACCTGCTGGCTAAATCTCTGCAAAGGTTTTGTGTCTTTTTTTTTTTTTATTACGAAGCAAGTCAGCTGTTTGAAAAACATCCGACACTTTTCCCCGTCAAACGAAGTTTTGTCAAATGTTCGCACATTCTAAACAAAACGGTGTAATACAGCACTGAAGAGATTATTTAACGAAAAGAATATGCTTTTAAGCTGCCAAATCCGCTTCAATGAGTGCTCGTTGTGTTGGTTACCAACTTGTGGCTTACACAGGGAGAAGGGGGGGGGGGGGGGGGGGGAAGCCATATTTGTAAATTACTTCTTGAATTGTACACTTATAATCTCAATTTCAGTTGATAACCCTAAGCAAATTTGGAGTACTGTTAACAACAGTGATGAGACTTAGCTGATCGGCAAACTGTAGCCTCCATCGAGTGCATCTGTGTTGAATTATGTTTTTCTCAAGCTATTTTCAGTCCATAGAGATACATGCATACACATCATTTTTCAAATCAATTTTCTTTTTACCAATGATGTGGCATTAAGAAAACCTTCCTCTTCAGTATTCAATAAAACTTGAGCATAATATGTTGCAAAGTCAGAAATCAAACACATATCATTTTGTTTACAAACAAGCTCCCTAGCAAAAATAAATGCAAGGAACGAAATGTACCTGCATAGGATTCAGTATAAGCAATTTACTTACATTTTAAATTAATGTTGTGTCTGCACATTTTTGTTGCATTCGGACAAAAAACAGAAAAATCACTTGTAACCAAAAATGAAAAAAAAAAAAAAAAGAGACACGGAAGCAAATTGAGAAGGAAAGAAAGTTAAACTGGTGAAGATTCGCTTTAGATGTATGCATATCCTGTGTATTTCTAGGGTTTCGAGAAATAAGTCTCCATATACTATGCAGCGTGCCTGTTAGCATAAAAATACAAAAATGTACTTGCTTCTTCCAGTTAGTGCCATAATTTCGAAACCAAATTGAAGGGATTCACCATTTCGACAGAGCAAAATTAATCGTCGACAGTCATAACCTGTCAAACACATTGTTCTTCATGCACAAACAGCCTCGGAATAAATTGAACAGAAATGTGTTTTACCCCCTTAACTTGCAGCCAGAATTAGCGGCCATGTGGCCTGGTGCTGACAATATGACTAATGTCCTTTTTTCATACACGCGCCTCCAATGACTGAAGCTGCCTTCTTTCCCAAATTGCCGCCATTAAAATTTTCAATTAATGTTAATGTGCTGATATCTGATTTGATATAAAAGTGATTGTATAATATAAGCCATCTCTTCCCTTTTTGCACTCTTGTTTTTTACTTTCTATGTTTAGCATTGATATTTCAGTGGACCGTGTATTTTAGTGAATCGTTTTATTGGTGAATCTATTTCCCTTTCCTAAATATTAATTACGTGGGTTAGTTTACATTTCATAAATGCAAACTTGTAAAGGCGCCAAAGAACAACGGGCAACTGAAAGGGACGAACAGACCAAACTTTGTTTGTACTTGCGCATTGTCTTTTTAGCACTTGCATTGTTTCCTTTTATGCTTAAATCTATCGAGTGCGTGTAAAAATAAATAAATAAGTAAATGCTAATCATAGCCACCCGTTGGCATTACATGGGATATGTGCTGTGGTGCAGACCTTGTTGGAGATTAGCTATTCCTATCCGACCTGAATGTCTGCCATTATAATTAAGTCCAAACCTGGTTTTCATTACATGGTCAATTCTTACTTTGTTTGATCACTCTTATCATTGTGTTAAAGCCATCCGTAACTGAACTTTTTTTTTTTTTATTTTGTCAAAATATTGTGGCTTGTCCAATGTTACTACTGACATGAAAGCATCTTTATGTTGTCCAACCTCACTTGTCTTTTTGTTGTAAAATCTCTCGCTTATGAATGGTCCACAAGATTTACCATCACAATCGATTCCTCGGCTGAAAAATAATGAATCAACCATGCATCTCGTCACCCAGCATGCCAAACAGATGCATCTTCGTTATGCCATAAACATCAGATGATTGGAACCATCTTCTCTCATAAATTTCTTTCATTTTTTTAAGTAATTTTTGCCAATAGCTTTTGTAGTTAATTGAACATGTGTGCTTTTCTCAGTGTTGGGTAAAGTACATCTAAAACGTATACTTGAAGTAAAGTACAAAGTAAATGAGACGTGGTGTACTTGAAGTAAAGTATCAAGTACACTGGGTGCAATGTACTTTAAGTAAAGTACTATAAATACAATGTACTTTAAAAGCAGGCACGTAGCCAGGATTTTTTTCGGGGGGGGGGGGGGGGGGGGGGGGGGGGCGGCCCGCGCCCATGACAAAATGTTG